GAGATCAAAATCAAGCAAAATCCAATCGGTTTTTTTTATGAACAGGTTAAAAACAAGGAAACATATTCATTTCGGAAAAAAATCAACTATGTACTCGTATGCTTCTTTGGAGCTGAGAACAGTAATTGTCTGGTGTTGTTTTTGTAGTTCAATCCGAGAGATGGAAAAAATCCACTTAGTTTTAACATTCAAATTTGTTACCCGTGATACAGTCTAAATGTTTAAAAGTTTACACCTCTGCCTAAATTTTTACTAGAGTCATTTTCCTGGAATCCGTGACCATGGTGCGGATACCTTTTTTTCTTGATGAATTTGACAAATCGGACCAATTTAAAGAAAACATAGCTCCTATATACTCCCAAAAGTGACGGCAAACTTTTTTATAGCACTTTTTTTCAAAATGGCTGCCGACGCCATATTGAAATACATTACAAGTGATATATCGGGAACCAGATGAGCCATAATGTGGGGAGTCAGGTTGGCATAGCGGTACTTTCCTCGCCTTCCACCGCTGTGACCCGGGTTCGAATCCCGCCCGGGCCATGTGGATTGGGTTTTCAGTCCCTTACTGATTTCGTGGGTAACGATAAATGAGGTGTGTAATCCCACTATTTCTGGCATGACAAATCTGCTAAAATGGTATTCATTACATTTCGGACCATCGTGACCTCAAAATTCAAAATCGAGTCTGGTAGCCATCTTGAAAAACGGCATCTATTATATCTCTCGAACCAGAGGAGCAAAATAGACATTGACGTTATTTTCAATTAATTCTGGCATTGCAACCCATTGGAATGGTTCTTTAGACGATCAGAGACTACCATTACCTGCTATTTGAAGATGACTGCTGTTCGCCATCTTTCAAAATGTCAATCTGCAATATTATCTCTTGCGCCAAAGGCTCTTGGTATGAGGAGCCATCCCATTTAAATCCACCACTACCTAACTTATTTGAGCGGTTATTTTGAGTTTTATCTTGATACCTATTTCTTTCTGCTATTACTTCTAACAATTTGTTTTCAATTAATTTGTTTTACTGGCTTAAGTAAATTTGTTCTCCATTGCATGTTTTATAATTTACACATGTTTTGCCTTACATATAGTTGCCATGGGCGTCGTAATTTTTTTTTTCTAGAGGGGGGCAAAGCACATTTTCCCCCGAAATCCCTATATTTTCCTGCATTTCCCCGATTGATCATTTTGTCGAGGTTGGGCAGGGACATTTTCCCCCGCCCCCTACCTTTTAAATAAACAACAATATGATTTCGCCCCTTCCCCCCCCCCTTTTTTTTTGCTTGCCCCCCCCCCCCCCCCGCGACGCCTATGATAGCTGCCATTTGATTATTTGGATTATTTATTTCGCGTGCTATTGTAATGAATCTGTTGCTTATCATTCATCTGGTTAACAATTCGTTAATGTTCACTTCCTAGTGTTGGATTTTTTTATATTTAATCAGCTGATTCATCTGTTTATTTATATTTTTGTTTCGATACCGTTTCTAATTCAATATTGATGCTTAGCTTTGATTTATGACTAGTTACATGATTATTTATTTATGGCAATTACTATTTTCTCTAACCCTCACATCTACATTTATCCCATGTTCTCCATTTGTGTTTGTCCGATTGTTAGTCTGTTTCTGTAACTGTTGAGTTGACATTTTGGATAATATCTCAACTGAGAAGTTGGAGACTTACTATTGTAGGCTCCCACTTCTCAGTTGAGATATTATCCAAACTGTCATCTTCAGAACAAGACTCCCCATAGAGTGTACGGTGACTGCTCTATGTTCCGACACCCCTATGTTCCGACAACCTAGATTGTGTTACTCCCGGTTAGGGTTAGGGTTAGGGTTAGGAATAGGAATATGTGCAGTCCGAACATAGGGGTGTCGGAACATAGAGGTGTAACCGAGTGTACATTCAGATTCAGTTCCTTGGTTGTGCTGTAACTCTCCACCGTCTCTTCTGCTCTCCATTGTCAACAAGTTCTCAGATGTTCATACAATTCACCTGAACCAGTAACTGAGTAAATTTGAAAAACTTTATAAATTGTAAAACATTATCCTTTCGTAAGTTGCACAACTCAAAATGCAAATCGATTTAACAGAATCTGTGACTATTGTTTCATAATTCTTATCTAGGTTTTACATTATATGTTTATGAATTACAGAGGCCTACATTACAAAGACTTCAAAATGTTATGTAATTTCAATTCAATCAATAATTTATTTCCATAATGCCACAAGTTTTATAATACAATGAAACAATGCAAATAATGTTATAAACAAGATCAAACATGTAGCTATATAGGCAATTATATACAGGCATCTTTCGAAGCCGCGGGCTGATATGGAGATGCCTTGACAAAACAAAACAAAAATGTCAACTCAAACAGTTACAGAAACAGACTAACAATCGGACAAACACAAATGGAGAACATGGGATGAATGTAGATGTGAGGGTTAGAGAAAATAGAAAATGCCATAAATGAATAACCATGTAACTAGTCATAAATCAAAGCTAAGCATCAATATTGAAGTAAAAACGATATCGTTAAAGAAAAAAAATACACGGATGAATCAGCCGATTAAATAAATAAAAAAATCCAACACAAGGAAGTGAACATTAACGAATTTGTAACCAGATGAATGATAAGCAACAGATTCATTACAATCGCACGCGAAATAAACAATCAAAATAATCAAATGGCAACTAGACTCAACCAAAAAAGAAAGTCCCCCTTAATGTATTTTTGTCTAACTCAAAATCTACTGGGCACGTCTTGCTAAAATTGCGACTGATCGGTACAGAAATTCATTAGCAATCCAGCCATACTCTTTGTTTCGCCCAAAACAGTCATTATGTGTAGACAATTATGCAATTTACGACAAATGGTACCGAAAAAAGTTGCACATACGTGCAAGGCGAGTGTGAACCCCAACTTGCACGTATACAAAAGTGAAACTGTTTTTGGTATCATTTGTCATAAACTGCCTTAATTCGGGCGATTCACAATGCAGTGCGCCACCTAGAATTTGCCATGGACAATCCATTTTTCAAGTTTACGGTCGACAAAACATGGCCCATTTGAATGAGTGTCAGTAGACAACTTTAGCTTATTTGTTATAGACTGGGGCAAAGCGTTCTGTTGCCTTACAAAAAACACCATATTGATAAAAAGAAAAGAAAAGGGCAAACAGATACTCGAATCATACGCTTATGAACTACTGACCGGAAAAACGAACAATTTTAAATGTCCTGCGCTGCGAATTTGTCGACCATCTCCCACAATGCACTGGGAAAAATTATTTCTCCGTGGCAAACTCTTGGTGGCGCACTGCATTGTGAATCGCCCGAATTCGTACACATTAGGACTGTTTTGGCCAAATAAAGAGTATGGCTGGATTGCTAAGGAATTTCTGTACTGATTAGTCGTTAATTGAACGACAGGTGCTCAGTAGTTTTTGAGTTAGACAAAAAAGTATTGGAAGGGGGGGGGCTTTCTTTTTTGGCTGAGTATATATGTAAGGCAAAACATGTGTAAATAATAAACCATGCAATGGAGAACAAATTTCAGTAAAACAAATTCTTTTAACAAATTATTAGAAGTTATAACAGAAAGAAATAGGTTTCCAGATAAAACTCAAAATAACCACTCAAGTTAGGTAGTGGCGGATTTAAATGGGATGGCTCTTCATACCAAGAGCCTTTGGCGCAAGAGATAATGTTGCAGATTGACGTTTTGAAAGATGGTGGACAGCAGTCATCTTCAAATAGCAGGTCATGGTAGTCTCTGAACGTCTAAAGAACCATTCCAATGGGTTGCAATGCCAGAATTGATTGAAAATAACGTCAATGTCTATTTTGCTCCTCTGGTTCGAGAGATATAATAGATGCCGTTTTTCAAGATGGCTACCAGACTCGATTTTGAATTTGAGGTCACGATGGTCCGAAATGTAATGAATACCAATTTAGCAGATTTGTCATGCCAGAAATAGTGGGAATTCACACCTCATTTATCGTTATGGCTCATCTGGTTCCCGAGATATCACTTGTTATGTATTTCAATATGGCGTCGGCGGCCATTTTGAAAAACGTGCTATAGAAAAGTTTGCCGTCACTTTTGGGAGGTGTATAAGAGCTATTTTTTTCTTAAAATTTGTCAAATTTGTCAAATCCATCAAGAAAAAATGGTTTCGGCAACATGGTCACGGATTCCAGGAAAATGACTCTCCTATTTTATTCGTGTTTGAAATCCATCGCAGTGTAAACTTTCTAACTATAATTACTTCGAGATGAACTTTACACTCCCCAGTTAATTTAAGATGGGTGGCAATTCAACACGGCATAGGGATCACTTTATGGCCACATGTACTCGTCGAAGTTGGGGGACCAGCATTTTAGGAAATTCAAAAAGCGGGGCGCGAGAAATTTGGCGTTGGGATGGGGGAGGGGTCAGGACATTACCAGATGGCCCAGAATCATTATGAATAAATCCACACTTTATGCCAAAGTCCTGCGTGATGTGTACTGTTATCTTTATGTTAAGTGACTGGTGAACGACCATTATACTTTACAGTTATATAGCTATGATATTGTGAAGATTTATTTTTTTTGTGACGATGATAACACGATGTCATCTCCAACTAAAGAACAATGGGGAAGGGGTGGTAGGGGCATGCCCCTAACCCCTTTCCACAAATTCGCTATCTGTGCAGGGCTTCAGCATCAGCTATTTATGCAAAGGGAAGACAGATTAAAATCACTTGTTTCTGTTTATCATTATTATTATTTATTTCGCAATTTAACCACAAAAAATACACTTTTACTAGACATTATTTTATACACACACAAATAACATCAAAACAAAATCTATGAGCGCATGGACAGGGGACATGCTGTCTCTACGGCCAAAGCAATTCATAAATCCATAAGAATTTTTGAGTTCCATTCTGATTAAATGACAATTTACGGTCTAGGCATTTGTTTGTAGTTATATGCCTTTGCATCTGGCTCTGAGATTCTCCCGAATTCTAACCAGGTGGTACTTAGGCCATATAAGTCGCATTGAAGCTGAGAAGAACCTGCTACAGCCTGGTGTCCAGCGAGGAATGTTCATTGTCAGGGACAGTGAGAGCAACCCAGGTATAAGTCAAGTCGATTGTCCTTATATTCTGTGCATGGAACAAGTTTGTGATATTGCCTTCGACCTCCAAAGCGGGACCCTTTACATGGTATGATGGTAGTAAATTGTACTCTCATGCACTTTAAGCCATCGTACATGATGTACCTTCATGATGTACCTTACAGGAACCTCCTTGTATGGTTCCATCTCTCCAGTCCAGTCATGCTGTAACAGTAAAGTGTGAATTAGCTATATACCATACATTTCTTGCCATGTTTAACATATGAGCCAATCTGGTCGAAACCAAAAGTTGCTTGTTGATCATCTTCTTTTTCACGTGCAGGGTTGCATTCCTTTGAATGATAATCTTTGAAGTATTTTCCTTCACAGGTGCTTTCTCAATATCGATTATTGACCACGACTCCGATAGAGGCAACAATGTGAAACACTACGAGATCGAAAAGCGTGACGATGATGAGACTGGATCATTCTACATACACGAACGCGCCTCGTTCCCTACACTCGCTAAGCTTATCAAGCATCACCAACGTACGCAAGTTTCGAGTTAAAAAAGACATTGTTGAAATGGCACTGTATGGGGTCATGATGGAGCTCTCTTTTGTAAAGTATTTGAACTGAATTAGCCAGTTCGGTATTTCAACTGCGCATGTGCACAATGATATGGGTAACGGGTCATTTGGAATAATCGAAGGCGTATATGGGCCAACCTCGTTCCAAGGGTGTCGAGCAGTACGCACCCATCACTACCTGGTCTCTCACCCTGGTGATGGCTCATTTGCATATGCAAGATATTTGAACACGTATGCGATTGAGGAATAGTCTGGTGCCTGCATATGCGTTACATTAAAGCTTGTTTTTGTATGCGGCGTCTTGGGTAAAAACAGCATCAATTCGTGGCGGCGTGAGCATGGTGCGAGCAACCTCGTGCCCCGTGGGTACGATCTTGCAGCGCCATGTTGTTTCCAATCATGCCTTGCGCGATCGTAACCCCTGGAATTGTGTAATTTAAATGTACCAAAATACGGTACATTATAATTAGGGCTGCAGTTTATCCGTTTTACGTGCCGACGCCATCTTTAAAATGTTAAAAGTTGTGATTTTGAAGAATCAATCCTTTCAAACACAACGTTTGGACGTTGTGTTAATTAGCAAAGATTTGTATAAAATGTACGTACCTCTTTCGTGCCTTTACAACCACAGATACAGGGGGGGGGGGTTTGCGAAAAACGCGGCTGACATAATCCATATCGTACAGGCTTCGCAACGATTGAATCATAATTTTTCTTTTTCGTACGTGACGTTACGTGCAAAGCTAAGCACGCGAGCGCGAGCGCATTATGGGCGCGCCCGGCGTGCAATCTTCGAAATACCCGCGCAGTACGCTGTGAATAGCCATTCAGCGTCATATACGTCATCATCACAGCCAGGGGTTAGTGTAAGGAACGAGCACGCGCCCTTGGAGTCGAGGCTGTGGTGCGAGTTACGAAAACACCATTTTATTCTCAAAATTAAAATGTAACAATCTTATCCAGACTATATGCAGCATCACATTTTATATTAATATGAACAAATTTGAAAAGAATTTATTATTTTTAAGAACGTGTGGACGTAATAATTACAATGAACGTGAAAACACGTAATGCACAAAGACAAGTACACGATATAAATCCATTACGGCATCGAACCAGGATAGAGGATTGCAGGTCAACTCCCCTCCTAGCCGACTTGCCCCCTGACCGACTCGCCCTCTGACCGACTCGCCCCCTGGAAAATGATGCACCGTACGGGGAAATCGTAAAAAAAAAAAAAGACAGTGGAGGGAAAGACAGATGGTCCAGCAAATCAGCTTCGATATCTGAGTTTATTGCCCAATTCAAAATTTGGTTCTGAAAGTTCCATTTCTGAGCCTCTTTTATAACTTTTTCAAAACCCTTCGGTATGTTTGATAAAACACCACTAAACCAAAAAAAATGAAAAACATTTTTTTGATTTTTCAAATATACATCATTTATTCTGAAAAATATTTTTTAATGAAACTGAGGACCCAGAGTCGAGATTTACAATTATAACGTTATGTCATTGACAAACAGTGAACGCGGGTATACCTGCCGCGCGCCGGCACCCACCGTACCGGATACCTGTAGCTGTCGTCGCGCGCCGGTGTGGACGGTAATTCTGTCCCCCGGTAAAAGTGTCCGGGGGGACAGAATTACCTAGGTAAAAGTGCGCCCCTGGCCCGTTAATTCTGTCCCCCTCCAGGTAATTCTGTCCCCTCCAGGTAATTCTGTCCCCCCTGGTTTTGCACGCATAAGTTGTTATATTGATGTTATTATAATGAATTCAGCGCACAGGGTATACATTTTCAGATTTTTCCACTCTTCATCAATGATTATCAAAATGAAATTAACGTTTAGATGTTAATCAACCGATCTATGTTTCTGCAAGAAAGCAGAAAAGGCACGCGTAGTAATACTCAACCTATCGCTAGCGCCCTCACGCCCTCCGTAGGTGCGGTACACTCGCGCGCACGCCCACCATGCAAATCGCTCGCTCCCGAAGTCGTCATCAAAACTGGAGTTGTGCTTTGACGTAAGCACCATTCCCGAATTTAGCAAGGCGCCGCGCAAAAACAGTTAAAACTTTACTAATATACAGTCTGGGTGCTAGACTTGTGACGTTGCACGGGGACACATTTACCAGGGGGGACACATTTAACGTCGTGCAGGGGGACAGATTTACCTAGAGGGGGACAGGTTTACCTAGGTAAAAGTGTCCCCCCGGACAGATTTACCGGGTCACGACCCGGTAGATCTGTCCGGGGGGACACATTTACCAGGGGGGACAGAATTACCTGCCACACCGGCACCAACCGGTACCTGCCGTGCCCGCCGGCAGTCACCGTGAACGCTACTACGCGCACATGGCCAACGGGCCCTATGCCACGGGCACTCCACGAAAAATCATGCTGCGCTATATCGGTAAAGTTGTGCTAAGGTGTTTGCATTGGTATAGGAAATCCTTCAAACTTGCGTTTGAGTAATTTGGCTCCATTAAGTTTCACGTTGCGACCGGGCAATGTGCTCCACTGTCTTTATTTTTATTTCACGATGTCCCCGTACGGTGCATAATTTTCAAGGGGGCGAGTCGGTCAGGGGGCGAGTCGGCTAGGAAGGGAGTTGACCTGACACCGGATAGAGGAAGACAGTTTCCTATCCAGGGCTTACTATTGGAAACGAGGTTGGAAATAAAGAAAGCACTGGGAAGGAAGTTGTGTATGGGCCTCATTCACGAGTCGGCCATATCGGATTGAGAGTGAGGTAAAATTTTGATTTCTGGAACTTGTGTAGCCCCATAAATGTGGCCTTTTTACTGGACTGCCTCCGTAAACATAGGCCACACATCCAAGTACAAAAACGTGTCGACTTTGCCAAGTTTTGATTTTCACATTTAGGCTTACTTTGTAGGGTTTTTTTGCTTTAGAAGCATTCTCACCGTCTATATAGGCTTATCAGAAAGTGCTGCCTTTTTAAGATGTCTAATTTTTGTGGAATTTCATGTTGAAGTTTTGATACGCAAACGTGTGCAAATGTATCTGGAAATTTCACGAAAAATGGACATCTGAAAAAGGCAGCACTTTCTGATTAGCCTATATAGAGGGTGAGAATGCTTCTAAAGCAAAAAAAACCCTACAAAGTAAGTCTAAATGTGAAAATCAAAATTTGGCAAAGTCGACACGTTTTTGTACATGTGGATGTGTGGCCTATGTTTACGGAGGCAGTCCAGTAAATAGGCCACATTTATGGGGCTAGAACTTGTGTAGACTAGAGAAATGAAACCAACTTAATTACTAATTAATTCTAGTCGTGAAGTAAATTTAAAGGGCCATGCAATGTAATTTTTAAATGCTATCCTTAAAAATGCACATTTGTGTCCTATTTAACTTTTTTTGTTAAATTTCATTTGGCAATTTTCAGGGTAGGCCTAGTACTTTGCCTCTTTGGTGCCTTTTGGGGTTTTATGCTAATGCAAATGTCCATATTCATGAGCAAAACTGTGATGTCATTCCGGACAGTAACCTCAATCTTACAGCTATTGCAGCGCAAAATGTTGCTACAATTTCGGATTTTTGCTGTCATAAAATGTCTTTTCTTTGGTGATTCCTTGTTGTGCATTAAGCCTATCAGCAACCCTTTCATAATTCAAAATTTATATATCAACGGAAAACTTCGAAACTGAACAGTATCTTCCTGAAATTACCCCACAACTTACAGCGCCCCAAATTTTCCGGAAAAAGCATGCACCGATTTAAATGTTTAAAGAAGTGCACTTTTCAATAAAATTAATCAAAAAGGAATGTTAAATACCCTTTTATACATTTTAGAGGAGTAGAAAGTTGCACTGTGTTTTTCCCGAGAAAACTTCGCATGGCCCTTTAACTGACGCTCACCATCCTAATGTGCTGATAGAATGTTAAACCTAAAGTATCATTTCAGGGTAACATCAGTATATATATTTCAGATCCTATGTATTTAAAATCAACGAAAACGTTTGTCAAGGAGCGATTTAGCATATAATTCAACAGCTCATGGTGCTATTTTATTAACTTATAACCGTTCAAAAATATTATAAATTTCAGAGGAGATTTTCTCTTTGCAGGGGTACCTGATGGACTGTGCACCAAACTAACCTACCCCTGCCCTAGATTGACTCCGAAGACCGTGGACTTGGGCGACGATGTTTGGGAAATCCCCAAGGAGTGCTTGATGCTGGAAAAAAAGATTGCAGTCGGTCAGTTTGGAGACGTTTGGAAAGGTGCGCATTTTTGTTCCTGGTGTCATTTTGCCTAAGGAGTTTGCTTTTGAGAAAATGAAAACATAAGAATATCCAGATAATTCTCTTTCTGTCGTTCAGGCTATATGATAATTGCTTATACTGAAACTTTAAACTATTCGAGAAAAATGTTGAAATGGATGTAAATAAAGTCATTCTTTAACAGCCTTGTTAAATTAATTTCAATATGTGAATGTACCTGTAAAATTGGCTCGGGGAGTTTGACGAGTCAGCAGAGTGCACTTACTATATAATTTTAATTTCTGATTACAGACTTTTTCAGTCTTATATTTTTTTAAAGGTATTTGGAAAGAAAAGACCACAGCGGCCATTAAGACCCTGAAGATGGGGACTAGTCCATCCGAATTCCTTTCAGAAGCTAACATCATGAAGAACCTGCGCCATCTAAACCTCTGTCAACTGTGTGGTATTTGTTCCGACAAGGTATGGATCAGGTCCTTTGATGGAAGATAAGGTCTTGTTCAGCAATATTTTGAAGAATCTCTTTTAAAACTTTAAAAGTGCAATTACAAAGGTTACTGTAGGGGGGGTGCTTAGATATTCAGAATACAATGCATCAATGTACAAAATGCAAATTATAGGCCTGCAAGCTTTTTTGCATTTTATTACAACCCGCAATTCTTGGGGGTTTTTTTACCCAGGAATCCATCTACATTGTCATGGAGTGGATGTGCAACGGCAGTCTGTTGAATTACCTTAAAGATGGCGAAGGACGCAACCTGGAGTTGCCCGGACTTGTTGACATTGGAGCTCAGGTCAGTAGAGAAATCGTTTTTTTCCTTATCCTTTTATCAAGCATTTCTTCTGGCCATTTTCCATTATTTTACATGATATAAACATTACTTTTTTTTAATTAGATTGCTTCTGGCATGGCCTACTTGGAGTCCATGAACTACATCCACCGTCAATTGGCTGCAAGGAATGTACTTATTGGAGACGCCAACATCGTCAAGGTGGCTGATTTTCGGCTGGCAAAGAGGAGTGGTTCAAGATCAACACAATGCAGTAGGTTTTCATTACATATCCCTCTCTTTCAAACTGTTAATTGTCTTTGGGACAAATCGCACTGAATGATTTTATGGTCATCGAATACATAATTAACTTTTGACAGATAGAGCCAAGGCGCAGGTCCAAAACAACATTTATTTTTCCACAGTCCCTAAGCAAATTCCAAAGCGACTATGCATAGCGTTTTCAATAAACAGCCCGGTTTGATTACCTGAGTCCTGTATTGATCTTATACCAAAGTTGAGCATGTCTTGCATTTCTGTGTCACGTGCAGACGTTTCGATCCTACGCAAATGGACAGCCCCCGAGGTTCTCATGCACAAAGGCTTCAGCATTAAATCCGATGTCTGGTCATTTGGTATTTTGCTGACAGAGTTGGTCACACATGGACAGACTCCATATTTAGGTAAAGTTGTATTTTTCATTGAGTGGTCGGGCACAACCCGACCACTCTTTGGTTTTGTTGCGATTAATCTTTTTTTTTTTCCAGACAGTACTTCTCCGCGGGTTTTCTCTTAAACTGTATATGGTATGAACTTGTAACTTTCAATATATATATCGACCCTCATCCGAAGTGGTGCATATTACTCTGACGTCATGATTACGTCATCAGGTGTCAAATTACAAGTGATTTTATCTGGAAAAGTGACCAAATACCTTCACTTATGACTCTTGAACTAAACATTCAATGATGTTTGTATTCTGTAATCAGATAGACCATTACTCACTTAACATGTTTTGTCGTGCACTCGCTTGACCTTTACTTCCGGGTCTACTGGAAGGTCAAAGTTAGGTGAATTCAAAATGAAGACGTTAGCCTGAAATCAAAACAAAGAAACATTTCTTCCGAGCGGTTCACAGTATGATCACAAAACCTTGTATGAACTTGTACCATGTTACGAAGATGTTATAAATTTTGTTACGCCATCTGACGTCATCATGTCAAATTACATGCGATTGAAGGGCAAATAGAGTATCGTGTTCGTTTTTTCGTGAGGTTCTAGACTATGCCGTGAGAAACATTTCTTGTCCTCAGACACAAAACCGCTTGACCTTTGCTTCCGGTGTTACCAGAAGTGCAATATAATCTGAATATAACTCAAAAGCGGAAGCATTTTACTACAGAAAGTGTTAAGTGAGGAGTGCCAGACGCAAAAAACAGTGTGATGACGTCATCATCCGAAAGGGCGCCCCCCTAGCAGCACATACAATATTGTTTCTTTTCTTTACTTTTAAAACCATAGGTTCAAATTTTACCCAATCGACCCTTGATATCTTTGATTAACCACAGCTAACTTGGCAAGGTTTCACATTCATGACGTCATCAGACCGGAAGTTACTTTTATGAGAATTTGCCAACGATCATATTTTAAATTTAATTCTATCATTTGATCCATGTCATATATCTTAGCCCAAATAACGATACCATATGTTCACCTTTTGCTTCCAAATACTGTAACGTCATCAAACCGGAAGTTTGGTGTTATGAATACATACACTTATATTCTTTAAATTGTTCATACGTTATTTAACTTCACAATGAACATCCACTCCGAACTAAATCAGTATTCACTTCCCGTTTTTGATTAATGACGTCATCAAGCCAGAAATAACTTGCATGTGTACATAGAATATTTACTGAAATTTATCACACCGTTAAAGATGCTTTTTTCAAACAAAACAATTGATAGTCCTGGAAAGGATTTAATTTTGAGATCCTTTGTTCTTCCATAAAAATATTCAGAACTTAACTGGACAGTGTTTCATAAAATACTTGTCTACCCGCACTGCGTTTGTAACAACAAACGCGAATCTCTAGTTTATATCTGTATTTGGTTATGTACATATAAGACATGTCTGTTGTTCGCTACTGAATTGGTTTTGATACTTGTGCAAGCCAGTCTATAGATCTACATAGCTTGAACGGATGTCAGTTGTATTTAGTTATTCAGGAAAGTCCTATTGCGCTGCCTGTTGTATGTGGTATTGTAAGATTATCCAAACACTGTTGACAAACATTCTCTCTCTAATAAGGTATGACGAACGAGCAGGCTGAGCGTCTGGTTGGGCAAGGCTATCGCATGCCCAAGATGGCCAACTGCCCAGACGCCCTGTACGTACTTATGCTCATGTGTTGGGACAATGATTCCGCTGCGAGACCCACATTTGAGTTCCTGTATTCCTACTTGGATAACTACTCCAGCGCAGAAGAACCTGAATACAAGGAAGCAGAATGAAGACGGTGGTTTGTACAGTAGCCTGTCAACTGCAATACTTCTTATAGGGAATCTAGCAGTTGAAGATATCCACCGAGGTCATGGACACAGACCACAGTATAAACAGAGCATAAGTGTTTATTGGTCCAGACTAATTCCACATACATACCTGGTATTGTTGGTTACTCCGTACGTTGAAATAAGAAGTCCATTTTTAAATCAGTTATTTCCATTCAGTGCGGACTGTTGCACATCCATAAAAAAAAAATTCGATATGGATGTTTATAGTTTTCTTATGTACCATAATTACTATGCATATGCATGTAGTTTCTTTTTTTTAATGCATTTTCATGCGAAACATCATTATATACATTGTACATATACTACATTGTATGTTTGGATTATTTCACGATAGTTCCAAATCCTTGATACCGAGATTTTCCTTCCAATTATTTATTCATTTTGTACTCTTATATAATGTTTGCATTGCTGCTTTGTATTTTTTCTATGCATTTTCATCTTTTTTATGGTAGCTCCTTCTCTCTATTAATCACTGCTCTTCCAATTATTCATTCATTTTGTACTTTCATAATCATTTTGTACTTTTATATATTTTTGCATTCCTACTTCCTACTTTGCATTTTTTTAAATTGCCGTCAGCTTTCATCGTGTCACGTTTGTCTTGTCCGTCTTGTCCGTATTTCGTTATGCTGTTCTTATTGTGCCCCGGCTTACTTTAACAGCCCCCTACTCCTTATTTTCTCTTGTACATAAACCAAAGTTAGTTTTTCATTTGTTCAAAGCGTATTTTACTTTTGTTATATTTTTTGTGATTTATCAAATTTGTTATCGTGCTATTTTTAATTTCTCTAAAGGAGTATGATATAAATGTCTTGAATTGAAAACACGGGGACACCAATGCCAAAAGTGTCGTCCATACGGCTCAACTGTCTGAGGCATACATGTACACGTAGTCATACGAGGCTTTTAAGCACTTTATAAATGCATTGCTGTATAAATATGTACTGATGGCTGCTTTACCTTTATTTACAAACAAAATTGACTTTTCTTTGTGTGACAATAATATATCATTTTACAAATAAAAAGCAATCACATTTTGTTTGGGTTGTAATTCGAATCATTCTGTTCAATGCATACCAGGAATTTTAATTATACACACAAGATTGCATACATTTGATCAAATGTAATCGATCAAAAATAAAGAAGACGGTTAAATAACTGTAAATTTTGTCTGCATTAATTCGAAAAGTCACAATATCACCTTATCAGAGTCTCTCTGCTTTGTCAGGGATAGCCTTAAATCTATCTTAACTCTTCTATTTGTAAGACTTGATAACGACATATTCTCCCATCGTCAGCGCAGAAGGGCAGAAGTACAAATTCTGAAAAGAAACCTAGGTTCTCGGTTCTTACAAACATGTAAATGGTGTACAACTTGGGTTCCTGCTGACTTGGAACCTTGGAGTCTTAACTATGTTGAAATTAGGTTCCAACTCTGTTTAACTTGGGTTCCAAATATGTTGCACTTTGGCTCCAACTATTTTGAACATGGGTTCCAACTCTGTTGTACTTAAGTTCTTACTATGTTGAACGTTAGTTACAACTATGTTGAACTTGGGTTCCATCTATGTTGAAAATGGGTTCCAACTATGTTGAACGTGGGTTCCAACAATGTTGAACGTGGCTTTCAACTATGTTGAACATGGGTTCCAATTAAGTTGAACATGGGTTCCAAGTATGTTAAACTTGGGTTAGCTTCCTGCTTATGTTGAACTTGGATTCCCATTGATTTCAACAATGCTGTGGGTAAAATTAGGCAGTCTGGGGAGGGATAATACAGGGTTCGAAATTAGCAGTAGCCCGCTAGCCACATGCTAGTCAAAACAGCGGCATGCTAGTCAAACTATTCCTTAAGTAGCCCGGCTGGCGACTCAAAAAAATTATTGGAATACGGCAAAGATGAAAGGATATGAAGAAATAAATCATTAAATTCAAAAATCAAACCTGTATAAATTTGTGTATAATTTTTTCAACTGGTTTAAAGGGTTAAATTATAAGATCTGTTTATTAAAAACACTGACAAAACTGACTTGAACTACATGGACGTGTTTGGATGTGACAGGTCAATTTTTGGCACAATATGTCTCTTTCACATCATGCGATTTTTCAGTTTCCATAAAATTTCGAGGGTGATTTTTTTTAAAGAAATCAATATATCAAAACTAATTTTAAAAACTCTTGATTTTAACACGTTAATTTTCCTTTTCGCGGGGACCTGAAGCGTGCCACCAGGGATCAACTTTCAGGCTCTATACACATTTTACATGTATGCACATTGTTGTTTATGAGACACTCTTTTAAAGAAAAAAACATGCGGTTTAAAAATGCTCGAGGGCTAGTTAAAAGTCTGTTTCAGTAGCCCGGCAGGCTAGTAAACAAAATAGTTAAGGTCGAACCCTTGATAGTACCCTGACTTCAATTTGAATCCGTGCTCTCTGTCCTTGGGTCCTCCTAGGACGTGCGTTTCTGATGACTAATTCAGGTTATTGACCCCTCTTTTCGTGTCTAGGCCCTGGAAATTGAAAGAGAAAAGAGAAAACATGCAGTAGCACTGACTGAAACAAGGATATTTCATCCTTTCAATGGCGGATCCAAAGGGGGGGGGGGGTGCCAACGAGGGCCATGGTCCCCCCCCCCCCCCACACGCACAAAAGCCAAATGTTATTTCTAATATTAGTTTTTATAAATGATTTCGCAAAAAAAAGGCATCTGCTGTGTACACCACCCACAAAACTCAACAAAAGCAATAATACATTTGCACCCCTCCCCTCCCCTGCTGGTGAGTAGCCACATAAACATTCACAACAGAAGGTGACTGTTAATACTGAGAATCAGTTTAAATTCTTCCTTCAATTATTCCTCCTGACAAAACAAGCCAACCAAAGTCACTGTCATGACTTACGTGATTTCCTTATGCGATTTCTTCTCATACTCCTTGTACTGTGCCTTTTGGCCCCTAACGTGAAGAAAAAAGATGAGAACAATCATGAATACCAAGCAGACATGGCAAGTTATTCTGTTTTTGTGACAGATGACTCTCCAGTCTCTTTGAAGCCCGTTCTCCAACAGGCCAGCGAAACGAAAAAAAGACATTGCCTAAACACTAGGCCTAAATGAAACTTTTTGGGATTAAAAATTTCATATATTTTAAATGGAGTCTGCAACATCAACTGAGAACTTCAGAACTTTCGGACTGTTCAACTTGGAGTGTTGCCTGGTCTACCTGCAGTTCCCAATAGGCCGAAGACATAATGCTGTCACGCTTTGTTTACATGTGTCAGTGTGCTTTCCTATGGGAGCCAGGCGGGGACAATTGGCTGGCGTCCGGCCCACCTGGCTCCCATAGGAAAGCACACTGACACATGTAAACAAAGTGTTTCAGCATTATGTGTTAGGTCTACTGATAAACACCAGGGCCCAATTTCATGGCGCTGCTAAGCACACAATTTTCTGTTCATAGAGCCTTCATCTATTTCCTGCTGACTGTAAGCAGTAAGTACAGCAAAAGGCCTGCTTACCAGAAGAGGAGAAAACTGCTAAAATCAGTGATGTAGCAATAGTATACAAATATTGAGTGGATCAGCGTGGAATGGGAGGAATAATATCGCAAGGTAAAATCTGGACTTTTACATTTCACGAGGCGAAGCCGAGTGAACTGGAAAAGTCCAGATTTTACCGAGCGATAATATTCCTATATAATATGAAACTTTGTGCATGTTTGTGCATGTTCATCCTCTCCAGCTTGGAACACACTCGGGAGGTCAAAGTTTTCAGATACAAGCCCACCCCTGACAATTCTTACAAGATTTGGGATTTGGTAACAAGTGACAAAGCTGTGGATAGGAAACTACTACTTATGTTAGGCAGAACAAAACAAAAAAAAACAAAAATGACATTTTCTTTCCTGTTCTTTCAAAATCTCTACAACGGCACAACAGTCAAAAATTAAGCCACTCCTTCCAAATGGCATTTGAATTTAAGCACTGCGTACTCACCGCTTCCACGTTCTTGCTTCAATGATGTTCCTCTTCTGGAAACTCTTGTATCTGTCCCTGAGAAGATGCCCCTCTGGCTGCAAAGGAACAAATAACTCCCAAACATCAACACAAGATCTTAGAGAAGTGTAAAACTTGGAATTCAAGCATAAAGCCTGACTGTTTTAGACCTAAATAACCTTTCCAGTTGACTCAGTAATCAGCTGACAGTGATCCATCCTACTCTACAGTTACCACGGTGAATGCACGATAAACTAAATAAATAAAACAGTATCTAGCTGAAAGTTATACAAGTAAATGGCCGATAATTAATCTTTACTGCATTAACCCTAACCCAGCCAAACACAACACAGTGTATCAGGTGGAAAAGTCTGGTGCACTTAGATGCAGTCAGCTACCAATACCAGTGCATAAACGGCTGCTTCTGAGACAACCCCATTGTAGAATCCCATTCTACAATGCCACAGTTGTATCCTGCTGCATTCGGTGACCACAGGCTCTGAGGCAGTTTGGCCTTGAGACTTTTGGCCTCATGGATCTTGCAACACTGGGCAGGCTTTTAGACTAGTCATTTAGACAAGTGTTGCATGTTAAATGCATTTGGCAGGGTTTCTCGCCAAAATACCCAGGTGGGTTAGGGTTAATATGACGAGTGAGATTTCAACTTCAAGCTTGTTATGATAGTCTGATGATGGATGAAAGGTTTGCTAAAATAACTTTTATCAATTGCTTTCTAGGATCATGTGATAGTTTTTGACAGATGTCCGACATTATTCTTTTTACCGTTTCTTTAACTTAGTTCTTTAACTTATAGTTCTTAATGAAAATCAATCAACCAAATGGCGATATGACAAAGTTTCCTTTGAATCTTGCTTACAAGCTTTCAGACAGCAGGCAGAGAGCAGTGCTCAATAGAAAAATAGAAAATACGTAAGTGAATGGCAAAAACCAATGCTCAATTTACATTTTCCAAACACGCAATATTCCATAATACAAGATACGGACTGCAATATCTGTAGTTATATTCAGATATCAAAATCAACTGGCACTAGTAAGCAAAAGTTAACTGGTGCTAGTCCCCACCGAACAAACCTTTAGATTTATCAAACAGCACTAGCTATATACACTTTTTTCTTTCTTTAATTCGGTGAACACAAAAGAAAAAAAAAACAATGTTGAAGTACAAACTATCCTCCCATGAGCCAATGAAAGTGCTTCAGTTTAACTTTTAGAGAAAATGTAACAAGAACGGAACCCTCTTGAACGAGAAAGTCAGAGAATATGCAAACCTTGAGTTCTCGTAGACTCCCCACGAGTTCATCACTCAGCTTGATCACCATGGGTTCTTCCTCCAATCTATGGTGGCAAGGCTAAGGAAAACTGGGGGCCTTGGAGATCTACTACGATGTTCCAATCTTATCATATCTGTGTTGCAGTACTCGTACTCGTGTTCATACTTGAGTACATATTTTGGGTACTCTTACTTGTACTCATAAAAATGTCTGTGATCATACTCCCCAGAAAAAAGTAGCCGTACTTGCTCTTTTGCCAGTCCTGACTTAAGTGTGCACATTCCTTTGAGGAAAATACTGGCTTAACCCAATTCCCCCCCCCCCCTTTAGGGTTAACACTCCTGCTATTTAAGCAGTCACGGACAGTCAAAATTCAACTCCCCTTCCTCTGCTATACTGTTAACAAAGGCTAGTCACCAGCTGACTTGTGTCTTGTCAAACTGCGTTCACAGACAAAGCAGGCAAGTTGTGGTCACAGCTGTTTAATCACTCACCCGGAGTCAAAGCATAGCTGTATCAAGTAACTTAATCAGTCCAAGGCAGTCAATCCTGCTTTAAGTGGGCTGGGAATTCCTACGGGTTAAAAAGAGTCACTTGACTGATTTTGACTGCAAGGACAACTTGGCATAGGAGGGTTAAAACAAGCTTTAGTACATGTGATATGACAATTTGGTCAAAGGGAATATACAACATTTGCAAACATCGAAAAATAAAAATACCAAGTTTTTACGAAATACCTTACTAGTATGTTGGTAAATGACAGTCTCAAGCATCTTGTAAAGTTATGGCACCTGGTGTGAAGTCATTTTCAAGAAAATGGTATTTTTGTAAACATTTCCAACGGTGGTCGGCCGACCAGCGTTGGAAAAACCTAACTATTTTTCAACTACTGCTCCAAATTTACCATTTTTTCAGTCCAAATTTTGTTTGCTATTGGTTACATGTTCATGAACGGGTGCAGGCCAGCTAGACTGGTTCCCTTGCCTTACAATTTTCCATCATCTATAAATTGATCCATTTTATCTTTTGTGGAGTCAGGGAACCAGACTACTTGAACATTTTTGTTTTTCTTGGTTTGTCAGTAACAATATTTGATCTATTATACTAACCAAATAGTTCATTTCTGAAAATTACAGCAAAAGCCAATGATGTACATTCCCTTTAAAACAAGCGGTTTTTGGGGGTTCGGTTGCTGGCAAATGCCTTGTGATCAATTTATTAACAACAAGCAGTTTTGAAAACAATTCTCAATCAGTGAGCCCAATCAATTCGGAGAGGTGCTAATCGTCGCAGTGATGATGCTCGCTAATCCTATGCTGTGGTTTCGGAGAATGCCCGCCACTGAGTACGCCTGCTGTTTGCATCTCATGCTGCTAAGAGAGCTATTAAAAGACGACCATGCATTGAAATCAGTGTTTGTAGCCATCACAACTCTGGTCCAGAGAACTTTGTTTTGAGGAAAGTCAACTGTACAAAAGCTTTGGCTTAACCCTAACCACCCCCAACCCTTCAAACTCAAACTGCAATTTTTGTTGGAATCTGTTGGAGTGAGTACTGCACTAGTAGGCTGAGTATGCTTTGCATGAGATCAGGCATACCGCAAATAAACAGAGTCCAACTGTTTAATATGTGCACAGTTTACCATATAGTGTTGGATTTTGCCAGAGCAAGGAAGGTTCATAGTAAATCACTCAAAGGGGTTGGGGTTAAGCAATCTTCCCAGTGGATTTTCAAGGATTTGGTGTGGAGCTTTTGGGTTTAAGGATACTTGTGATGTCCGACGGCTCGTGGCACGTTCTCCATCTCTTTCTGTCTCTGCTCGCGTTTCATCCTCTCCGCCTCAAACTGTGCGTCCTTCTCAGAAATCTCCTTAGCGATGCTGCGCAGCCGGTACACCTCATTCTGTCGTATTCTCTGCAACTTCTCCGCCTTGACTTGTTTCTCCTGTGCAGGGGGCAGAGAATAGTCAGTCACAACTCATATTTTTACCAACTCATTTTCAGCTCATTTCTGGGTCTTTGGGGGGGGGGGGGGGTTGGCGGATTAAGTTTTTTTTTAGCATGATATAGAAATTAGACATTCTTTTTTTAAAGCCAAATCCTGCGGAATGATAAAACTTGCCAGTTTTCAGAAATGAAAGGGGCAAAAAACCTTCTGAAAAAGTTCAAAGGGAATACCTTCATCCTTTGACAATAAGTAGGGGTGTTCACCAGAACCCCGCACCAATGTACCCAACCGCTGATGTCAGGAACTGGTTCCAGTTTGATGGGATCGGGTACCCGTAACCAACTTTACAAATTACTTAGCCATTTCTCAGACAACAAAAAAAGAAGGGTTTTAAGGCCAGGATACGTGCAAAACCAGGCTACATGCAAAACCAAAACAGATTTCACTTTTATGTGCATTTTAACGTGCAACAGATGAAGCTCGCTAAAGTTGCAGTTTACACCATACAGCTATAGGCCTAAAGCTCTTCAAACAACTTTCGGGATTTGAATTTCGCAATTGGGTTTGTTTTGTGGGTACCTGGGTACCCGTGTTTTACTTCAACAGGGTACGCGGTTCCCTTACTACCCGCAAATGCACACCACTAACAATAACATGTATCAATTCAACTACAGAGTTATGTTTTTTGTCACCTTTTGATGAAAATTGACAGGTATGATTGCACATCCCATCCAGTTTTGTTTTCAAGTCCATCACAAGTCACAAGTCTATCACAAGTCATCCAAGTCCCAGTCAAATCTCAAGCAATTCAAGTATATTTTGACGAAGCATTCGTTGGTTATTGTTCATCCCCTGTTTACTTCTGACCAGACTTCTGAAACGACTTGTGATTTACTTTTGACCGGACTTGTTATGGACTCGACTACAACACTCTACCCGTCTATAATTTTTGATGGAGCACCCAGTTCGAACTTGTGATTTGTATGTTTTCTTCTCCTTTTTAAGATGATTACATCTCATAATATGTGATGCGATCAAGCTAAATGAGTCATTTGTCAGGAACTTTTATTTGGATATTCAGGCCAAAATAGAGCCACTTCATCACATCACTTCATCACATCTCTTGGTGTTCCAACTTCATAATTTGTGAACTAAAGATGGTACTAGCATGCGATTTTCACAGCAGCAATGCTTAAATTGTGCTCTTTTCACATCTGTAATAACAAAATTTGACCAGGGTCGACAAACGACTCATTTAGCTTGATCGCATCACATATGGTGTTGAGGTTGTGTGACGACTTCTTTGATAACGCTAACCCTCTGTGAGATAAAACTCTGTGAGATGGCATCTTCCGACAGAAAGATTTTTTTTTTTTCCAGCAGAGCGCAAGCTTGTAAAATCTCCGGAAAATATGAACATCTTTTTACCTTTTCCTTGAGTTCTTTCTCCTTTCGTTTCCGTTTCTTGGTTTTACGATTCTCAAAGGTTGTTGGTGGGTTTGGGAGGACGCCCTCTGCCTCCCCTTTTGTCGTCTCGGGCTCCACCCCTTGATCTGCCTCCTCTGCGAAGAGACCAGCTGACATCTCATCAATGTAGGTTTCCTAAACAACGAGACAGATGTGTTTATGTTTCTTACATGCAAAATAAAAGAACGGTTTTATGCTATGCAGTTTTATGCTATGCATCCAAAAGTCTTACAAATGTCTTTTTTAACCCTAACTCCCTTGTGTCTTTTACTAAGTACTGGACCAAGTACACCAAAATTCATTCACTAACCATGTTTCACATAATGCTTTAGGACAAAATCTGCTGAAATCTGCTGAAATCCACCACAAGACCGCCACTACTATAGGTAGGTTTTGTTTTACTCGGTACTCATGGCTTGCCTACCAAAAGCCCCAAAATGGGGTGACGGATTTTGATGGAGTAGGGAAGGTTAGGGTTAACTCTAACCCTGCCAGAGGCAACACTGTACATTAGGTAGAAACGTCCATGAGACCTGGCTGCACTGAGCCATCAACAGAAGTGAATTTGAACAGCCAATTCTGAAGCAGTCAGTCTCATTGAACAATGTCACAGCTGTATCCTGCTGCAGTTGGTGACCACAGACTCTATGGCACTTTAGCCTTGTGATTTTGACCTGATGGATCTTGCTATGCTGGACCAGGCCTGTCATTTTGACAAGCATTGCATGTTGCTGCGTTTGTCAGGGTTTCAACCAAAAAACCCTGGGGGGTTAGCGTTAATATTCAATTATCCATAAGGCCCTGCCACAAGTTGTTTTGACCAATCACAGCCATGATTAACGTCCGACATGGGTGCACAAAAGTCTGACGTGGGTGCACAAAAGTCTGACGTGGGTGCACAAAGTCTGACATGGGTGCACAAAGTCTGACATGGGTGCACAAAGTCTGACATGGGTGCACAAAAGTCTGACATGGGTGCACAAAGTCTGACATGGGTGCACAAAAGTCTGACGTGGGTGCACAAAGTCTGACGTGGGTGCACACAGTCTGACGTGGGTGCACAAAAGTCTGACGTGGGTGCACTAAAGTCTGACGTGGGTGCACAGAGTCTGACATGGGTGCACAAAGTCTGTGCATTTATGTGTACAATGAATAGGACTGGGACCCATGTTCCTCTTAATACAAAATTCTGATATAACAAACAATTTGGCTAGGTCCGAACGAGTTTGTATTAACGAGACTCGACTGTATTATCAGATAACAAATATCTAGAAATACTAGGGAACACAGTTGACCTGATCTTTGGTTTGACTCAACATTAAGTACTGACCTGTACTTGCTTAGCGCTGAGTTTGGGGATCTTGTGCCATCGTTCTAATCTCTCCTCATCCTTCTGTTTCTTGAGTTCTATTTCGTAGGTCGCATTGACTAGATCCTGTCAAGAAACAGGGTTAACCGCAGTCAAGTAAAACTTTTGTACATGCAGAAAAATCTGATTTGGAAAATCATTGTAACTGGGAAGTTTGAAATGAACAAGAACATGCCGACTTTAAATTAAATTACTGAATGTGTTAAAATGGCATTAAAGGACCTATTAAGTGAATATTTTTTAGGAACTTATTTTGGGCAACGTTCTAATCCTTTTCAATATATGAATATTATTTGACATCCCTTTTTGGTTAATTTTATTGAAAAGTGCACTTCTTTAAACTTTTAATATTGTCCATGCTTTTCCGGATAATTGAGGTCGCTGTTGCTGTGATGTCATTTCAGGAAGACCCTTTTAATTTTAGGTGTTTTCTGTTCAAATTGTGAACCCAAAAATGTGTTCAATGAAAACATGTGTGAGAAAAGTTTGCTAGTGGGTTTACTGCCATGTACTGACACAACAACGAATCACTAAAGAAAACAAAATTTACGACTGCGAACTATCCAAAATTCTGGCACCTTTTTGTGCTGAAACTAGTTGTAACATTGAGGTTTCTGCCTGAAATGACATCACACTTTTGCTCATGAATATGGAAATTGGCATTAGCATAAAAACAACAAACAGGCACCCCCACCCCCACCAAAGCGGTTGGGGTGGGGGGGTTCAGGTGGGGCTGTAAATTGAGGAGAACCTTCCACCTAAGACACATACCTGATGATCTTCAAGTGATGGATTATAAGATGCACCAGGAGCTATGATCTCTACTGCAGGAAGTTTACTCGGTTTGTCTTGGTACCTGGGCGGAAGCTGGTGACACAGAAGAAAAAAACAGACATTTGTATATTGTTTTGCCCTTCAACAAAACAACACTTTGAACATGGTATGTTCGGTGTAAAATCCTTTACACCGAATAGGTTTTGCCAAAAAAAATAAGTATTCGAAAACTGTGAGGAGTCTTTAGATTAAAAGGACACTAGGTCCTGGAACAGCCCAATTGGGCAACAAAACGCGCTTTGAACGAGATGATGTTAATCGGAAATAACATTTAAAAGTAGGATATAAACATCCACACAACTACATGTATCTTTTGAAAACTGGGAGTTTGGTCACTGCTGCTCCCGAGCGAGACACACAATGTGTATATCGTACACTGAGAACGACACGAAAAACGTATTAGTACTCCGTCATGTCCGATGTAAACAAGCGGGTTTTTTTTCGTCTTTTCTCGGGAACGGTAAGACATTAGGTTGGTTTCCTTTCAAGTAGATGTTTTAAATAGTCTAAGTAAACAATCCAAAACATAACATTTTCGGGGATTTCAGGACCTAGTGCCCCTTTAAGAAAAGCTTCCTTGATGTTATCGGTATCGTAAATGTTGCACGTTTTCATTGTTTGTCACATGTCACAATTTTGTTGAAAGTCACTTTAGATGATGATTTGAGAGCTTCTCTGATATTTATCATTCCAGTTTTTTTTAATGTTATTTAGTTGATCCTATAATAAAAGATAGATTGCTCCTTACATAAACTTCTTAATATTTTACTAATCTCACTGTCAATTTTCAACAAGCACACACAAATCTCTATTGGTCACAGCAATACTCTCTCCATTTAGGCAAGTTGAGCACCGTTCAACCCCAGTTAATTTTGCTCCAGTGTTTTGTGATGTCAAATTCACCTTGGAAGTAGCGTTCCTTTAAGTTATAAGCCGGCCCTTATTAATATTCTTGTTTCCTTGTCCATCCATTTACCTTTTTTGGTTTCTTCTTGGTCTCCCTCAGGAAGTGCTCGTCAGCCTCAATGCCACCCTTCTTGATCACCTTGGTTGCATCCTCACCTGACAAAAAAAACACAAAGAAATTGAAAGCAGATATACACTGAAACAAGATATACATTCTTTTACGTCAAGACACTTCAATCCACGACTCTGAAGTGTCATGGCCTGGCGGTTAAGAGCACCGGACTCATGTTCTGGTGTTTCAGAGGCAACAGTCACGTGGGTTCGAGCCCGGGCCCGGACACTTGTGCCCTTAAGCAAGGTACTTAACCATTATTGCTTCGTCCTTCAGATGGGACGTTGAGCCGGAGGTCCCGTGTGTTGTAAGCCTAACGCACGTAAAAGAACCCAGTGACACTTATCGAAGAGAAGGGGTTTGCCCCGGTGTTTCTGGCCTCCTAGTTATGCTCCCTTGTGGAAGTCCTTAGGAGAAGAACCAACCAAGTACCAAGTACCAATCCATTTTTTGCATGCTTTTATGGATGAAATGGAATTCACAATTTCAAGGTTCCCACAGATATCTTAAAAAGAAATTCCGTGACTTTTCCAGGACAAAATCAGGTATTTCAATGACCAATTCCGATGCTGTTTTGGCATCCAGGAGCCTATTTACAATATACACCACTCCAAGGACGCCAGTTTGACCAGAAAGCACCACATATGATGCATTGAGCACGTATAGAGCACACATGCATAAAGGTTAAGTATGGGGTCTGTGTACAAGTATCCCAGAAAGGGAGAGTGGGGGAGACCATTGGGAGAGACATTCACACGCATTGGCTGTGACACCCGACGCTCACGTGAATATAGCTTTGTGCACATTCAGAATAAAATTAGACGCACGTTCTTTGCGCTATATGCGCGCGACTCAGAACGCACGGGCAGAATGTCCCCCTCCACTGGGCTCTCCAAAGTGGTCAAAAAACGCCCACAGAGCCAATAGTAACCTGGAATGCAAACTGAAAGATTGCCGTTGCCAAATGTTATGCATCATCACAGGTTACGCAGGATTCTGTGACTTTTCCATGACCACTTTTCTTGTAAAATAACAAAATTCCATGACTTTTCCATGATAGCTTTAAATTTTAGTATTTTCAAGAATTTTCCACGACTGTCGGAACCCTGCAATTTCCTGCCAGGGAAAAAATAACAGACACTTCTGAAATGAAAAACCAATATGGACTCACCCCAGATATCGTAGGTTGCTTGTCCCACCTCTTGCCTCTTTTTTTCCTTTTGTCTTGTCTCCTGATACAATGAGCGCTGTTCTTCTGACTGCTTTAGCCTCCTTTGTTTGTTGGCACCGATGACTCCTTGACTCTCCTTAGCTCGCATCTCCAAGATGCGCTTGCTCGACCTCTTATTTTTTCGGGGAAATGCTCTGTAGAAGATAAGTTTGTTAAATGTGAAAATCGTTAATAACGAATGCCCTCAGGGGAAAAAAGGAACCCTCAGATTAGCCTCAGGTGCCAATTGCCCCCCCCCCCCCCCCCCTGCTGGGGATACAAAACATCATGGACTGCATAACAACAGACAAGGATTGTTGTAGGGTTATCGGCGTCTGGTTGTGATTCACTTAAATGTGACTGCTCCAACAAGTCCGGTTATGCACTTGCAATCAGTAGGCTGGTGTGTACAAGGGGAGGGGGGGGGGGGCTGTTACTGCTGGCTGATAAGGAGAACGACATTCAGGAACAAAACCCTAGACAGCGTTCACCTAAGGTTATATCTGGGTTCAGAATTTCAGAATTTAATGAAAGTCCTCCAGAAGAAATACAACAAGTGGAAAGCGGATAACAAATGTGTGTAATTAACAGGCGAGTGTTGATGGAGGTGTACAGCACAGTTCACATTGTAGTTCATATCACTTTTGTGCCAACAGGCAACGATGGCCCATAAAGAACAAGAAAAATTTAAAGATTTTTAGGGACAAGAATTTAAGAATCCCTAAAACATGGCAGCGGAAAATAACTGGCACGGAAGCAGCAGCACGCTGAACGAAGCCCTCTCTTGAGCACACAAGTGCCCCCTTGCATCTCGGGGCTTAAGTTCCAATAATTGTATATAATGTAGGGCAAAACAAACATAAACAGGAGACTTACTTTGGCACGGGTGGGACTCGGGGATCTGGGCGAAGACGTCGGTCCACCTTCAGCTGGATTGGACCTCTCTTCTTGCCTGACACATGAAGGGAAGAAACACTGGATGAAATATTGGCTGACAAACGATACTGGTTTAGCTCTAGTCTTTTCAGTTTGTCCCTTCCTCATTCCTTTATTGTTCCGAAAGCAAATGTACTTACGGGTCATCTAAGATTATCAACATTTTCAAAAGCGTACAAAACATAATCCTTTTGGCAGACCACCCCCCCCCCCCAAAAAAAAGAGTACTTAAAAAAATGTTGATTTCAAAGATATCCTGGAACAAATGGTTCTTTCGTAGCGCTGCAATTAGTTTTGAAAAATTACAGTCTTAAAGATAGGATGGCTGGCACATGAGGCGCTTGCAGTACGCGCACGCACATGCAATTCATCACTTCAAAAAGTTGCGTCTGATAAGGGCTGCATCCTGTATGTTTGTCACTGGCGTGTAGCATGAAGCTGAATGACAAATATGGCTGTGCCCATGAATCCAGAGCTGGTCCAGAGTTCATCAAGTTGAGGTATCAGGGTTTTTTTATGAGAGATCTTCTGAAAGCCCCTTAACGTACATGGGTCGTTATACCCCCTCCTCCCGGGGGTACATTTGTACACTTTTAAAAACGTATAAAAATTATAAATGACCCCTTAATCTTTGTACTCTTAAGGGGCCATTCAGAATTTTCAATGTTTTAAAATTGTGATCTTTTTTCCAAATTGTGGGTGGGTGGGTCAAGCTAAATAATTGAAAATCGAAATTCACTTTCCATGGAAAAAATAAAAAAAGAAAAGAAAGATAGATCTTTTGACTTGCCTGAACTACGCGCAAGCGTTCCGATATCGCGATGCGTGTTTCTTTTCCAACTTCGTCCCCTGTATGTACTGTACATGTACGTCATGTACGTGTATATAGACCCACTGTGGCATGAGAGGGAGGTGGTTTTTCAGTAGACTTGGACGCCGGGCGTTTGTAGCGGTTAGTCCGTGCAGAGGCAGCAGGGTACCAGGTGTACTAGATCGGCTCTATAACACGCCGCGGGCGTCGATTACCAATCGCTATAAAAACTGGACTATTCAACCACTGGACTCCAAGACTACGAGGACCGCAGCCTGTGGTGTGATGTCTGCCCAAACCTGATGTTTTTCTTTCGCTCGTACCCCCCGCCCTGCAAACAGGGCGGGGGGGGGGGGGGGGGGGGTACGAGCGAATGTTTTTCCCAGCTACCTCACGTGACAGGCACAACCTCGTATGTCACATGTCATCCACCTCATCCAGAAAACGACAAAACCACGGTCATCTTTGTGGCTTCCAAAACTGTAACCTGTCATTCCCAACAGCATATCAGCTGGCAAGACACAAGAAAACTGAAGGTCACCAGTGCAAAAGAGGAAGACCGACAACTTCACGCCGTCACTGAACTAGACACACATGTACATGGGTATACATGTTCATGTTCAAGTATATGTACATGCAAGTACATGTACATGTACATGTTCAGTTTTTTATTAATCGAAATTAGGGGTGGGTGGGTGGGTCAAAATAATTTGGAAAAAAAGTCGAAATTTTAAAACACTGAAAATTCTGAATGGCCCCTAAGTTAGTTGGTTTTATAGAGTCTTTAGTCACTTTGATACTAAACCGTACATTAGAATTTTGAAAGTTTGGGGGCAGTTAGGATTAACGAGAAATGTATGATCGGATACATGGGCCCCACCAGGAGCTGTTGAACCCTAACCCTTACATGCTTTTTTGCATCATGTTACAAAAACCTGCATATGGATGGCAAAAATTGCTCAACCGCGGCTGTGCCTACATGTATGTGAACATCTGATCATCAGACTAGGGGACGACAGGATGTCGTCCCAAACTAGCCCCCATTTTATAGAAAAGTAAACATGACCTCATTACATCTCAAGGCTCTTACAATAAAATGATCCACTAAGCCCCACCCCCTATTATGTTTTGACCAATCACAGCCAAGCAGCAATTAATGGATAACACCTGTCTGACATGCTTGCACTTGACGATACAGTCTTGCATTGGATGATCACACGTGGTATTGCCCACGTGCCAATGGGCGGAGCCTAACATGCCTAATGGATCTGTAGGTTTATTATGACCTCAACTCAACCTGATTTTGTCCTGATGAGTTTCCCAGCATCCTTGTCCTCAAAGAACAGGTCTTGATCCGACTTCTCTGATGCCAAACCTCTGCAAAAACAAAAATTAAACAAAGCCTGATGAATGGGCATTAATTAAAAAGGTTCCGAGCAGATATTACATGCATCTCCATGGGAAGAGATTTTTTAAGGCTGTGGATATTTAGCTGGATCAGGCTTTCTTTGAGTAAACAATGTTTTGCCGGACAAGGCCAAGTAGTAAAAAAAAACCCAGTTTATCGTCTGATGGATCTTTTCATCCCTCTTTTTTGGTCAAATTTTAAAACAGTCCACCAAAACGGACAACTTGTAACGATGCAGCGCAGCATATTCAGCTCGACCATTTGGGATGGTAGGGGGATTGTATGCTTTGCATTGCGCAACAGTGCATAATTATTATGTACTTTTTGGCGCAACGTACGTAAACACACATGAAGCGTGAGCCATGTATTCGTTGGATCGGAAACGCGAGGCTGGTGAGTAAAAACTTAGTTTTTCCACTCAAAAAATGTTCCATAGTCCAAATGGTCCAAATGGTCTGAGTGGTCCATCTCTTTCCAACACTATGCTCGACAGGGACAGTTGGGCCCAACTCATCAAGTCATCATGAAAACGAATGAACGAAGAAGAAGTACGAGTAATTGGGAGTAGGCAGGCTAATGTCAATGGAAAGAATCCCATATCTGGCCATCACTAATTTTTCCCTTCAGTGACCTATCAAGTCCAAACCAACGGCTACACGGAAGCGGAGTGGGAGTGTGCACATGGTGCACAGAGTGACAAGTGATGGCCAGATGGGAATCTTTCCGTAACAATACCTAGGCCTAGGCCTAAAATGCATGAAGGGGGGGGGGGGGGGGCGCTGTACAATCTAGGGGGCTTAATATCCGGCTAAATATCCACTATCTTTTATAGGCACAATTGCAGAATACCCCGCCACTCGATCTATCCACCTCGTAGCCGGCTACGAGGTCACGGCTGATTGACCTCAATAAACATTCTCAGCGCTACTTGTATGTACTATGCGTCATGCTCCATTGCACTCCCACTTCGTGACCGCGTAGCCGCCAACAGGGTTTTTGGTTTGGACTTAGAATTTTTTCAGCAACTCCCATTCCTTTTGTGTTGCTTCGTTCTCAAGCATATTCAAGGGGACTCCCACTCCGTAGCCTCGTAGCCGCCAACAGGGTGGTTGGTTTGGACTTAGAATTTTTTTCAGCAACTCCCATTCATTTTGTGTTGCTTCGTTCTCAAATAATGGACCCCCACTCAGTATCCGCGTACATGGCGTAGCTGGCAATGGACTTGAATTGTTTCTTTTGCAGTGATTCCAACCTCGTAGCCAGTGATTTTAGGGGTGTATTTCCGAGTGGCGGGGTATTCTGCAATTACTCCCTTTTTTATAGGGGAAGTCAACTCCAAACATTCCCGTCTCATGAATTAGGTATGATTCCCGTCCCAAGCTGAATACCAAGTCACAACGACATTGAGCGCGGAACCAGACATGCCAGACGGCAACAACATCATGCATGTCATGCACACGGCACAAGTTCCAGCATCTCACCCTGTCCGCATCTGTTGCCTTTGCTCTTCCAAAAACTCTTCTACATCTTGTATATTGGAGTGTTTTCTCCATGCTTTCTTCCGATTTTTGGCGACTCGTTTTCGTTTAGTAGTAGTAGCCTTCGGTTGTTCTTCCATTTTTTTTTTCCGGTTCAACTAAAATCACACATACATGTACACTTAACTTTCAGACTTTGAGTGCACGTGGGTCATGTACGTAGCTAGATATCAAGATTAGTCGATTGTGCAACCTGTCGATAGAGGGCGCGAGTCGTTTGATGCGTCTGCAGAGGGCGCTGCACTAGGTGTATGCAGAAAATTATCCCGCCACAGGGGATTACGCCATCAGAACTTCAGAAGGCAAACGAATTAGCTCTTATTCCAGCTTAAACAAATTATTCTGTTTTTTATGGACATTAATTATTTGATACTAGATTTAAATGTATGAACAAAACTACTGGTAATGGTATTATACGTCATGCAGCCAAGAACGCAATTATTATTTGGGGGGAAGGGGGGGGGCGGGGGCAAAAATTATTTCTTCCCGAAAAATTAAAAGTGGGCCAACATTTTTTTCCGCCCCGAATTTAATATGAAAGCAAGGGGAGGCATGCAAATGTATTGCTTTTGCTGAGTTTTGTGAGTTGTGTACGCAATGTCAGCCTGTTTTGCGACGTTACTGGAAAAAAAACTGATCCGCCGTTGCATGCAGCGTTTCTATGAATTTTGACGTCTTGCGAGAATTTTTGGGATCTAGTCTCAACATTCAATGCACCAGCATCGCCCACCTAAAACAATTAATGTTGTAAATAATACTCAAGAAAAATGTATGTTTTATTTTAACTCGTTCCCGGCCCGCCTTTTTTTTCCCCTTGATATCACCGGAAACTTATCTTTTTTTCGATCCTCAGCTCAAAATGACCTTTGGGGCTCATGTATATTACATGCGTACAGGTATATTTATGTAACATTTTTTTTTAAAATGTCCAACTTTCGACGCATGTAGCGTTATAGGGTCTGCCTGGCAAAAAAAAACATTCCTTAAAATTCCTATGTCTGTAGTGGTGTAATCAAAAATGGTCGATGCATGGGAAATATACCCCCGATTCTTCTGACCATCACTCGTGAATCTCACTCGGGCCTGTAATGGCATGAGAAGCACACATTAATTTTTATGCACATTGTTGCATTTAGGGCTGCCGGACTGCATGCTCGTAATAGCAGATAGTGAGCCCGGATATCAGTTCTTGTTCCTTTTTTTTAACTACATGACATTGTAGATAAAACGACAAATAATTAGAGATCGCAAACAAGAAAATATTGCATGATGAGGGAAGTATTTATTGCTTGAAAGAAACAGATAAACAATTAGCAAACCTTTTTAACAATGCACCAAAAAAAAAAACCAATTAAACAATTTTTAAACAACAGTATGACACCACCACCATTCTGGATTTTTTTTTTTCATATTTGTCGTCTACCCTTAAACAACAAAATGAATCTAAAATATAACCCCAATGCGATGTATTTTTGTTTAAAATTCCGGTAATCACACATTGCAAGTCTTACTACTACTGTATCATACTACAAGCATGAGAGTCGCCTGGGTGTTATTTTACTGGGGGGAAATCACAGCTGGGCAAAATGTGCCGACTGAGCACTTGGTGCGGCGGCGCGAGGGCTAAGCCAGATTTTGTTTCGGTCACCCGGCCGCTTCACAAAAACAAAGAAGTATGTTTTGGTAAGGCAGGATCTAGAACACAATATTTGGGGGGGGGGGCAAAAAACTTATTTCCCGAAAAAGTGGGTCCAAAACTTTCCGCTCCAAGGTTTACTGTAAAAAGGCAAAGGGGGCCGGGGGGCACTAGGACTCTTCGTGGCATTGGTGCATGGTGGCGCAATGCTAATGCAGTAGTGCAGTGGCTGCCTTTCTTGCGACTTCACTTTAAAAGTGTGTATGTGGATTCAGACTGAGGACTTGGGACAATGGGGTATGTGCGATAATGGGCCCGAGGACCCAGGTCAGGTCCTCGTGAAAATGTCTTGTACAAACCTTATAGGAGCTGTCGAGAAAAAAAAAAGTACAAACAAAAGGGAACAAAAGAAGAAAAGGATCAGGTCCTCATCATGGATAAAAATTTGTTTTCCTTCGTAATATGTTAAATGCGGGGGAGATGTATTAGTAATAGTCGAGGTTGTGAGGTACTGATTATACGAAACTGAAAACTCTCTTATTTACTTTGCCCCACTTCTTTTACTTTCCTTTTTCCTATTTCTTCCTTTTTATAGGGGGGTGGGGGGGGGTTGGTGGTTCGGGGGAGAGGTGGGGGAGGGCAAGTGCTGCATGTGTAATAATGTATGACATGTAAAAGTAAAATCAAATTGAAGAGCAAAATTTCAGGTTTTTATTGGCTCCTGTGGAAAGAATTTATCGTGCAAAAAAATAATCCATTCACCATAATTATTGAGAATATACGATTGTTAATATTATCGGATTTCATTCGAAGATGGGCATGGTCTAATCTGTTCCTGATTCACGGGGAAGCAACGGTCGAGAAGATGCTCAGCAACTTCTGGAGGACAGCACATCAACGAAGACCTCACAGAGTTGAAGAGTTGCAGTGCCCGGAATATCGACGCTCACGTAGCGCGCCCTCAACGGATGATCGCAGTCAATCTCGATGGTCCCTCCCAATGGTTGGGCTTGACTGCTAGTAACTGGTGGCCCGCATGCGGCGTTCTGTGTGGCAATGCCGCTCAGTCCGGCACGAACCTGAGCGCCCTGCAATCGCTCACCTTTAAATACAATGAAAGAACAGAATAAGCATCAAACTGTATTTTTATTCTTAAAAGTTGTTGGTCAATGACCAACTTCTTATTCAAAAACGTGAACCAGTTAATGAGTGCAGATCCTGAAATACTTACTGCAACAGTCTCCACGGTTCAGGATGGTTACCTTGGTAACGTATTGTTCTTCCTCAAGGTCGACTCTCCACCAGGGGTTTCTGGAGTTGGAAACTAATTCATAAGGAAAAAAATTGGTTGTGCTTTTGCTGAATTCTGCTCCGACCAAAAAATCAATTTATTTCGAGTCTTTGAGTGAGACTTTCAGATAAGTAGGAAAATGTAAACTCATAAAGAGACTGTCACTAATCACACCCAAGCTGTCTGCTTCATAAAAAAAATTATCATCACTGATTTGCATACACCAGGCCGTCCTTCTGAAAAGATAAACTAAATGATGTGATTGTTCTGTCTCCTCCCATTTTTATATGTGGATTGTCATGGCATAGCGGTAACCTGACTAATGCTCTGGTGTTTCAGAGGCAACAGTGGCGTGGGTTCGAGCCCGAGTGGACAATGTCTTGTTCCCTTAATAACCATTATTGCTTCGTCCTTCGGATGGGACGTAAAACCGTAGGTCGCGTGTGTTGTGTAATATTGCAAGCACGTAAACGAACCCAGTGACACTTATCGCTAAGAGAAGAGGTTTGCCAAGGTGTTTCTGGCCTCCTGTATAAACTCCCACGCGGAGTACCAGGAGAAGAATCGATCAAGTACCAAGTTATAATAGCCTACAGAAGAAAACAATAAGATTGTTCGATTTCTTTCGGTTTCACCGCATCCGCCATGCATTAACCCCTGTCGAACTAAAAACAAAAGGAGAAGATATCCTACCAGTGTGAGAACAATGCGCGACATGTGTAATGGGGCTGCCGTCCACTGCGTTCTCTGCGGGAAACTGTCCGCTGCCGTGGGACGAGCTTTGTAAGGCCGGCTTGCCAAAGATACAGAACGGCCTTGGAACTGTTTGGAGAAAATTTTAGATGGAACACATAAAATCAAAATTGTGATTTGTGTGTGTGTGTGTGTGGTATTGTAGTCAGTAATATTTCAATCGAGATGTTTGAACTTTGAAAGTGGATGCGAAACCTTCGAACACATTTTTTGACTTTTTCAATTATAATGTTTTCTTTTTGGCTGAGGGGGAGGGTTGGAGCCGGGGGTCGGGAGTAGAGGCCCTATCCCAAAAACGACACATTGAATTTAATTAAGTTGCAAACACAATAGTTTAGATAATTTTCAAACTTTGTTGAAATATCTTTGACATGACCATAAAATGGCGCCCAGCTCACCAGCTACAGGACAATGGTGAAGCGGCAATTCCTCCACCGTCACCTCACAAAGTTGCAAGTTGACAGTTCTACCGGGGATATCCACGCTGATGTAGCGCGCCCTTAACGCCGGGGAGCAATCAAACTGGATGGTACCACCGAGTGGTTTGGCTTGGGCAGCGGTGACAGGTGAGCCACAAGTCGGGTTGTCGGTGACAGTGGTGCTGTCACCAGCGCGAACAACAGCGCCTGCCAGACGTTCGCCTGCAAATGCAATTCAAACAATCAATTTTTGGTGCAATATTCCCTGATGTTTTCATATAAACTGCAGCCTTCCTTTATTTGAGAACTCCCGTTATACTTACTGCAGCAGTCTCCACGGTTCAGAATTCGGACTTTGCTGATGCAATGGTCCTCTCCAAGATCGACTCTCCACCATGGATTGGCACTGTAAGCTAAGCAACAAAAATAAGTAATACAAATACGAAGTAAGGAAACCAAACGAGATTCAATCTAGACCTTATCAAATCATCTAAAATCATTATGATAATTTAATTAAATCATGTGTTATGTTGCACGCATGCGCAATATGGAACGTGACTATATTTCTTCAGAAGAAACTGGCGTCCGGGACAAAATCAACACCCCAAACTGAATCGTACTGGCATTTTTCTTGAAAATGTGATTGCGCAAGCCACCTCTAGACATTTTTCGACCTGATTTACAGTTTCTTTTAAATACAAATCTCACATGAACATTAATTAGTAAGTTAGCCCAACCTTTCGAGAAGGGAAACCATTAGCGTCAGTAGTAGAGGGTAACACCTACTACAATGCACATGAATACCGCCTCTTGTCAGATGTTTTCATTCCCATTCACAATGTCCAGTTCCTCAACTCTTCCGACTAATAAAGTTGATTATCTTACCAGTGTGCGAACAATGCTTGATGTTTGATGAAGGACTGCCGTCTACTGCGCTTCCCGCTGAAAACTTTCCGCTGGTATGGACCATGCTTTCTACAGCCGGCTTACCGACGATACTGAACGCTTGGGAAACTGTTTGGAAGACGTTTATAGGAATAAGAATCAAACAATTAAAAGTCAAACAAAAAGAAAATCCACTTCAGCTGGAGTCTATTATACTGATAGTTATGGTCACAAGCTTTCAATCTTGCAATCAAAAATTTCGAATCATTCAAACTTGATGAGAAATCCTTAGGTATCATATCTTCAAAACAAAGTCTATTTATACTAACATGAAATTATTTTCCAATTAACCCCATCACAAGTTAACAAACATATTTAATTATGTTGAGAGCATTCTCAGCTCCTAAGAAATAGTTGTCCTGAAATCCAAACATTTTGTTTTAAATGGCAATGTATGTTTTGTCATGTAGGCCTATGTAGAATTCCTATTTTCTTGATTGGATATGCGTTTGTACCTTCAGACTTCTTGACTTCGGTTAATTCCATCAGTACACGATCAGACAAGAATTCCAACTCCTCTTCCTAACAATAAATCATGGACAAGAAAAAAACACCGACTTTAAAAAAAAATAAGATAGTCTCTTCATATTTCTGTAAACTGATGTGTTGCCTGCTGAAATCGAGCCTGCAAAAGGGGGCCCGAGTAACTTTCAGCCATCTGGAAGTAGTCGGTATAGGAAAGCTGATGCAACACATACTCTAAAGTTTACTTGTAGGTTTATGTTACGTCCCAATTGACATATGGCGAATTTTGACTGATCCGGCGATAGCCTTCTCCTATTCGTTACCGATATCGCAAGTTATGTGTTTGTTTTTGCCTCAACAAGTTTGAGCGACATTTAAAACGAAAAATAATACAACTTAGGTATCAGTTTAAAGTAACAGAACCTATAAATAATGAAGGTTGTTTTTTCCCCTGCCAATACCGAGTGAAATGATGCAGCAACATTATCATTTCAATTGTAACTTTCATTGTCGATTGCGTCTTAGTTTACTTCCGTTGTAGTTGACCATCATAAATAAAAGGCCTACTGAAATTACAGTATGCCAACTGCTGCCACCGGGTAGACCTACCCTGTCGAACATTAGAGTTGGAATTTAATTGACATGCCAGCAGAAATCGTAAAATCATGAAGTAAAATACCATTCTTTGTTTATGCATGTTTATGGGTTTTTCCATAAAATCAGGGTACCAACTCATGACAATTTGACTCAAAATGGAAAAGAAAATTGATTGACCAGGGATTCAAAAACAATTTTCAATCTAACTTAAAGATATTGACATTCTTCATTAAATTCTAGCCAAATTCAGACATTATTTACTCCAGAAATGTCAAAATACCATGTCAAAATCCATTCACGGTTTCACATTATGTTTGTAAAGGGGACACCAAATTAATGTCTTGCTTTTTTGGTGATAATTCATAATTATACTCAATGTAGTGCGTTTATTTTAAAATGTATTTTTTGTCTTACCCAGCATAACAAATCATTAGTTATTGTGAAAATCACTTGCTTAGACTAAAAATAACTATTCTGTGATTGATTACGATTGCTTAAAGGGGACACCATTTTGGTGTCCCTATTTATACGTCAATCCCAGTAAATGGCCAAAATAAAAAGATTCCAAGCATGCAATCTTTGTTATAATTTCACACTTTATCAAGTGGGACATGTAATTAAAGGTGATACATCTGGATATGCCAGTGAACTCAATAATATCTTTATTTCTCAGAAACATTGCACAAATTTCCTGTGTAAAAAGGGACACCAAAAAAAGTGGGTCTTGTTTACAGTGAAACATTTGGGTTACGCACTGTGAATATCGCTCTGCTATATATTAACTCATTTAAATATAGTGTCATTCTGAAACAGTCTTTATAAATACCTAAGACAGTTTACCCATTCCTATTGGTCGAGAGCCCGTCACGTGGCCGGTCTTAAGCGGATGATAAAGCACCAGCCAGAAGGGTTTAAGACCGGCCAGCAACAAAGGTGGCCCCTGAACAGGGACACTAAAATGTTGGCTTAGCGAGATTGGTATCCAACCTTTCTCCAAAACAACTCATCTAGATTTATTGACGAACTTTTCTTGCCTCGTACTGTCGGTACAAGTAGGCCATTGATACATACGTGGGCTTGAAAATGTGACACATTTTTACAATACCGTTTTCTTTGTTTTACGTTTCACAAAGTTGCTAACGAAGTCATTTTGGCTACGCACTCGGCCCGATAGCTTATTAGAGTATCACGAAAGTGTCAAACGATTTGCTTTGATTAGGCTTAGGTCTTATTTCTCTCCCCGTTTCATGGTAAAAGCATACCTGAAAACAATGTTAGAAACATAGGTCAGTTTGATATTTAAAAATCCTTATACTAGCTTCTTTCAGGGTGTTATCTTGAGTTGTATTTCATTTTTGAGGGGGAATGCAATCTCACGCTCCGTGCATAGAAATGGCCCCAGAACATGGATAGCAAACTAACCTGAAATTCGCGAACAAAAGATCGTCGGAAAGTCGTCAATATTTGTACTTTTTATGACGGGTTTTTTTTTCATATTTTCTATGTTGTTTTACCAAAAGGTATTTATGAATGGGAATAAATATGTATTTGGCTGGTATCAAACAAGACTTTTAAGACCGGTTTGGAGTCTGGACTCCTTCGGCTCTGGTAATTATCAGCGTCCAGACTCCAAAACAGGTCTTACAAATCTTGTTTAAAACCAGCCAAATACATATTTATTCCCTGTTTAGGTTGCTTTAACATACTTAAGGGCAATTTTTCATACACATGGTAGTATTTGATATGTAAGAACCAAAAACACATTCCAGAGCAGTTTTCAAAATGTCATAACTTTGATGTCCCTTTATAAGTGAAACCGTGAACTATTTAGGTCACCCGCACAGTTAGGATATTAGTTAGATGTTTCATCCTTTGCTGCCAGATATTTACAAGTACTATATTTGAGCCACTAAAAGCATTTGTATAAAATTCACTATTAGTAATAATAGGGAAACAAATGTCACAATGTAAAGAGGGACACCAAAATTCATTGGCCTCCACATGGAATCACCAATATGTACAGCACCTATGAGCGATGGATACATTTTACGTTATATCAAGTTTAAAGGTTTCACCAATTCTTACATTAAAGTTGGCGTATGCGTGCTTTTTGCGTGTGGCACCTTGAAAAATAGATTTCAAATTGAATTGATCATTAGTTATGAGCTTTCCAATGAAACATTGCACGAAAAAATCGGCCTATTACAAGTAATCAATTAATGAATTTTAGCTTTTGGATTAAGAGCGTTCTGAATAGTGTGCGCAATTTCTGAACTGGAGCGCGCCATTTAACACCACTTTTTAAAGCTGTAAAAAGGCCTGCAAAAACAAACAGGCAAGTTTGTTTGTTACAGGACATCATATTCCTTTTAATTCGTTCGGAAAAGAAAATTGACATTTTGAAAAAGCACGTATATAATTAGTCGAAGAAAATCGATTTAGTGCACTTTCAATGTTTAATTTCGTACTATCGTACAAGTTCAATTTGAGTTGAAGCAAAATATCCAACCATGAGCACACATATACGTCAAGGAATTTTTGATTTCGCCTCGTCTATACGCAGAACCATGGTGTTCCGAAAACAGAGTCGTGTCATGCCACACAATTTAATCATAATTTTGTTCCATTACGTCTTTTCATTGTGACATCTTCATCGGCAAAGAATATTCTTGACCTAGTGCTTTATTAGGTTGACCAAACTTTGAAACTGAATGATATGTGACTACATGTACAATGTACATTGGTTTGGACGAATTTGAATAAGAATTGGTGAATTGGAATCGTTTCAAAATAGCCGGGAAACCTACATTGTTATTTTTTTTATAATTTACTTAAAATATGTTTAAAAGTATCAAGCAAAGGGAATTACAATTCCTAAACCGTCTTTCTTCCGACGGACCGAAGGGGCGACCGACCCAAGCAGCCACTCACCCACCGACTTAGTCACTGGGTGTAATGTCCTAAACTATCAAGCTTAGTCTGTCCAACCATAAGACTGACCAATTGAAGCTGTCCAGTTGAGACTGACCACTGCAGTAACCAGCTGCCACTTGTTTTGGTCCATCTTGGGAAGGCAATTAAGCCTATTTTTTTGTTTTTAAATAATTACAATATTTTGATCCCACAGTGGGGAACTCAGGGGTGGATCCAGGAATTTTCGCGGGGGGGGGGGGGGGGGTTCATGAGCAAAAAATCTGAAAATGTACAAATTTTATTTTTCTCCGGACACTTGGCCTCCGTAAAATCTAAAACTGGGGGGGGGGGGGCTGGTATTTTTCAATAGGGGGCGCAAATTCGACGATTATTAACACTAGATTACAGAATGGTGTACCGTATTTTGAACAGGCGGACATTATACCGGTATAATTTTTGGGGGTGTCACAGCCGGGGGGGGGGGTCTGGTTCGCATTATTTTTCAGGAATTTTTATGATAATTTTTTTTTTGACAGAGCCAAAACCCTCCCCCAGGATCCGCGCCGAACCATGAAAGCACTCCCTTTCTTATTCTGCGCGTCAAGATTAAAACATTTATTCAACTACCGGCGCGTTTTTGGACCTCATTCAATTTTTGTCATTCAAAATCGATGTTTAAAAGGCGCATTTTTGACTTATGCCAGAAAACAAGACAAACTGTATTTTTTGAGAGTGTTTATTGCTGTTTGAGGATATGAAAGCCAACTTTGCCATTGCCCAAACCAACTTTGTCTCAAATGTTATTATTTATGGAGTTGAGAGAAGAAACCAACTCACCTCGTTCAAGTTCATGGCGTCGGCGGTTCGGAACCCCACAAGTCCCAGCACCAAGACAGCAGCAGCCACACAGCGAAACATTCTTTTCTTGATTTCAGAAAGTCGGAAGGAAAAGTTCAAACAAGCACGCTCCAGCTTTGTGAACGCTAGCGAGACTACACACCAGAGTGAGGCAGCGGCGGAATGTGTTGTGCTTTAATACCCGCGAAGGCATCTATCCCATAATATTTGCCAAAAGGAAACACATGCCTATGGTTAACGGCGCAGTGAATCTGAAACCGAGGCACTTTATTAATCCTAAAAGGGCCGGGGGCGGAATCCGACAAGGGCGGATCAAGAACACAATTTTGTGGGCGGCCAAAAAAAAATGTGTGTCTCCCAAAAAGTGGGTCCAAAAATTACGGCATGGGGTTCGGGGCCCGCTTAAGGGCCCCGAAATTTTTTTGGATTCTCGATGCTCTGTGGTGCGATCTGAGGCAATTTCTGACCACTTTAGCCAATGTTTTTTGAGGAAAAGATGGTGGTGTACTCATTGCCTGCCTTTATTGCGACCTCACATAAAACAACAACAATTGGTTTCGGTTTTTTGGGGGGGAGGGGGGGCATGGCCCCCTTTGGCCCCCCCCCCCGGATCCGCCCTTTGAATCCGAACCCCCCCCCCCCCTCAACTTTTTCCGCGATAGCCTTTAAAAAAACCGCGACCCGAGCTGTTATGACTTTTTAGCCTGGAGCTTTGCGCATCTTTTGATACCAAAAACATAAAAATTGGACCAGGGGTTGCCGCGTAGCGAAAAATTTCCCGTGAAAACTGAATTTTCCCATAAACGTCGTGTACACAGAGCAGAATTACCTTTACTTTACTTTATTTCATCTCAAGGCATAAAAGAATACAGTTTGTACTTAGAATTTACTATGATTCATGCATTTTTAGAATATAAAGATAAGAATAACATTTGAATAACACCACCTAGAGATGCAGGGGGCCCACAAAAAGCAAAGCTTGTCGAGTGCGAGTCCCCTGAACATAAACAACAAAGAAGATACAGGATGACAAGAACGATTATAAACAAAGACAGTAAGAAAGCTAAACAAAAAAACATACGTACACAAAAATAACGTAACATAATACAAATTAAAGGTAAATTTTAAATGAAAATGAATATGATGATCAGGCCAAAAAAAAAAAGTCTCCGGTTTCTGGTATGGAGCTTGCCCAAAAGTGGTGCGGCGACGCGACTTCTTTTTTTTTTTTACCTGTTTTTTGCTTCAAATGTCGGCTGATGACTGCAAATGGTGCCCGACTAAACTTAGTGCAAATATATGGGAGTCCAGAGAGGCCACATAAATCTTATACCCGATCATAACCCCATCTAAAAACACGTTAAAATTGTGCAACAGCAGGATTCCAGTCAAACCAGAGAGTTTGGCGGTTTTGAGACATCATCTTGTATTGAAAAAAAAACTTTTTCATTTTGCCGACGCGCAAGGCTACGGCGATGCGCGCGCATACCAGAAACCGGAGACTTTTTTTTTTTGGCCTAAGCTACGTGAAAGTCACAATATGACAAACAACAACAAACGGTTGAATTTTACAGGGAAATGAATGAATTTATAAAATAAAAGGTTCCAAAACAAGCAAAAGTAATACAAAAGGAGCATGCAAGAAAGCCACACCAACAAGATATAAAATAATATAAAATAATACAAAACCATGATCTATGAAGATAAACAGGTAGTACGAAGGATTTAGAAGGAATGCTGCTGAACAGTATTGACAAGAAAGACAATTTGATAAGCGATGAAATTCTGAGTTCATGAATTGGAGTACTTGTTGAGAAGAATCTGTTTAAAGTTGGTTTTGAAAGCAGAAATAGATAACGATTTTTTTTTATTATATTGTCTATGCATGTACCGAGTTTCAAAATTTTTCGACGCTCGATGGCCGAGATCTTAGGGAGATGATCAAAATACCCTGGCCTGATTAGGGTTCAGGTTTTTCTGTCACTTGTTATTGGCTTACCGCTAACCTCCCCAGATACGTCAATTGATTAGGCTTCGTTTACACCTCCAGTTACATACCTCTCTGAATTTCAATATTCCATTGGCCTATATATAAAAAGCTAATCCTGATAGGGCACGTTCGTTAATGTGACTTCAGAAAAATTTCTGAAAGAGGGGGAGCGGTGTTCAAAACCGCCCCCATGTGATGTGAACCACCACCCCCCTGTTCTGACACCCACCCACCCCCCCCCCAAAAAAAAATTATACGCTGGCAATAATATTCTCCTGTGCACACAATTCGGACAGACAGTAGGGTTAAGGGGATATGTACGGACGGTCTAGCCAGACGGAATTGTGGGGTGATAGCATTGTGTTCCCATTATCCCTTTTTCTAAAGATTCCCTTCTGTATGGTGGCCCCGAAGGGACATCGCATATCGCAAACGTGTGCGCATACGTATGCGATGTCGCGAAATTTATCGCGAATATGTGCGCACACGTATGCGATGTCGCGAAATTTATCGCGAATATATGCGCACACGTATGCGATGTCGTGAAATTAATCGCGAATATGTGCGCACACGTATGCGATGTCGTGAAACAATTCGCGAATATGTGCGCACACGTATGCGAATTTGTTTGCAATGTCGTGAATTTTATTGCATACCTTGTCGCATACCTTTCAGTAAAATTCCTAATGAACTGGGGAGTTGTAGCAGCTAGTCTGGAAATTTGCGCGCGCAAGTTTCAAAGTTGCGCAAGTAGCAAGTTTGCGCTCGACAGTACAAGTAGTAACGATTGCACGAGGAACAGCGTGCGCGCGAAGGTTTATTAGTCAGACCCTATTCATATCTAACAGTACGTCTAGATTCCAGACTAGCTGCTACAACTCCCCAGTTCATTAGGAATTTTACTGAAAGGTATGCGACAAGGTATGCAATAAAATTCACGACATTGCAAACAAATTCGCATACGTGTGCGCACATATTCGCGAATTGTTTCACGACATCGCATACGTGTGCGCACATATTCGCGATTAATTTCACGACATCGCATACGTGTGCGCATATATTCGCGATAAATTTCGCGACATCGCATACGTGTGCGCACATATTCGCGATAAATTTTGCGACATCGCATACGTGTGCGCACACATTCGCGATAAATTTCGCGACATCGCATACGTATGCGCACACGTTTGCGATATGCGATGTCCCTTCAGGGCCACCATACTTCTGGGTGATGTTTTTCTATTGTGAAAATAGATGTGTCCTGAAAGGAACATCACCCCACAAGGGGGTATGGTCAGAACGCTATTCTACACTACAGTGTTGAACAGCGCCCCCACTGAAAGTATGGTGGGACCTCCCCCCCCCCCCCCCCCCCCCCCCCCCCCCCCCATTTTACGGAGGCCAAGTGTTCGGAGAAAAAACCTGCCTGTCTACATTTCAGTATTGATTTGCTGATGAACCCCCCCCCCCGCAATAATTCCTGGATCCGCCCCTGAACACAGTGGTGCCACGCTCTTCGCCTTGGAATCTAAAGTATAATATCATATGTGATATTAATTCAATCACGTGATAGATTTCACGCATACGTATTAAGGTCAAAGGCACAGGGAGGGAATTAAACAAATTTAAAAATGGCCGGGGGCGCTCTTCATTCAAAGCGGACAGTGTCAAATTTTTCTTTGTATTATTTTTTATAAAGCAGGGAGGGTAACAGTCGTGGTTGTGAGGTGCTGTTAATATGAAACGTAACACTTTATCATTCACTTTTCCCCCTTTATTTTCCTTTTTCGACTTTCTTCCTTTTATTACGGGGGGGGGGGGTTTCGGGGGGGTGTTGCATGTGTAACAACGTATATCATGTACCTAAGAGCAAATTAAACGGCATAATTTCGGGTTGTTATTATTGTTTTTCCTGTGAAAAGAATTAATCATAAAAATGCCATTCGCCATAATCATAGAGAATACAATTGTTAATCGGTCTTAGTTCGAAGATGGGCATGGGATGGAAAGGTCGGACGACTTTGACTTTGATCAGGGCATGGTCTATCAGATCACAAATTATGAACGAGATTGTTGATTTTGTTCATAAGTTATAAATGACATATAGCGGTCATATTTTAAACACAAATCGCTCGTAATTGTATACCTAACGACGTCATCATGACGACACACTAATACGCACAACTGGGGATCGGGTCGATTATGTTCATAGTTACAACTTTACACCATAAACCGTTTGGGAGAAAAGCCGCGTGCAAAATGGTATATAGTATTTTAACGTGCTTATTCAAAATTTGGATTTTCTTTTCCGAACGACATTTAAAGGAATATAACGTCCTGTAACAAATAAATTTGCTTGTGGCAGGCCTCTAGACAGCTTTAAAAATTGGTTTTAAATGGCGCGCTTCAGTTCAGAAATGGCGCAAACTATTCAGAATGATTAAATAAAAGATACCTTTTTGGGACTTTGATCACAAGAACTCATATCAGGAGCTTGCGACACCATCACGGTGTCTTTGTCAACTGGTGTTGTTGAGGCCCTCAATTCCGCTCTTAATTCAACAGTTCAAATCAATTAATTGATTACTTGTCATAGGCCGATTTTTTTCGTGCGATGTCTCATTGGAAAGCTCATAACTAATGTAATGCTAGAAAATTATCGATTCAATCATTGATATCTGTTTTTCAAGGTGCAACACCCAAAACGCACGTATACACCATCTTTAAAATTGTGCAAACAAATTAATTTTCATCGAGATCCCTCTTTCAGTTTCAATCCTTTGTCTTTAATCCCCCGTCAAACGATTTTAGTTTTCACCAGCTGTAACGCTTTTATACATTTTAGATAGGCCTATATGATTATTTATTTTTCAAGGAAATATGGCTTTATGATAGTGTCACAAACCACGTGTACCACACAACACAAAACATGCCCACTGTTCGTCTGGATGGGTTTCAGCTTAACCTAAATGTATTTATCTTGGCTATTTCCCCTTACTAAACAAATATATCTGTTTCGTGTTAAATCAATTACATTATGATGATTGACTTTAATATAAGGATTGTATAAGGCGTCTGCTGCAATTTATACTTCAGGGAGATTTAGATTTTAACTTTGATTTTAACCCATCGCTGACATCAAGCTGCTTTATTCTGGGCACTTATATATGCTTATATGCGAAAAGGGTTCAGATTGTTTCTTGTTTAACTGCCAACTATTTCTAATACATCTCACCACGCCATAAGGCGAATCAGATAAAGATCGCAATCGTTATACTGTCTACCGGAGCGACTTGAATAATTTGAAGACCGAATCACTAGTCGGATCTTTCAACTTAGCCGCGGCAGTCGCCTTCAAGAGTGGGTCGCTCTGATACCTTAGATGCGGGTCATCGCTCAGGATGATTTCCTCCAAGAGCTGGGCAATCTCCTCCGGTTGTTGGTAGGCAAACACGCGTGGCTTCAGATCCTTCTCCCAGTAATCTTTGTACAGTTGTTGGCCCTTTTCCTCCCATGTACCGCAGATATACTCTATTTTAAATGCCGGGTCGAGGCAACGAGTCAGAAGATGAGTCTTAACTGCACCCGGCTCCAAAATACTGACTCTGTTCATAACAATCAGGAAATGATAGGAAATTTGGGTGTTTTCATCTGATCGTATATAATAAAAAACAGGGGCGGCAGATGCGGGGGGTAGGGGGTACTCCCCCCCCCCCCCCCAGTTGTACCCAAGTGCCCCTCTTACGGACATATGTGCCTCATCATCGAGCATAAACGTGCCCCCTCGAGATGAAAACAAAACTGGCATTAAAATTTCTGATAACTTGTTTTCAGTAACCATTTCCGCAAATGATATAGAGAGTTCTGATATGAGCGAGGAATATGAAAACCAAGCCCCAAAACCTTTACACCGGCGCCCTGAAAATGGGCACACAATGGCGTAGTTTACCTAAGGTTACAGACCAGTAGATAAACTTCCATAGACCCCAATGGTAAATGCTCACACTTCAGAAATTTGGGAAAAATACTCACAACTCTCCAAGGTGCTCGAGACACACATCAAATTAAAGCTTATTTCATCATCTTTCGTTTTCTTTTCAATTTTTGGGGGGTTAACAGATGACTTTTAGGAGAAATTTCAATCCGAAGATGATCACCCCTGAAAATAGTCCTGAAGCCCATCGCCATTTTGAAAAACGATGCCTACACTCCATTATAAAATACAGCGCTTTAAGGGCCCCAATTTCATCCAAACTGAACGGAACTACAAGCTCACAGTCCTGTGCACGGCTTTCACCCATATTTTTTACAAACCCTCAAGTTTATGGCCCACAGCATGTTCAAATACTGAAGATTTTGAGTGCATGCAAATCGTGATTTGGCCGGCGTAGGCAATTTCGGACCGATTTACTGGTCTGCAACCCTAATGGCCGGTTTTCAAGAGCGCCCCCTATTTTGGAAGATTATGAGAAATATGAGAACCATTATGTAGCGCCTTTATAATGGTTCACAAGGTACTGCGACGCATTAAGCAGCCACTGCCAGAAACACCGGGGTAAACCCCTTCTCTTAGCGATAAGTGTTACTGGGTTCTTTAACTATATTAATGTATACTTTAATGTATACCTGATATTGTAACCTTTGCGAAGGACAGGTGCTATGCTCTCAGAGAATCCCTCCAATGCGAACTTGGATGCTGAATAAAATTCTAGGAAAGGAGTTCCTGTTAAAAAAAAATACAAATCAGCAGGAACGGACTGTGGTTCGCACAGTGGATGTGTGAGATGGTGCTTGGTGATTATTTAGTGTGTGATAGACATGTAGAGTTCATGTTATCAATCTGTCATTGAAATTTCGCTGAATCATTTGCCAAATGAGGTTCTCTTTTTCTTTATTCATTCATTTTCATGATGACTTGATGAGTTGGGCCCAACTGTCCCAGTCGAGCATAGTGTTGGAAAGAGATGGACCACTCAGACAAGTTTCTAGCTCGATGGATGTTTTCACGGTCATGTTTGGACGACCTTTTCGTCGAGGGGCCGTCAGGATTCCAGAGGAGAACTTGAATAACTGGCTCATTATGTCGATAAACGTGACCGGCTAGCCGAAGGCGACGCTGTCTGATGGTGGTGGAGATAGGGGGAAGGGCACCATACACAACAGAGTTAGGGAGATGTTGTTGCCAAGAAACGTTCTGAACAGCCCGCAACATCCGTGTATAGGTGCCATCAATGGATGCAGAGATCTGTTTGGTCAGGGCCAGGACTCGCAACCGTAGAGGAGGATGGATTCTACTGAGGTCTTGAAGATCTTAAGTTTGGTGGTATTGGAGATCGAGGATCTCCATACTTTGGTCAGTGAGAACAGAGCAGACCAAGGTTGAGCTTTTCTACACTCGATGTCATGAATAAAATGAGGTTAGTCTTGGCATTATACCTTCTATCCCTGTTCCGCTGGTTGTGTTGATGATACGACCTGACATCTGTTTCTTCATGGTTGGTAACACGGCCTGAATGACCCGGGCTGGGCCGAAGAGGTTCACATTCATAAGATGTTGAGCGATGTCAACGGAGCTCGGTGGGTTGTAAAAGAAGAAGCCAGTGTAATTGCCCGTCACTCTGGCATTGTTCACTGACAAGAGAGGATCACAGCAGAATAAATGTAGTTTAACCAGTAATTTAACAAACAAACAAACAAACAACCCCAACAAACTTCGTTGGGGTGTTGGGTTGTTTGTTTATTTGTTTGGGTTTTATTTAGGGAAATACTTGCAGTTTTGAAAGTGAATGAATCGGTTACAAAGATCTTCTGTTTAATAAGTGGCAATATAATTTGTCGAATTTGTATCCTCCTCGTAGTAATCGCAAGGCTCATTTTAATCAAACTGCGTCCGAGACACATGGCCATACGGCTATTATGCACATGCGTAATAATGCGTAACAGTGGCTGAAGCCGGTGTGGAAGTTAATTCTGTCCCCCGGTAAAACTGTCTGGGGGGACAGAATTACCTAGGTAAAAGTGTCCTCCCCGGCCCGTTAATTCTGTCCCCCTCCGGTCCAGATAATTCTGTGCCCCCAGGTTTTTTTGTCCCCCTCTTTTGAAACCCTGAAGGCCAGTTCTCTTTATTGTTTTTGTGAATTCACTCTACAAGGTATACATTTTGGACTTTTAGTCTGCCCTTCATGAATATAAAAGTATTTAATTTGGTCTATTAGGCCAAAAAAAAAAGTCTCCGGTTTCTGGTATGCGCGCGCGTCGCCGTAGCCATGCGCGTCGGCAAAATGAAAAAGTTTTTTTTTCAATAAATGATGATGTCTCAAAACCGCCAAACTCACTGGTTTGACTGGAATCCTGCTGCTGCACAATTTTAACGTGTTTTTAGATGGGGCTACGATCGAGTATAAGCTTTATGTGGCCTCTCTGGACTCCCATATATTTGCACTAAGTTTAGTCGGGCACCATTTGCAGTCATCAGCCAACATTTGAAGCCCAAAAAAAACCAGGTAAAAAAAAAAGGCCGCGTCGCCACACCACTTTTGGGGCAAGCTCCATACCAGAAACCGGAGACTTTTTTTTTGGCCTTAGATGATACGTGAACACAATGTTTCGATTTGGAGTACGGTGAAATCTATCGCGATTCTACCGCGATAGGTCAATACAGCGGCGATGCATAGCGATGGCCCTCGTCTCATTGATACAACGCCTACTTGGATTGGTCTGTGTTCCCATCATAGCGCGTAACGAAATTTCCTATTGGATGAATTTCTATTGTAGAGGGAGACGCATAATGTACACATGTGGTAATCACTGCCACATATCTTGCAGCATGTATTGGCGCGACGCGCGCGACACGCTGCTGCTCGCCTCTCAGTGCATACATTAACCAGGGGGACACTTTCACCGTTGGGCAGGGGGACATTTTTACCTGGAGGGGGGCAAATCTACCTAAGTAAAAGTGTCCCCCGGACACATTTATCGGGTCACGAACCGGTAAATGTGTCCGGGGGGGGGGGGACACATTTACCAGGAGGGACAGAATTACCTGTCACACCGCCATCCATAGCCATCCACGTATGTTACTGCGGCGGCCTTAGTACTCCGGACGCGGCCGTATGTTACTGCGGCGGCCTTAGTACTCCGGACGCGGCCGTATGTTACTGCGGCGGCCTTAGTACTCCGGACGCGGCCGTATGTTACTGCGGCGGCCTAAGTACTCCGGACGCAGCCGTATGTTACTGCGGCGGTCTTAGTACTCCGGACGCGGCCGTATGTTACTGCGGCGGCCTTTAATAGTACTCCGGACGCAGCCGTATGTTACTGCGGCGCCTTAGTACTCCGGACGCGGCCGTATGTTACTGCGGCGGTCTTAGTACTCCGGACGCGGCCGTATGTTACTGCGGCGGCCTAAGTACTCCGGACGCAGCCGTATGTTACTGCGGCGCCTTAGTACTCCGGACGCAGCCGTATGTTACTGCGGCGGCCTTAGTACTCCGGACGCGGCCGTATGTTACTGCGGCGGCCTAAGTACTCCGGACGCAGCCGTATGTTACTGCGGCGGTCTTAGTACTCCGGACGCGGCCGTATGTTACTGCGGCGGCCTTTAATAGTACTCCGGACGCAGCCGTATGTTACTGCGGCGCCTTAGTACTCCGGACGCGGCCGTATGTTACTGCGGCGGTCTTAGTACTCCGGACGTGGGCGTATGTTACTGCGGCGCCTTAGTACTCCGGACGCGGCCGTATGTTACTGCGGCGCCTTAGTACTCCGGACGCGGCCGTATGTTACTGCGGCGGTCTTAGTACTCCGGACGTGGGCGTATGTTACTGCGGCGCCTTAGTACTCCGGACGCGGCCGTGACCACTACACGAGCATGAAATGAAACTGCAATACTACTGTGTTATAACATGGAGGAATAAATAGGGTGCGTTCGAGTAGTTTACGCGTGGGAGTAACACTTACACTGGAGCGTTCGATTAGCCATTGTGGGTACGTTCGAGCGTGTTACTCTTGCTACTCCCAAGAGCAGGAAAATGTTGCGTGCGCATTACTCTCGGTGCAGGAGTATACTTCTGGTATGACGGAGAGTATATTATTATACTCTTGCTGACCCGCGGGTCGTACTCCTGCCGTTCGGGCGCTCAGGAGTATACTCGTGTTAACACGAGTAGCACGCTCGAACGCACCCCATGTGTTTACTCGTGTCTGCTCATGTCCACTGCCCCATCTCGCGAGTGGTAATGACGTATCTTGACGAGTTCCGTGGCTAGATTGACGATTGCGGGAGCTTGTTGAGTAGGCCTACATTTTAAGGTCCTGCCATGCAACAACCTTTGACCTCAATTTTCCCAGAATGCCAGGCGACCGCAGCGTTCAATAAGATTAAATTCAGGCTTCCTCGAGTGTACAACTCGTGTATTCACCAAGTTCAGGTTCGGCCAAGTTCGGGCAAGGACCATTAGTCGACTAGTGGTTGATTTGTGACGTACCTTACGCCTGCGCACTGATAGCAACGTGCGAATGTCTCTAGTCAAACGCTGGTCAAAATGTCATCCCAAAACTTCTGGATCATGGCTCTTTGCTAGCGTTATGAGTGCGCGCGGCTATTGGTTGCCAGCGATGCAACCAGCCACAGTGGGTTGGTTCCAATAGTCGACTAGCGAAGTCAACCATCGTCGACTAGACAGAGTTTGGGCAAGCGTTAGTCGGACTATGGTTAACCATTGGTCAACTATAGTCCTTGCGCGAACTTGGCCTAATCTTAAACAAAACCATGAAGAACCTACACAGAGCGCCCTCAGTGTGTACAGATTTTGTTAATTAATGTCCTGAGAATGAAAGTACAAAGTATTCATGCGTATCACAGAGTACCAAAGTCCTGTCCACTATGAGGGCGCTGTGCATGTTCTCTCTACATTGTCCAGAAGAGTGACGGACGCAATTCGGCTTTAATGATATTCAATCACACTCCCTTATACCAACAACGTCGATCCTGCCGTCTTCTCGCAATATCTCGTCAACTACGGACTTGATAGTATCTTCCTTGGTGACATCCAGTTGATGGATGAACAGTTTTTTGTCGAGTGAGTCGCCGGCAGCCTTTTCTAGGTCTCCCTTTTCGCCAAGATCTATCACTGTAGCGTAAACCTATATACGGATAAAATGTAATAGCTTTTTCAGATATGGTATAGACACAAAGGGATGGCGCTGTTGCGAATGGGTTAGCGCTTTTGTGTTTTACCAAATTTACCCACACCAAATTACATAGCCACCTCTTTTTGTGTCCACCATAATCTCAAAAAAAGCCAGCAACCAATGCTGAGCTAAACGGTCGTTTCTTCATTGGCTATAGCTATCAAGGAAATTAGTGCCGTGATTATATAGGTTTTCTCGGTCAATTTCGGCAAATGAGCAGCCAATTTAACCACTACGCTATTCTATTTCGCGCGAAATCAAATGCTACTGAAAAGGGTCATTCGATTTCGTTTTATGACCAGTCAAATGTACTGTTGCGTCATTCGATTTAACAAAATAATCATGCAATTTAACAATTCAACAAAGCAGCATTCAAATTCGCAGGAGCTTTTTGAGGCGTGTGTTTAGTCATTCAAATTCATTTTTGGGCAGTCATTTCTGGAATTTGTGCAATCTAAAAAACGCTTTGTTAAATTTTTGTTTCCTTAAGAATGTTGAAGGCATAAATACGGTTCACTTTTTGGCACTTGAGTCACTTTGCCGATGTACTTCGAAGACGAGCTTTCGCTACAGTTTTACACGCACATTTCTAGAAATGGCAGCTCGTGGTCGCTACGCTAGAGTGGCCCAGGTAGATCGAGAAAGGTTGATTGAGGCCTTCGAGGGAAACGAGCAAGACTACCTTGAGCTTGCGGTCAATTTGAACATCACCAAGTCCACAGCCAGATCAATTGTTGCAACATATTTGAGGACTGAGGGGCGAGAGACGCTGGCAAGAGGAGGAGCAACCAACATCAAGATGGATGATGACATGCGAAACCATCTGCAAGGCATCCTTGACGCTAATCCCGTCTTTACACTTCAACAAATGAAGGCTAGTTTGAGTGAGCATCTGCCAGAGAAGCCCCAGGTTTCTACTACCACCATAGCCAGGGCCTTGGATGGGATGATGATTACACTGAAACTAGTGGAGGACGTCCCTGATGCAAGAAATTCCCCTGAAGTTCTTGATCAACGCGTCCAGTATGGTGAGTGGTTCCTGCAGCATGGTGTTCTGGCGCATCTAGTCTTCATTGACGAGACAGGTTATAACGTCTGGACTCGACGCTCCCAGGGTAGAGCTCCACGAGGGATCGCTGCAAGACGAGTCGTCGACAGACAACGAGGGAGAAATTGCAATGTCACCTTCGCTGTTTCTAGTAAAGTACATGTAGGCTTGGTGCACCACCGAATCGCATTCGAAACTGTGACGCGAGAGAAATTCGAGGAGTTTCTTGCGGACACAATTCAAGAGTGTGATGCAGTTTTCCCAGACGACGAACCCATTTACCTCATATACGACAATGCGAGGCCTCACGTGCGAGCCCAACTCCCTGAAGGTGCCAACCCAATGATCCAGCTGAAGCGCCTCCCTCCCTACTCACCATTCCTGAACAGCACGGAGATGGCACACTCTGCATTCAAGGCTGCAGTTACCCGCATCCTTGGGTTACCTGAGTGGCAACAACGTGTCGGAGACAGACAGGCTGCCCAGCAAGCAGGAATGAACATGCAGCAGTGGAGGTGCGATCTCCTTCAACAAGCAGCCATCCAGAGCGTTGATGTCATCACCCAAGTGAAGTGCATGCAGTGGTACAACCATACCCAAACATATACATATGCCAAGATGTCTGGCACGCCAAGAGATTGATGGTTGAGGAAGAAACAACATAAACAATATAAAAACCAGGAAAAACATAAGAAACACCCCATTCAAACACAATACAAAATTAGGTCTTGGTCAGTTAACCAATAAAGATCCCCCCCCAAAAAAAAAAAAAAAAAAATGAAAAAGAAAACAAAGAAGAAGAAAAAACCTCATTGGCACCATGTAAAGTCTACTGGAAGCATAAATAAAGAAAACAAGGTTTGCCTGAATTAAAGTGAAGATACGAAACAGTTGCCTAGTACAGTTTATCTGTTTATTCGTATTTCTTTAGTCGTACTTATTTGAATTCTCTTTAAGCGAAATTGATTGCCTCTTTACGAAATTGAAAAAAATTTAATCAGTAAAATCTCCAGTCGAACCAGCTTTGCTAAATTGAATGATGATTGTGTGTCACGAAAAAGAATGACGATATGCTAAATTGAACACAGTGCTAAAGGAATTTGAATGCCTCAAAACGAAATTGAATGGCCGAATTCTGAATTTGAAACGCAGTAACAACTGGAGAGGCAAAATAGCTTCAATTCGAACGCACGAAAATTAAATTGGCTGCTCATTTGCCGAAATTGACCAAGAAAACCTATAATATACCATTTTGTATTTAATCCACATTTTATAGCCATCGACAAGGGTTTGTCATCTGTAATTCGACGAATGCCCAAACGGACTACTGTATGTCCTGTGGAACAAACGGGTGCACTTCGATAATCAGTGGGTAAACTACACACCACGTAATTAATTAAGCATATCTTATGCTGATCGGAATATATGATTTCAATCGTGAACACAAATGAACTAACTTAAAAGGATGATAATAACATTGTTCATTATAAGATGTAATTTTGCGTCGGGGTGATATAAATCAAATTAGGTTTTGCCCTTCACCGACGTTTAAACTCTGTATACTCAGTGTATAGTGTGTTACCGCCAGAGTAAAAGATGGAAAAATCACTCGGGTGGGACTCGAACCCACGACCTCCTGCTTTCTCGTGCAGATGTCTTACTACTCGACCACCGAGCTAACGGATTCAGTTGACTGGTTCGAATCGGATGTACATAACAGTGGGTACCGCACTAACTATTATAAGATGGAATTTTGCGTTGGGTGATATAAATCAAATTTTTATAAAAACATTGTTCATGCCGTAGACTATAGTTTGTTTCGTTAGCTTTATGAGTGCTAAAAAAAAAAAAAGGAAACCGGCAACATTTACCTTAAAGTCATGTTTGGATACCGTGGCAAGGTGCACAGCCTCAGCCAGCCCCATTCCCGATGAACAGCCAGTAATAAGAACAACTGTCGGTGCCATTTTGTTGAGAATGAACTGATTTTCTGTGACTCTCAACCTCCGCCTCCCTGTATGACATTGCAAGAGTTCAAGGGCGACGGCCTTTGATTTGGTCTCACAACTTCAGCTATTTTGAATGATCAGATACCACTCTGATAATCTTTGACCGATCTTTGTTTAATCATAGGGTTTGCGTAGGCTAAAAGTTGTAATCCAAGAGCCAGGGGGTAATTAATTTATTGGAAATGTTAATTTATTGGCTTGTCTTAAGTCTTATGGTTGCCTGGCGGTGGAGATGGATACCAGGAGCACATAAGTGACGCCACAAGTGGAAATGAAAAATACGACCGATGCGCAGTACTTAGATAACAAGGATCATATTTTTTTAAATGAGTTCATATCAATTTAGAAGAGATATCTGAGTAATTTGAATAGCATATTTGACCTCCAGGACCATTAAATCACGCTAATTTTGGTGTTTGTTGCCTAGCAACTGCATCCTCCTGAGCAGGTTGGCGTAGCGAGTCAGGCTGACGTAGCGGTACTTTCCTCGCCTTCCACCGCTGTGTCCCGGGTTCGAATCCCGCCCGGGCCAATACGCGAATTGGGTTTTCAGTCCCTACCTGATTCCGTGGGTTTTCCTCAGAATATTCCTCTGGGCTTTTCCTCCCACCTCTAAAACTGTAATTTCTTCTCATTGTCTTCTCTCTACAGGTTTCTTCAGGCTTTCGAGCTGCAGTGCTTAGGGTACTTTTGAGGAATCCTTGGTTTCATTACCAGAAAGAAATAAAATAAATAATATACAAACCTGTAGAGCCTGAGTAACTTATTTACTTAAAACGAGTCTACAGCAGTGGGTTCTTCTGGAACGGTTAACTTTTGGGATATAACTATTGGCTAGTCTTAATGTTATCTGGATGTGGCTCTTGATACCTGTAGCTTGTGACGTCACACAAGAAAATAAAAAACTGCCCATGTTTAAGAATTATTTCCTTTCAAATGAGTTCACATAAAGAAAGGAACTTAAAGAGGAAATCTCTGAGTACTTTGAATAGGATATCCCACCTCCAGACTAGGACAATGTGATCATAATAGTTGAGATGTTGGTCGCCTAGCAACCGCATCATCTTTAGCAACAACCCTTCAGAACCTGATTAACTTACTGGATATGAATATACAACGGAAATGACCAAGTGTTAAGTAGGTATTTGTGGAAAGTTTACACCTGAGGATATTCGAATTGGCTCTTATGGTTTCCTGGCGGTGAACTTGGATACCAGGAGCAGATAAGTGACGTCAAAAAATACGGCGATACGCAGCATTGAGAAGACCACGGCCCATTTCCTTTCAAACTATAGCTCATATTAACAGATGAACGTCAAGAGAAGATCTCTGAGTCATGTGAATAGGATATCTCACCCCTGGATCAAAATGTCGTATATGTATTCCATTTGTAACGTCACTTGTGCGCTCCTGGTATCCAGGTCATCACAGCGAAGCAAACTAATGACTTTTGGGAGAAGATTCTATCCAAAGAGGATCACCCTAAAAGCAGCCATGAAGCCCATCGCCATTTTGAAAAAGAACGCATACGCTCCATTACAAAAAAGAGAGTCTTTTAAGGCCTAATTTAATTCAAATTTCAAAGAAATGCGATCTCGCAGTCCTCTGTACGGCTTCCAATTTTTTTTTACAAATCCTAAAGTTCACGGTCCTCAAAATGGTCTAATACATGTGCCGGAGAATTTGAAGGCATGCAAATCGTGATTTGGCCGGCGTGTGCGATTTGGGGTCTATTTACTGGCCTGCATATCCACAAAGAACCCACTATTGTATTGGAATTTGAGTAAAGGTATACAAGATCAAAATTTACATTAACAATGAAAAACAAGAGAGAGGAATGTTAATTGTAAAAACTACATTTATTGTGGAATTGATGGGAAATACGGCGGCCATTTGGAAAGTTGGTGCTACGAAGATAGTCATTGCATGGACACCGATCAAAGTAATGGCGGATTTCGATGAAAAAAAGAAAACTTATCATTTTTAAATTCTCCCTAAAATAACGTCCGGTCTGATGACGTCATGAAACTTAAACTCGGCAAAGTATTCTGCGGTAGTCCAAAGGCTAAATCTCTATTGGCAATTTTGGTAAAATGTTGACGAATAGATAAGATTTTAAATTTAAAAAAATCAACTGTCTTTGACGTGCCGCTAGGAGGCGTCCTTTCGGGTGATGACGTAATTATATCGTTTTTTGTTTGGCATCCCTCACTAAAAAAAATCCATAATTGATTGTAGTATAATACTTCCGTTTTAAAGTTGCATTCAATTCTCATTGCACTCAAAAGGTCAAATAGCTTTCAGCTGGGGGTCCAAAATATTGCCTAAGGCAATGTATGACTGATCACCAACAATGAGAACGGTAGGCCTACTCCATTCATTTCAAACATTACAGTTCAAAGTATTTTTTCTTCAAATTATGACGTCACCTTAAATTGCTGGTACATGTAATTGTATGCATGATGACTTCATGATGACGTCACTACGTGTTTTTTTTCACATCTTCTAACCAGGGTTTAACACCAGGTCTTACCATCATCCCGTAAACCGTTGGAAGAAATTTGGTTTATTTTGATTTGAGGTTTATGTCCATATTTTCAATTCAGCTAACTTTGGCCTTCCTGTACCCCCGGAAGGTCAGCACGTACACAAAAACATGTGTATCGATTGATAATCTCCATCTCATTACAAAATACGAACATCATTCTTTTCTTTGTTCAAGAGTTAAAGGTGAAAGTGAAAAAAGTTGGTCACTTTTTCCCAACTAAAATCGCTTGTAATTTGATAGCTGATGACGTCGCCATGACATCAGAGTATTATGCACACCTTACGATCGGGAGTGATGGGAATGGTTCAAAGTTACAAGTTTATACCATAAACCGTTGAGAAGAAAACCCGCGGATAGTTATTGTCGGGAAGAAAAAGAAAGAAACTGAAGAAAGATGGAAAAGACAGGAAGAAATAAAGAATATTTTATTCGAACAATTCTCACCCAATTGCCAAGTATTATATCACAATATTTTTGTTTCACTGCCCGAAGCTTGACCATGGGTTTGATCGTTTTACAATACATGTATAATCATTTTATGGCAAACGTGCTGTGTACGCGTCTGTAGTTACCACCCACGACAATGGAAGCAATAATTTGAAAGCTTGCATCCACAGAATCAATACACGCTTGTTGACTGTAACCGACATGTACATCGCATGGTAAACTACACGTGACGCACGGATATCGACCCCAGTATTGAGCTGTACCAAAGGCATGGTAGAACAACAAAGTGATCACTCGGCTAGAAAGACTGGCTACACTATGCAGCGGTAAAGCTATAAGCAAATTCACATTATTGTGTGGCCCGACTTCCCTGTTGTTGGAGTATGTAAATTCGCGGGAACACACTGCAGACGAGCACAACTTTTACACATCAGATGATTAGCGTCTTATTACTGGTGTCTCATTTTGTGATTCAGGTGTCTCGATTGTGTTCATGACAGTTCACACGCCACAACCAGTGCTCTATTCCAACTGACAATATAGGAATTTTACTGTCTCCTCATCTACACATTGAGCAATGGAAATGATAAATAGCCGGATGTGAAGTGATGTTGTCAATTAGCTGACATCAACAGGTTGATGCATGGAGCTAGTGCCTTAATGTTCTTGAACTCTGGGCGGAAACACGAATAATTAAACTCCATGCTCATTTCCGACGGTATGAGAGCACACTTGTATTGATGAGGTTGATTGCATCTCATCAGCTCTAAGAAGAATATTCTTTTATTTTCGAGAATTGCGAAGTTGCTCCTTGTCTCTGGGTGAGCCCAGGCATCATCGATATTAGCCACAATGTTACTTGGGACGGTTCAGATGTCCGGTGAGAACCTCTCGTCGACTGATGCCCGGGACATCAGCGAGTCGCTCCGGCAGGACTCCATCAAGCTTCTCTCGCTGCGGGGCTGCCGGATGGCCGACCGGCACTACCGACGAATGGTGGATGCGGTGGCCGGTTGCAAGTCCATCTCGCAACTCAACCTCAACCTGGGGGTGGTGTGCAGCAGGGAGAGGGTCAGACTCCTCGCCTCGGCACTTACGACCAACAAGTCTCTGACTGGCTTATTGTAAGTATAAGTTGTTTATCTGTTGTTGGGGTGTTTGGTTGATTGTTAGATTATTTTATTTACATCCTGACGAAATGTGAAGTTAAACTCAGGCCTAATGTTAAAAAAATGATGAATGTATTGGTGCGTTGGGCCGGCAGGTCATTTGCCTCTTTAATTAGCTTGGGAAACCCATCGCAAAATGTTCATCGGGGATTCAACATGTAATGCTGAGGTCCGATTTTTTTTTCCAGAGGTGATGGGGTCTGTAAGAAATTGCCTCAACCTAAAATGGTCCTCCCCCTTTATTGTTCTTTTCCCCCAGGACTGTTCTTCACCTACACTCCAACCCCGCACCTTTGACGGACAATGCAATTAGAGCATAATTCTCAACACTTTTTGGTTGCAATTGAATAACATCTTATTTAATCTCTTTTAACAACTCAAGTTCTGAATTGACTCAAATGCAATGCACGGTAAATACAGGACAGCCTACGGAACTCAACATTTACTTAGATCATTTTTGGCCCACATCCTGCTGGCTGTTCAAGTCTCTTCCAACCGAGGAGAGGGCTGGGCTCAGAGAATTTTTTATGAATGTACGCCAATTTTAGGTTGTTGTTTTTTGTTTGTTGCTCAAAGTTCTGTGGAAAAAAATCAGAAATTGCAATTTGTTAACCATTCATTGCATAATCTAATGGATGTATAGGAAAACTAGATTAATACTTGTTGGTCGTTCCATTCTGCTAGTATGCTACGAATAGAACAATACCCTTCAGCGTTTGTGGGTACCAGTGTTAGATGATATATGGTCATATTCTGAAATTTATACGAACGATATAACCACAAAATAAGAGGGACACGTAAAACGCATGAAGATGTACAATGATTCTTTCATACTTTTCAAAAGATACTACACGTACTAACTCTTTTATGGTCTCATAAAACAAAGGTATCGTGAAATATAACCGCCAAGCATCTCGGACCCATACATGATTTCATTAGTTGTGTTTTGGGAGTTCGTTAGCCGGGGTTTACCTACCTTTTGTGTGGTGTTACATAACAGTTCTCTGAAGTGGAATATTTTCCCTTTCCAGCCTTCAACAAATCAATACGCGAACCTGGAACAAAATGGCGCGACCCCAAATGGCTGTTACCATCATCCAAAATGCTATTATGCCTAAAACAATTAAATTATTCAAGAGATACGATAAAAGTGTAATTTTGAAACAAAATCATGTCTATAGGCTTAAGGGGGAGGGGGGGGGGTTATACCGAAAAGGGATAGAACATCCCAAGCCCACGTACAAACTCATCACCGAATTAACGGAACCACACTGTGACGTACACAATGCCTGTAGACGTCACATCGCCACAATGCTTTATCGATCACGGGGTGCACCTTTAAAACACAATGCATTATTAACGAACTCCATTCACACAGCAACTGAAGTGAGACAAACAAGCGAGCTTCGAATTCTTGGGGTTTTTTTTGCAGAAATCTTGTGAGGCTTATATTATTTATCAATTTCATTTACCAAATTTTGGTAAACCGATAGAATTTCATTGATTGATGAATAAATAGTGGTATATATATATAATATTATTTTTCAGTCGCCAGTCAACTTGCATTCATGTATATTTTTCGGAGTCGGGATCTTCAACCCAGATCTTTTGGAGTGGGACTAGGAGACCATTCTGAGAACCAGTTTTTCACCAAAATATTTATTTACAATCCCACTTCAGAATTTAATCATATTTAATTGAAAGCTTAAAATAGACTAAACGTACCTTCTAGTCCATACTCAATCGGTTTATGACAAGAATTAATCAATTAGTGGAACTCATGGAACACACCAGCATGGACATGTCTGGTCTCGGCTTTAAATGTCGTCAAGGTCAATTGAACTTGAAGTAGATGGACAAAATGCTACCATTTTGGATCAAGACAATAATCATTCGTTTCGTGTTCCACACAATGTGTCTTGGATCAATAACTGCAAGTCGTTAAGGATTCATTGAGAGAATGCACGAATACACCAAATATTCCGAGGTTGTGAAAAAGAGCGACGAATTGCCTTGTTACCATGGTTATGGCTTCCCTGTCAACCATTGTATTCATGCGACACGTTGCACGCGGTAAGCGGTGCTCGTTCAAGCGGGATAATCCGGCTTGAAATGAACGCGCTATTGTAATACAACGGCACAAGAAAAGATCGTATATTGCATTGGTTTGATCATAAAAATAGAGGTGTAGTATGCAGAATCAAGGTCATTTCAGGCTGTGTCATATGCGGGAAAGGGTTGCATTTAGATTACTATATTTGGACGACAATGTACATGCTTCGACCATCGATTCTGCCGAAGTGCGGCCGGCTGGCGTACAGCCTTTCTCAATTATATACAATCCTGCATAATATAACATAGGCCTTATAAAGGGGACCACTTTGAGGGACTACATGTACTTTGCACACACAATAATGTACACAGGTACTAACACTCAGCCCATTCAGCAGTTCAGCAAAAGCAAAACAAACCATGGAGAAATGGCTATTCCTTCCTCCAAGACCAAACTATCACAGTCATTATTCTCAGTTATTATTTTGTAAGGGGAGAAAATTGAAGGAACAAAATTGATGTATACATGGTCTCACCCTCGGTCCTGCAAAAGAGTCCGACAGTATTGACACATTATGCAATACTTAAACTATCCCATATATAGTTTCAACTACGTAGTATCGCTAAATAAATAAAAAATAATTATAATTATATACAATCCTGCATAATATAACATAGGCCTTATAAAGGGGACCACTTTGAGGGACTACATGTACTTTGCACACACAATAATGTACACAGGTACTAACACTCAGCCCATTCAGCAGTTCAGCAAAAGCAAAACAAACCATGGAGAAATAGCTATTCCTTCCTCCAAGACCAAACTATCACAGTCATTATTCTCAGTTATTATTTTGTAAGGGGAGAAAATTGAAGGAACAAAATTGATGTATACATGGTCTCACCCTCGGTCCTGCAAAAGAGTCCGACAGTATTGACACATTATGCAATACTTAAACTATCCCATATATAGTTTCAACTACGTAGTATCGCTGATAATTATAGGCCAAATACATATCTAATTCCAACGCAAACATTTTTTTTGTTCAATTCACTAATAACAAATACATTTACAATTTCTTAATTAAACACAGTTTGCACGGATCGCCACTTGGAGATGATGGCCTGGCGTTGCTGATTGATTCATTGTCTCAACATCCGGGACTCACTTCCCTCGATCTTGGTGATTGTCGCCTTGGTGACAGAGGTATCCAGATGCTGTGTCGTCTGCTTCCTGCCAAAGGCACCAGACCAGGTGCGTGCATTGATCTATACAAACAATGCCAGGGTGTAGTTCCCTCACTGCTGCTCATAATGTTATGCACAATTAGTTCATTGACAATTGAGGTAAAAATTACGAAACCATAAGGTTTTGAAACCTCGGCTTCGTTTCGCGCCATGAGCTTTATCTCTGGTTTCCGATTGATTCCGATATACATCCAAATCATTTTATATCCGAATTAAATGGGAGTGATCTGATGATTCAGTCAAGGAGAATACACGAGAAAGTGTGGATTCGTAATTTAAGAATTCACGAGGCGCGAAGCGCCGAGTGAATTCGTAAATTAAGAATCCACACTTGCGAGTGTATTCTTCGACTTAAACCATTGCGTTAACAGAAGTATTGAAAAGAATGCTGCAACATGACGCCACTTTTTTTCTTCATATATCATCTCAATGAAGGCCATTTGTTGCAAAAATGATGATAAGATATGAATCTGGGACTGATAACTGTTTCCAAAATTGTTAGGAAATACTTGAAATGGCTCTCCATAGACGTTGTACACAATTAAGCGCGCGGAAGTGGCGTCAGGTTCCAACATTGTTTCCTGGCGTGTTTAGCATGTGTATCGCTACACCAGTAAAACCAAGTCATTTTGTGTGTATAGGCTCCAATGGATAGTTCAGACGACGATTTCTTTCTGACTAAAAGTTGATTTTGCAGTGATGGCGGAAAATCTGACAGTAAAGATGCATTGGTAATTTTCGGAAAGCAAATTTTGACGCAGACGGTCCTATTCATGCTCATTATGGAGAACAATTTTCCGACGTGTTACTACAGATTCGTCATTTCGAATCCACACTTTGTGACCAGTGTAAGAGATTCGTAGATCCGAATCCACACTTTTAACAATAGTGTGACGTCATGGCAATGGTTTAAGGAGTGGGAAATGGACCAGTATTGATCCCGGGCGGCGGGTGATAAGGTCAGAGCGTCTAAAATCGTCTGAACTGAAGCCGAACAGAGATGGAACTCTAAAAAACAAATTATATGACTGCGCTATATTGTACATGCATAATGTTTGTATTTTGCTTGTTGTGTGGAGAGCCCTTTATTTAGTTCGCGTCTGGGCAATCCGCGGGCCAGTCTTTTTACATAAATGTTTGTGTATATTTTATTGTTTGCCCAATAATGAATAAATATTTAAAGAAATATCCTCCACCGAGGGCACAATATTTGTCTTACTATTTCTGGTGGGAGTAATCATGAAAAGTATTGGATACATTTCTGTCTTGTCATTCACAGGTAATTGTCGAAAATTACGGCATTTGCGTGAACACGTGCTGATTGTATGGATTTGAACGGACCTATTAAAAGGGCCTTATCACATAGTTTAAAGCACAAACATCAGCTGGAAAGTAACCTTTTTGAGATGACCTTAAAATTATCGAGATGGTTTTCTATGAGTTTAATTTGCAAGCATTGATCGTAAGTCCTACCTTTGTTGCACGATCGACTGAAACAACACTGCATGTGGTTTGAAATTATCAGACCAATACTAAGAACTGATGATGCAAAAAATGTTCTCAATTTGACAATTTGTCACCGACACTTCGCGGTACATGTTTTAGTGACGAAATAATTATATTGTGCCGTATTTCATTTAATTTTTTAATCACCATCATTTTAGGCTTGAAGGAGCTAACGCTGAGCGCAAACCCCGCCGTGACTCCGATGGGTTGGGCCTACCTAGCCGTAGCCATATCCTCCGATAGCTGTCTACGAGTCCTCAACGTGGACTACAACCGGCTGGGGGATACCGGGGTCAGCATGTTAGCCGTATCCGCTGCGTCCTGTAAGACACTGGAGGTCTTGGACTTGGAGAGCGTCGGGGCGTCTGACCAAGGAGCCAAGGTGAGTTTTTGACTTAGCAGAGGAATTATTGATGAGCATTGGGAAACGTGCTTAGCAGAAGCAGGTGACCAACTTGATGCACATTGAGAAGATTGGTTCCCGAGTCCAGTATCGACAATTATCGGCAGCAAAAATGAATTACCGAAGTTCTGACGACTTGAACTATGATTGTCAATCTTCATTACGACAAAAAGTTTAGAGTGCGAACTCTGTATATTGTCTAGACGGCAGGAGGGAATCAATATCTAGTTTGCATTTTGCTAAATTCTCATTTTACGACGGGAATGATTCCTAAAAATGCTAGACTGGATCATTATGTTAATATGTTTCCTTTAGGTTCTCTTGACTCTGCTCAGCGGTTTTTCCAGAGCTCTCACCGACGTCGTGGTAAAGGACAACAACATCAACACCGACATCGAGCGGGAACTGGCCCAGCGCCTCGGCCAAGACCACATATCGGCCGACAGTAGTTCCAGTGACTCTGAACAGAGCGCAGACGATGCTCCGTCCCCTGGTGGTACGGGCAGGTACCGCTTGAAGCTGAAGAAGCGGTCCGGACGCGGCGGCTCGGCGGACGGCGTGCGGCGGGCGGTGTCTCTGGGAAACAGTCCCCGGGACGAGCAGCTGCGCTCGGTCGAACGGACCGCCATGCGCCTGCTGAAGAGAACCAAGTCCAGCGAGGGGGTGCTCCTGAGGAAGAGGAGGCTCCTGAAACAGGAGGACCATCTTTCTGAGTCCGACTTGGACAGCTCGGAGGAGGAGATCAGTCTTTATATGTCCAACATGGACATCGAAAGGACGGAGGGAAACCCCCACGCTGACACGATCGACAAGACTGTTTGTTCGTTACCCGTGACGTCAATTATGACTTCATCTCTGCCACAGGAATGACGTGTACAGACTGTTGCCCTCGGAAAAGACACTTAATTCGTGCCTTGTGCGTCTTTTCGGCGCGTTTTTGTGTTACACTTGTTGCCTTATGCGTCACTTTGGCGCTGATTGATTTGTATAAAGATGTCGTCATAAAACAGTTCCAAAGGAATTATGGAACCAGTTGCGAAATCGTTCAGGAATGGGGAGTGGCTCTGGCCTTTACTCTTAGTGCATTTTGCCCCACATATAGCAAAGATGCACCCATATCATTTTTCAACGTTACCTAAGTCAATCTTTGATTTTAGAGTTTCTTCTTCGTTTTATCATCCATCAATCTCATTGACTTTGAAAGGTGTTACAAGATGTGTGCAATTTAAGCCTTTACATGTGTTTATGTGTTTAAACGAGATCATTCAGAAATGCAAATATGAGGCTGATTTCATTTTAATTCCGATTCGAAATATTAACAGACGTGGGTAGTGCAAGTGAGTGTGCACGTGTGCTTTAAGTGCCTTTAACGATAAAACATTCCCATACAAGCCAACTGATTATGCATTTTAAGGCGGTTTCGGTTCATCTTGGAGGACGATTTTGTGTTCAGCGACTGCTATAATTTTGAAAAATTGTGATATTTTTGTAGAAAGTTTATAATACATGTACTGTGGTTTGCCCTTCAAATATGGTCTTATGTGTATACATGTAGGTCCTGCTCAGTGCTGCCCACGTTCGAGAGAGTGAGGAAACTCACAAGGTCACTCAGGTGGGACTCGAACTCACGACCTGTAGGCCTATATTTGAACATACATGTATACGCCTGCACCAATTGTTCACCTATAGCTTGCTTGCGTTGGTTAGCCAGTTCGAGTTTACTGACTGAGTAACACATTCTTTGTTTTCTCCTAACGATTTGTTTGTTTTGTTCTAATTCAAAAGGGTATTTTTCAACCCTATGAAAATGCGCTTTGATTTTAGCTCAACTCCGATTTTTTTATTCAAGATTGTCACAGGTTGAAAGCTTAATATTTTTTTATTGCTCAAAATGTGTCAAGGATAATTGTGTTGTGCTTTGTGTGATGAAATTGTGATCTATAAAATGTGCTGCACAACATTCTAGCAAGGGTGATGTATTGTATTCGCTGTACACTGTACATGCTTTTTAAATAAACATATCATTTTGAATGATTTCTTTGTGCATGATGTACTCAATACAAAACTGCTTTTATCGTTCAAACGCATCGTATGCCCCCTCCAGAAATGAGGTCCAAAGTACCCAACCCACGTTTACGACACTATGTAGTCGGTCTTAACGCCCCTTTCACCCCTACCCATGTGCAATTATTTTATTTTTTTCTGCAGCCAAGTACTATATAGTCACGGACCATAATACGCATGCGTCATTGGTTACGGAATGCTGCTGGGACTTGAAAAACATCCTCCAGAGCCATCAATCTGAACCAAGTGAAATTTTTTTTTTGACGAGTAGGGCTTGATTAAAGGCAATTTTGGAAAGACAATTCACTTGGGGGGGGGGGGGGGAAATACCATACAAATTATTAGAACCCACAAACCCACCAGCGTACAACAAATCAAGATGGAACTTCGATCATCGCTACAAATCTAAAGCATTTCAAATTGCATATTAATTCAAGCACGTGATATGTTTCACTCATGCGACTTAACTTGGTTGTAGAAGAAAAAATGCCACTCGTACAAAGGGCACATGACTACATGATGTCCGATCTGTCAAGATACGCGTGTATCGTAAATAATACAAAGAGAACAAGGTTCACAGACGATGTTTCACGAACGTTATAAATCATTTTATTGAATATGATGTACAAAAGACAAAGTGACAGCGTAGACATTCATCGAAATAATACTGTGCTTTCATCACAAAATGACACATCTCTATACTCTGTAGTTGGGATTCGAAGCTACGATGCATGCAAGCTTGTAGTATTGGACAATTTACCATGAAAGATGGAAGTGATGTAGGCCCTAATTCATAAATTTTGGAAAAAAGACTTTTCTATATTGAACAAACTTTAATTTTACGGTCATATCAGTGGCCATTGCATACATTCATCATATCATTCAGGATGTTATTTCGCCTGTTTTTAAATGCTAACAAAGTCGGGTACTGATTGACACTCTTGAAAGCACGTAGGCCATAATGCAAGTATAATTGGTCAACTTATTGGTTTACTGCCAATGGCTACGGAAAGGGAGGATACCACTGACAATGCAATTGTACAATTATGACAAGACATTTCATGGCCTGTATATAGGTCTGGATTGTTCGCTTTAGTTAAAACCCGAACCCAGTTAAATTCTACAACATCCACACAGAAGTCACTTTATGACAGATCTTTTGATGTCATAACTGAATAAAAGATCTGTTAAAAGTCATCTGTAACTGTTTAAAACCCAGGTTCCCTTAAAATCACTGCGTTGAACAAAGTGGCTGAGAAGTTAAACCCGCAACCTCCGGAACAAAAGGTGTAGAGATTACATTCAGATACCTCGATAGATAAACGACAAAACATCGTTTTCTCTGGGTTCACACCAGACTGGACCTTGGAGTGCTGAAAAAAAACCATGCAAACCACAATCAGGCCAACTTTACTCACTCTTTAGCTGACAAAATTCTCCAACATTTTAAAGGCAAGGCCCTCAGTATTTCACCACCCAAGTTTTGAGGTCTCAATTCAATTTTTTTTAAAGGAGAATTTTCTTCAACATTTTGTACTCCAGAGTGAAGCCCATGTGATTTCAATCTGAAGCCCAAGACTAGACTGGTACATGCCCAACTTTTTGAAAAGATTGACCCTTCAGTAGTCTGGTGGCATGACTTTAGAGAATGTGTAGATTTGGGCTAGGTACCAGATGTTTCTTTTGGCACAGTTGATTGATGCAATACTAAAGGGGTGTTGGACTGGTTGTTTCATATGCCATTCTATTTTCTTGTGTTGCATGTTTTTACTATCTTATGTTTTGGGACTCTCATACACAGTATTGAGAGTCCCAAATTTTCGGACTTATAGGTTCACACCTACAGCAAGGCAAAAAAACACCAAAAAAAACAGCATAACATTGCCAACATTATTAACCGTACAGCTGATATTCTTAAACAAAAAGTCACAAAACAGTTGTCTTATTCAACCCGAGCACTAGTCATCGAACATCAAGTTTACTGTTGGCCAAATTAGAAACTTGTTATCCAAGTTAACAGCTTTAAGTATATGACAATTAAATTGTTTGCTAAAACAAAATTGAGTTAAATTGTTTTTCAACTGAATCGCTTAGGATAAAATATTACCAGTGATCCAGTGCAATCTCTTATCAAAAACAAAATATGTTTTCTTGAATGTAATTGGGACTGGTGGTGAAGTGTAAAATCTGGACTCTGTGAAATACGGACTCATTCGTTGTATTGCACATGCCTATGGTTGCAGACCAGTAAATCGGTCCGAAATTGCCTGCGCCGGCCAAATCACGATTTGCATGCCCTCAAAATCTTCAGTGTTTGAGCATGCTGTGGGTCATGAACTTGAGGGTTTGTAAAAAATATGGGTGGAAGCCGTGCACAGGACTGTGAGCTTGTAGTTCCGTTCAATTTGGATGAAATTGGGGCCCTTAAAGCGCTCTATTTTGCAATGGAGTGTAGGCATCGTTATTCAACATGGCGATGGGCTTCAGGACTATTTTCAGGGGTGATCATCTTAGGATGGAAATTTCTCCTAAAAGTCATCAGTTAACCCCCCGAAAATTGAAAAGAAAATGAAAGATGATGAAATAAACTTTAATTTGATGTGTGTCTCGAACACATTGGAGAGTTGTGAGTATTTTTCCCGAATTTCTGAAGTGTGAGCATTTACCACTGGGGTCAATGGGAGTTTATTTACTGGTCTGCAACCCTATGTGAAGATGATTAGGACAGTGACAGGTCACAAGTCAGGGTTTGAGTCCATATGAGGTAAAGGAGACCAGATTTCATAGGAGTCCAAATTTCATGTAACACCGGGACCTGTTGACCATAATAGTCCATACTATTCTACTTTAACTAAGACAGGACCCACATTTAAGCTCAACAAAATCATCTAGTCTGCGACAAAAAGACTTTTCTGTGTCAGACTCTGTTTAACAGAATACATACAGTCCTTGCATGCATTTTTTTTACATATAAATTATACACAATTTTTACAATGGCAAATTAGGTATATATAATTCTGACACCCACTTCCAAACATATACAGTTAATGAACAATAGGACAACAGAAATTCAAGGAAAACTATTCCCGGCTTCCGGACCGATTCTGTTGATTCAGGACTTAAAAAACCGCCAAAATCTATTAATAGTGAACAAAGATATCTTACAGATGTAACCAATGATATCACTGTCAAAGCTATCAGTTTGTCATTATTCAGCAACTGTCGCACAGTTTCGTTATTGACCTTGGCACAGTACAGTTGCCATGTTTTAAAATGGATAAAACATTAACTTTACAAACCTCATTGTATATTTAAGAAAACTTCCAACAATTTGTTTGTCTACAGGGTGAGTAAAAAAAAGAGGAAACCAAAATGGCAGGACCAATTATTTAATGAAGTTCTGCATGTTGCACTTTCAAAATCTAGGATATGAAAGCCCAGTTAATAAGCTTTCTTTTAGTACAAGAATCATTCAAATCACTCATGTACTTTTCAAGTTACGGATTTTTTTAACGCAAACACTGTTTTAAAGTTCTGTCCATGGATCACAAAAAAGGTAAGTGTTCTTTCAGCAAAACGAAAACGATTCACATAGGGATGAATGTGAATTGTACGTAACTTTACACATTACTTAGCAGCTACTCAGACAATGAGAAAGAAAGGTTTTGAATATCATTTATGGGGGATGTTCAAAATGAAAACCAGGCTACATGGAAAAACCAAACAGATTCACGTTATGACGCTTGCGAAAATGCAATTCACACCGTAAAGCTTATATAAGAGTTCACTGTACACACTTGTATTTTGCTGTATTGATGCACAGACGTGGTAGTATTATCATGCAAACCTTTATGAACAATGTGAACAGCAACATCTGAGATTTAAATTTTTGGCGTGGGTTTCTTTAACGGGTACCCGTGTTTTTTTTCAATGGGGTAACCAATTCCCATACTACCCACAAATGCACACCCCTTACTTTGTGCACTATGAGACCAGGTGTACTAGGCTTGCATTGTCTTGTTTAATCGACTTATCCTGTTTCAGACAAAAAAACCTTTCAATTGGAAGTAGCATGATTTGACATGAAAAGATATCCATCTGAACAGAGCTCAGACGATAAATAACAGTTCAAAGCAAGATCTTCCATTTGTGCGCACAACAAGAATAGAGAGAAACCTAATATTTATTCTGATACTGAAACGGTGTACTTTGTGTGGGTCATTCTTCAAATTAAGGGTCCAAAGTGTGACATATCTTCCAAGCTCCTGTTTGTACCACTGAACTTTGTAATTTGCTTTAAAGATAACTTCAAGTTACATTGTACATGTTTATTCATTTGTTTGGGTAGGTTTTGTGCTTGACATTACATGTAATCACTCTTGGGGCAAGAAAACATAAAGGAGTACACTCGTAATTTACAAAATCGTTCATGTCAAATGCAATAGGGACAAGGCAAAAAAATGGGCCCCAAATTGATGGAGCGACCTGTATACATTGTTGTTCTTCAGACCTAGGCAAACACACTTACCGGTACATGTGTGGATTATGCCCATGCTGAGCATTGGGTCCCTCGTTATAAAATACAACACCGGACCAAATACTAGCCCGCATGTCTGAACTGGACAAAGCATGACCTTCCCTCTACAGAAGAAGTGGAAAGAATGTTGCAACCTGACGCTGCTTCAGTGGTTGTGTGCAAAGTCTATGGAGCGTCTAGAAAATTTTCAAAGTATTTCCTAACAAAATTGGAAATGTTTCTCAGTCCCAGATTCATGTCTTATCATCATTTTTGCAATGACCGACCTTCATTGAGATGATATATGAAGAAAAAAGCAGCGTTAGGTTGCAACATTATTTCCGAAGAAGTCTGCATAATCCAACTTAAAGGTAGAATAGAGATCATTTGTGCATGTGTTTCATTTGAAGCAACAAAAGTGCTCAAAATCTAAAGACGGGCGCTCAACATTTACATGTAACCTGATGAAGTTTAAGCTCTGTGAATGCTGTATATCCTAAGAAAACAATATTCTAAAATCTCAATTTCAATTCAAAAATTGTTGAGTCATATTTTGAATTGCGACTGAAATCAATATCCCGAACACATTCTCATTCGGCCATTGCAGCTACACAATATTACGCACTGAACCGACAAATATAGTCGTGTCAACGCTGGTGCGCACCCATTAACGGATTCCCCCAATTACAAACCAAGTACAATCAGAGATTTCCAAAAATGCGTCACTTGACTCATCTTTGGAAATGCTCTTCTTTAATTGTTTTCTTCCAACTGACAGCATGCCAGAAAGAATAATTTCACAGGGAGTTTAGTGCCATTACCATCTTTAAACCAAGTACGCTTTTTGACAATAATTTGGTCAATTTCTTTTTGGATAGCTGCAAATGATCTACTCTACCTTTAACAGACTCACTTAAATAATGAAACAACAGATTGTGTTACAATAGACACATGTCTATGTCTTTGTTTCAGTGGTTTTTTTTAAATGAATACAGTTTCCCAGCATTCAACGATACAGCACACTGCAAATAAACTCTGCAACAAAACAATAGTTTAATTACATGTTAACCTCAGCTCTCGGGCGGGAAAAACAATTCCAAAAGAGTAATTTTAGACTGCAATTAAATTTTAATTTAAAATACACACATGACAAGAACGGCCGAGTTAATTAGAAAATGCAACACAGTGACTTGTTGTGTAACCAGGAATAAATCTCCATATGTGCAAATGCAATTCAATGGCAGAATGCCAACTCCTACACATATAAATGTAAGAAATTTTTTAATATCTTCTTAATATTAATTATTATTCATAAATCAATTTAATTTAGCTGTTGTTTGTTTTGGTTTGATAATGGCCTGTTTTCATTGATATCAAAGCTGCACACTATTTTACTGCTGTTTTCCTAACCCAAACCCCTTCAGCGTTTTACGAGGAACCTTCCTCGCTCTTGCAAAATCCAACACCATATGGTAAACTCTACACCCAAACTGTTGGACTCTGATAATGGTGGTATGCCTGAACCTATGTGAAGCATAAGAGAAGAATGCAAAATTAAACATGCGGTTACTGGAGGTTTACCTCAAGGTTTTACCAGGTTTACCGGAGTTTTGTGGGTGACCGCGTGGTAAAACCTCAAGTTACCTCGTGTTTAATTTTGCATTCTTCCCTAATCAGTTTACGAGTGCAGCACTCATTCCAACAAAACATGCAGTTGGATTTTGAAGGGTTTTGGGTGGTAAGAGTCAATGCAAATAAAGGATTGTTCCCATGTAATGAACAGGTGAAGGGTTGGGTGTATTACAAACTCCAGGATTTTCAACTGAACCTTCAAATAAGCACTTGTAACACACAGAAACATGCAGACATGAGGGAAGCAAGAAATGACAGTAAATATTATGCACTGTGTGCTCCAACAGAGAACAAAACTGAAAAATTAAAGGTAGAGTATATCATTTGCCATTTGTGCATTTTTCTGTTGAAACAACGAAAGTGCTCAAAGTCTAAAGAAGGATGCTTAGCAACTAGCCTGATGAAGTTTTAGCAATGTGCATGCTGTATATGCCGAGAAAACCAAATTCTAGGATCTCAATTTCATTTCAAAAGTTGCAGAGTCATGTTTTAAATTGAGCCTGAAATCAGTGTCTAGTGGGATTCTCATTCAGCCGATTTCAGCTATGCGATGTCACACACTGAACTGACGAATAATAGCAACCGCCCGCGTGTGTGCGTTTGAGCGCAACGTTGTGTCAACATTTGAGCACAACCATGCACTGCTTCGCCGAATTAAAAAAAAACTGCTCACAAAAATTTCCAAAAATGCGTCTTTAGACGCATCTTTGGAAATGACTTTCTTTTTTTTTTTCTTCAAAATGACAGCAAGCCAGAAAGAATAATTTCACACGGAGTTTAGTGCCATATTTACCTTTAAACCAAGTATGCTTTTCAACAATAATTTCGTCAGTTATTTTTTGGATAGCTGCAAATGATGTACTCCACCTTAAAGACCACTGGGAGGGACATTCAGGGCATTTTCGAATCCCTGTTCTTGACAACACTCGGGTTAACCCGACACGAGAACAGCGGTCTCGAACGTGACGAACAGACCCGAGAGGGCGTTCGCGGATCGATTTTTTCACTCCCCGGTTGATGGAGGGTTCGGCGAGGTGCAGCTTGAACAAAATGGCGGACTGTGCAGATTCGTACAGTTGTTTTGTGTTTTTTTTTGTTTTTGCTAATACCCTAATGATTGGAATAAGAATACCATTATAGTGCACGTCTGCAATTTCATCCCCGCATGTCCGGTTTCACATTCATCTTCTGAGTCGTCCTCGTTCATTTGGAATAGGCCTAAGTACAAATTCAGACGATTGTCGGCCATTTTGCATTGCTTTATATCGATGCGACACGCACCCGCGCGTTCGTAACAACCAGCTCGAGAACACGTTCTCGTGTTACACGCGTGTTGTCAAGAACAGGGATTTGAAAACGCCCTAAAACGCACTGCTGATGGCACCCGACAAATTTGTGTACATTCAGAATAAAATGTGTCTTGCTTACTTTGTGCCATACATGCAAAGGCATCGTGTCCCTCCCACTGGGGCTCTGGAAAGTGGTCACACAACCCCATCTACTATTCATGCACCGAGTCCATATCGATACACATATCGATACTCAATCACACCAATAGTATGCAGCTTCAACGGTTCCATAACAGAAATTGCAGTCATTCTCATATCACAGCATATTATTAAAATAATGCTTTTATCCCTGTTGTTTGAAATTTTATTCAAGAACACAATGCTTTTCGAATGTTTTTTTGTAAATTGAGAACCACTGCTGTATATCTGTCACAGAAGCCTTTGATGTGTTATGACAAGGCAAGACGATGATACCAAACCGTTTATGGTGGTAGATGGTTCTACTTCTTCTTCTTGTCCTGATTTTTCTTGTGTTGACTCAACGCTTGCTTGTAGACAGGCCCGAAAATCTGTGTAAGGTGAATAAACAAACAACGCACAAATAAATTAACAACTTCAAAACATGTAGATAAGATTTGATGGTCTGCATGGTGAAAAGAGCAATACGAGTTAGGCCAAAAAAAATAAATATTCGGTCTCTAGTCAGACCAAAGTTCCGGAATTGACGCGGGGACGCAGCTTTTTTTTTTCTTTTCTTTTCTTTTTTTCTTCAAGCTTGGATTGTACAGACAAGGTGGGTACTATTTTGCTTTTTTTGGTGCTCTCATGTACACTGGTGTCCTCCATAATTTGCCTTGGTGCTCTCGATCATTTGCCTTGGTGCAATTTCCCATTCCTTGGTGCTCTTTGGTAAAAAAAATTGAGGTGCGGCAATAGAGGGCGCTATTGGAGCTACCGCGGAACATTAAAAAAAAAAAAAAAGATTGACGCGCATGATTAAAATCGACGCGCGCGCTGACCAGATACCGACTTAATTTTTGTTTTGGCCTTAGGTCACAGTTGCACCATGTAACAAATCTTGTGCGAGTTTGAGAGCTTCTAAGAAGAATCGGGGGAAGCTCAATGTTTTGGAGAGTATGCTCTGCCTGTCGTCAGGAGACTTAGGGATTCAAACAGTGAAGGGCGGTTACATGTACATGTATGTAGAAGAACTGGAAGCTGTGAAGTGTCTTTCAACCATAGAGCTATATTAAATTACTAGTGTGCTAACTCATATACAAAATGATGCCTGCTGGGCGCATCCATGTTTGGAGAACTAGAAATTTTGTACGTATTTTGTACGTCTATTTGCATATCTGCGTTTGTATTCCGTACCTGTGCGTTATCGAAGCCAATACGCCCAAAACCGAAACGCACGATCAGCAAATGAGCGTGTCATTTTGCTCTACGCAAACAGCGCAACGTGTGACTGTGCGCCTCCCCTCCGCTGAAGATGCATTTCACCGTGACGTTTTCTGAACCGTCATGATGCGCTCAAGTTGTTTGCGTATCTTCTACTTGCGCATTGCATTTAGAGTACACTTTTAAAATTCAATCCATCTATTTTTATTGTGTTCTACAAACACGCACTTTATTCTAAATGTCTGCGCCCAGAGCGGCTTCAAAGCGTCTCCACATGCAAAATGAAGAGTTAGCGCTCTAGTAATTTAATATAGCTCTATCGTGCTTTCAACATATGTATATTACGTATATTTCATGTCGATTAAAAAAATGAAAACAATTTTTTGTCCAGGCTTTTTGAAAAAATGAAGGAGCCCCCCCACCCCCCGACTCAAAAAAAGTCCCAGACGTGGAATTTTATATCCAAACCTAATTGGATTCTTAAAAAAAAGAACTGTATAATTGCAAATAACATGAACCAGTGGACAGTAAAATGTGGCTCGCAACTTAAATTTTGTGCTTTCTGGTGTAAAACTCAACCATTTTATTAAAACTGTTCTTTTTGAAGGGGGATGGAATCATATGACTTTGATTATCTGCAAAAAACAATTTCACAATCTTATCTTGTCCTATCCATCATAAAGCTTTTATACCATCAACAACTTTTGCAGACATGTTCAAAAAAATTTTAAAAATTAAAAAATTCTGGCGAAATTCAAAAAAACATTGCACAGAGTGGTTTTTTATTTTATTTTAGGGGGGGGGGGGGGGGGACACTTCCACAATAGATGAATTAATTAAAAAGCGATTTTACTTTACATCGCTCTTCGCTATTCAGTCAAAGAAATTGTAATTAAATTCCAAAAACAGTGATTGCAAAATAAATTGTGAGTAGACAAATATAGAAATCCCGCATCAATTCCTTGCTACTTGTTTGTTGAATAGAAAAACAACCCTGATGTAGAGGTTGACCAAGTGTGAAGAAAAATGTACGTGTTTCACAAAAATCAGCAGGGTAGTCAAAAGCAACACACATTGCATGGGATTTTGGCCGGTAACTGTAACTGTTTTTGGCTAAGCAAATGTAAGGTGTTCCGTCATAATGCGGCAGAACTCGGCAGAGGTCGAAATGAGGGTTTGCGGTATTAGGAAAGAGAATAACATTCTAATTCAATAGTGTTTGCTGCACTTCAATGGGGCATTCGTTTGACAAGTTATGGCTGTTTAGAGTTCGGATTTATCAACATGCCAAAAAAGTAAGATACTGAGAAAAAGACCATTAAAGTTTCGGGTTTCGCAGCCGTGCCAATTGCTTTTCCTTAAGACAAATTTATACCACAATTATTTATATTATTTCTTGAAAAAATGTGTAGTAGACCTATCAATGATAACAAATATCAGCTAATCTGAAAATAAAAAAATTAATACATTGTTTTTCTTCACTATGGCCTGTGCCCAGTTTGTCTCATTTTGCCAGAACGCCTTACAACTTACTCACAGAAATATTAAAATGAAATTCCACGACTTTTCCAGGACAAAATTAGGACTTTCTTGACCGACTCCTGTGCTGTTTTGGTATCTTAGGCGGCCATTTACAGTTGCCTGTCATCAAACTGAAAATAAAGGTCTACCCAGTGTAAACTGATCCTCCCACTTTTTAACGTCACCTGTCACCGCCCCCTGTCACCATCTTCCTAGCATTTCACAGTGCTACAAGCGTGACACCACTACAACTATTTAAACTAGTATCATGTATGAACTTAATGCAACTAGAACTAAGAAAGCCAAATAGCCAAAAATAACGCATCATCCTGTAGGCCTATGGGTTGTGCAGGATTCCATGACTTTTCCTAGACTTTTTAAGCTCTGGCAGGAGCTTCTGCATGTCACTTCATGGCTGGTTGGTCAGTCAGTTGGTAGGTCTGTCCCCCGAAAATTGACCAAAAACATGCCCCTTAAGTTTCCCGTAAAATATACCACTCGACCAATTGACAAAATGCAATGCTGGCGTCAGTTAATGCACTCTTTGCAAAAGTTTTCGGAACACGCCCTTGGTCTTGATCGACGCGCATGTGCGTATATTTTGCAAATAAAGTGAGACATTCCGGAACTGGGCCAGATGTTATTGTGCACTTGTTTTCTAGGAATATCAAATTTCTATTATGACTCCTTGCAAAGTAACAACATTCTATGACTTTTCCATGATTTTCCATTATATAGCTTTAAATTCCAGGATTTTTAAGGATTTTTCTATGATTGTGGGAACCCTGATATTGGCTTATGATATTTCTTTACTGAACAACTGATTTTGGTGGACTGGCCTACCTGCACCCAGATGAACTCTGCCCCACTGTCGATATACGCCCCGGCCTCGCTGTACTTGCCACTGTAACGGATGTACCCCCACACCGTCACGCAGACCAAGGCCAGACCCAGAATTGTGTTGGCCATGTTGGCCATGGAATAGAGTCCGACAAGCCCAAACAATCCCGAGAGGATGTACATGATCAGCATGGTGACCAGCAGCGTGATGGGGGTCCGGGCCACGTTGAAGAGGTTCTTGCTGTCGTTGTGCTTGAGGTACTGCTGGTAGGTCTCGTCCATGTCAGCCTGGAGCCGGTCGCAGTAGGGCTGGCTGAACTCCTCCCCGCCCATCTTGCGCGTCTCGTTGAAGAGGGCCAGGGCCGACGTCTTGATGCGCTCGTGGTGCCGTTCCAACTCCTCGGGACTCAGGTAGGGCTTCTCTCCCCCACACACCTGTCACAATGGCACAATCAAGAGAGAAAGTTTGATCCGAGACCATCAGTCAACTACTGTAGGGTGGTGGATTTAATGATTCGTGGCATACAAGTATGTTTCAGCTGCAAGTTATTAACCCTTACACTTTCAGATCCTTCGAAGTTATCCAGGAGGGTTGGGGGAATTTTTGCAGAAGTAAGGGACGTAGAGCACAACGACTTGTACTTGTCAGAGGGTTTAATGCTCTTTGAAAGTTTAAGTACAAAGAGCTTGTACATTGTAGCTTTGTAGTAAATTGAGAAACAGGGAATAGGGAGTATTGTCACTACGCATTGCGGCTGATACAATTTCAGAAGCTTTCAGGCCTTGCTAAACATGCTTAGTTGCTGAGCCAACATTTTTCTGCTAACGGATCCTCCCTCTACTTCACAGAGACCGTACAAATAAGTAAAACAAAAGGCATGCTAAGCACAGTGGAAACGTATGCTGAAATTAGTAATACAACAATATAAGTATCCATGAACACGCAACTGTTAGCAAATCCATGATGTAGTTAGTGCAACTTTTCTGTTCAGTTTAAGTGTGTGGAAACCGGACCCAGTTATCAAGTCTACCTGGCACTCACCTCCTCTATGTCTTTGACATACTTGTCCTTAGCGCTAGCCACAGCCGCCAAGTTATTGGCTTCAGCAGTTGCCTGGAATAACGGGATAGAAAGAAACAACGCTGTACTTCAGCACTCGGCGGTATTGCAGTAACACTGGATCAAAGGGTCGAGTGTCTGGGTTACATGCACTCCAGTTTACCATGAGGAAAAGGGAATGTTGTCACCAATTGGCTCCTTTGACAAGGCACACGTGTAAACTAAAGTTGGGATTATTGCTTCACAGGAATATTAGCTCTTGGCTTTAAACACATTGCTTCATGTATAAGAAACCATCATTTGTCCTTTAAGAGGTGCATCTAGGATCATTTGCTCTTTGCTCAAAATATTAAGTACTAAGTAGGATGCAGAACGACTACGGAAACCTGTTGAAGATTTGAATAGCTCAATCCCAAATAATGAAAATGTAAACACAATTTCTTGGGTTTTGTAACCAGATTCTGATGCCAATGTAAAACCACCTTCAATTGTTGTTTTCTTCTGTTTCAGGCTGAATAATTCCACAGAGTATTTGATACCAGTTCAATCTTCACTTTGAGCAAGTTTTTTCTTTAAAATGGAAGGAACTTTTCAAATGATCCTAACGGGTCACAGGTGCACAGATAAGTCGGGTGCAACACCAATCCCCAGAGTAGTGTCTGGGTACACTCATCATATATAATGCACTACAGAGAAAAAGCCGTAGCCGTACAGGCCCATTTTGGATGCGGCTAAAGATCATGTACTCACCTGTAGCATTGTCTTGGGTTCAGGTAACTCATTCCCTTGATAAATCTTTATATACGCCTTTAAAAATGATAAAAACATGATGGATAGATTTAGATTCAGAAATATTAATAACAGGAAAGAGAAAGGGGGAACATGTGTAAGACCCAAAGAAAAAAGTCTCCGGTTTCTGGTATGGTATGGAGCTTGTCCCAAAAGCGGTGCAGCGACTCGGCTTTTTTTTTTTTATACTTTTTTTTTCCTTCAAATGTTGGCTGATGACTGCAAATGGTGCCCGACTAAATTTTTGTATTGGAGCCCAGAGAGGCAACATAAAGCTTATACTCGATCGTAACCCCATCTAAAAACACGTTAAAATTGTGCAGCAGCAGGATTCCAGTCAAACCAGTGACTTTGGCGGTTTTGAGACATCATCTCACATTGAAAAAAAAAAACCTTTTTAATTTTGCCGATGCGCATGGCTACGGCAAGGCGCGTGCATACCAGAAACCGGAGACTTTTTTCTGGCCTAAGGGATGGGAGCTCGAAAATCACAAACATACTCTCCCATAAATACATTTTCATAACTACAGCGGCCTAATATTTCATCCTTGGCAAGGACTTCTTTAGAGGCAAATGAAGAAGTCTTTTCCTCTAAACAAGTCCTTGCTAACGATGAAATATTAGGCCGCTCTAATTTTGTGATTTGTATATTCCAGGTTAATCCAGTCAGTGAGCAGTTTGCAGCAGTTTTATTATTTTTCATAAATACATGACAGATTTTAGAATGAACCTAGTTTCATCACTTGACTTTCTCTTTCGTAGTTATCATTCGAATGGTAAATCTCAGAGTTTGTGATTTTTCTCTTATCCCAAGCACTTGTGCAGCACTGAGTATACAGTGCTTATAGAATTACTTTGGTGAATGGAAAACCTCCAGGATACAATAATGTATTTCCTTGATGCATAATCATAGCAAATGTCACTTGTACACACCTTGAAGTATTCTAGAAGTGCTCGGCAGGTTACTTTGGTACCGTTGATCTCCTTCATGAGAAGGTTCTCTCTAGATAGTAGCAGAGGAGCTAGATTGCACAGTTGTTCCTTAAATTCACCATCGATATCTGAGAGAGAAAGGGAAGGATCATGAAGAAACACACTGATGATAAATAACCCCTTTTGTTTTGCTTTTTGTGTGATGAAGCTGTGGGCTGGAACAGGCAAGGACTGTCATCACGAGGCTGAGGAGAATACACTTTAAAAAATGTTTTGTACTTTTGAAAAAAAATCCAAAAGTATTACAATTTTGCATCAGTCACTGAATAGTGGAGAATTGGGTTTTTTTTTTAAATGCAGTTATCATCAGTAGAAATATTTGATCCAATTTGCTTATAGTCTGGGCCCCACATCCTAAGTACTCATACACGTATACATGAATGGAATGCGATATTTTTTCCAAATCAAATCTTTCCAAGACTTTGTACAGTGTTTTTCTATTTTCAATGGCACACATTGGAAATGAAAAAAGAGGAAATCAGCTGATCCGAGGAAAAGTTGCATGCCTGTGTAGATACACAGATTTTGGTCCAAACAAACTGCCAATGTATGGCGATAAGATCAATCTTTTGACTTACCAGACAACCGTCCGTCAAACTTTGGATTCCTAGCGACAGCCATGCCCGGGTGTGGCATCAGGAAGCAACCAATCTTTTCAAAGCAGGCGTGGATGTGTCGACGGACCTGCAGTAGTTCTTGATGTTTGCTACCGCATTGCTTGAAAATTTGGAAGAACAATAAATAATTCAGCAAAAATGGTGTAATGTTTTGATGGAGTGAGGGAGGCGTATGTATCAGTACTTGTCGTTGCCCTTTACTGAGGTAATTTTACACACTACATGCACAAGTACCCCCCTCAATGGTCACAAAGAGAGAGTTGGGAGGGAAGACTGACTTCACAATGGGCGAGACACTTGTACATTGGCGCTTTACGCCTTCTGCACGTGCAAAGACACTATAGTTTTGTGCACATTTAATTAAGACATTTTTAGTTGGTATTTCACGCCACACATGTATGTGCGCGAACCAATGGTTTTGAATGCGCACATATGGTGTGTTCCTCTCAAGCAGCTCTCGAAAGCGACCAAAAAGCACCATCTACTCTTAATGCACGGAGTCAATAAATACAGTTTACTCAGTGCTTTCCAAGATCGTGTGAGAAAAATAAACAGCACATTTCGGACTAAAAATTAATATCATCTCTTCAAAACAAAATTCCTTGAAGCATGTCACCTTCAAGCAAGTCAGTGGAAAGAAGTTTGCAATTTTAAGGTGGAGGTCATGGGTTTAGGTTCTAACTGAGTAAATTTTAATTGACAGCATGCCAAGTGCTTTTAAGTTACTTCAAACAAAACACTGTAAAAGCAGGTTCATACTTGAAATGAAAGCAAATTTGTGACATGACAAGTATTGTGCTGTGAATTCACAAGAGTTGAACACATTTCAACTCTGGTGAATTCAACAGCGAGTGTTTCCCGACGTCAAATTTACATCGTATTCGCATTAAGTATGAACCTGCCAAAGGGCCTAAAAACAGTTTTACCTTACAGTATATAATCCACAATTCTAATTCACAAACATGAAAAAACAAAATTAATATAGTCTTGATATGGATCAAAATTAGAAAGCTGTTGAAAACAAAATGTATTTAGTATCTATTTACCTTGATTCTCTTTTCTAAAACTCGGTTTCCGCCTTCCTCGCCATAATTATACTCGTATGGATAGCTCCAATCACGCACCAGAAACATTAATGACTAGGAAAGAAAAAGGGCAGTAAAAGTAAAATTTGTGTGAGGAAAATGTGAATTTACAATGTAACCTTTTAGTACCTGTACGTCATTGTATTACAATGTGCTTATTCAGTGATACATCCATAAAACAAATGAGTGATCGTGCGGTTTCGGGCACTACAGTAACAGGCAGGGCAGTTTGGGGCAGTATACGTCTTGAACATTGCCTCAATACAATACAATGCCTCGATACAGAGTCAAACATTTCTCGGCAATTTTTTTAAATTAAAGTGGACAAATATCACAGAGCTGTATTGAGTGCTTTCTCCTCACTTTATCGTGTAGATTACTCTCATGAGCATCTGGGCCCAGATAACTGATTTCAAGTGCATGTCCCTGGAACATTTTGAAATTAGATGACTCAAATTTGATTATGTGCTCTGAAAGCAAAGCAAGAATACAACACGGCCAACATTGGCTCTCTATGAACTGAAATAATTAGTAGAATGCATACGCACGAGTGTTTTTAGCGCTAGCCCAGAGCAAATTAAAACACTAATTTACTGATTGAGTATTGCAACTTTGGACGTTCCCTTTTCAATAGTGCACCTTTATAGAATGTAAATGCAGATAGGCAAATACCCATACAAAACTGTACAAATTTGGAGCTCTCCATAGGTTTGTGTACAAAAATGAATTTGCGCACCAGGCTACATTTACAGCCAATACAATTTCAGAACGTATGAAGACACTGCTTTACTTTTTATACAAAGAAAGGCAATACTAATGCAGTCATTTGTCTTGGGTCATTAGTCTGGTACCTACCTGGAATGGCTTGTCACTGCTATTCTCCATGGCCAGGCGACCATACTCAGTGAAGAGTTGTAGATGCTGCAGGTCATCCTCCTGTATATTCTGAGTTAAGTTGTACACCTATCCATGACAGCATACAGAGATATGTTTAAAAAAATATGTTAATTGGGTTATTTATTGTCCAATTAACGACTCCTCTTCACCTTAGGAAATCTTGTTGGGGAAACCTTTTCACTTGTGCAAGCTCATGGGCTCCGTGAAAAAGTACCTCCCCACTGGAAGGGACATTTCAATGCATTCCTGATGATGCCTAATGTTCAAGCAAAGATGGTATGGCTTTGTGCAGATTCAGACGAATATTAGTTGTGCATGCTTGGTGAGTTAAACAAAACGCAACCCAAAAGGCAGGACCCATTTTTGAACGAAGTTTTGCCTGTAGCACTATTAAAATCTAGGATATGAAAGCCCCGTCGTTAAGCTTTCTTTTAGTACAAGATCATTCAAATCACTCATGTACTTTTCAAGTCTCGGAACATAGTTTTAAAGTTCTGCCCACGGATCACAAAAAAGTAAGTGTTCTTTCAGCAAAACGAAAACAATTCTCACAGGGATTGCATGTGAATTGTTTTCGTTTTGCTGAAAGAACACTTACCCTTTTTTTATGATCCGTGGATAGAACTATAAAACGGTGTCTGTGTTCAACATTCCGTTACTTGAAAAGTACATGAGTGATTTGAATGATTCTTGTACTATAAGAAAGCTCACGAATTGGGCTTTCATATCCTAGATTTTGAAAGTGCTACAGGCAAAACTCCATTCAAAAGTTGGTCCTGCCATTTGGGTTGCTTTTTTTTTACTCACCCTGTATACTCGAAAGTGGTAAAAAGTGCCCTCTCTTATTTAAATTTGTACACAGAGCCCATATTACCACTACTTATCTCAGCAGAACTGATTACAAAACAAAGGTCCCAGATATTGTTGACCTACAGTCATAAGACCTTGAGAAAAAGTCCACCTGCAACCTTTCTGGAATCGTTTTTCCAGATGACTACTAATCTCTTGTAGGTCATTGGATTAGTGGGAGAGTTAAACACACACACACCATACCTGGACAGAGCTTGTCATGGTACTCAGTGCAAAGACTGTGGCACAGTCCTTGACAGTGGACTCACTGTCAAACGCTCCTTGGGTGTCCATTAATAACACAGCAACCTGAAGAATCAATAACCGTGAAATGTAAACAATCTAGAATAATTGGGTTGTGGGTTTGAATTAAGCAGAATTATGGTTAACCACAGTTTTGTACATGTAGCTTCCTTTTTGACGCATGACAATTGGTAATGGTTGGACCACTCTGGTCTAGCATCCGGAACCAGCCTTCTTGGGTTGAGGACTTTCAAAACATTTCTTTTTTGCCAAGTGAAAATTTTTAACATTTTAAAATTTCGTGAAGACATAATGTGCTCCACGAAACGAAATTAGGGACCATCAACGGAGCTCGCAGCAGGGTGCGGTGAGTTTTAAAACATTGGTTTCATTTCCTGTAAGGGTGGGGGAGTTCATTTTCCATTTGGGTACAGTGGAACACCACTATAACGAACATCACGGAATCCACAGAAAAAGTTCGTAATAGCGATCATTCAGTACAGCAATTTTAAGCCGCTGGTGCGCCGGTACTCAATAAATAGTTGCGGTTTTCACACATGAGCGGTGCCCTCTCTCGATCATTGTTAGTGAAGTGGCATTAAAAGCCGAACGTGGAGTCACAAAGCTTATCCACTCATCTGTTCAATTCCATACGCAGAACTTCACCCTGTACGCCTTGGTAGTTACTGAAAGACGGCTTTGAACACATGCTGACTATTGAATGTGTAATTACACAGTTTTTCAGCTTACTACCTACCGCTACATATACAGAAACCGGTGGCTTTCCCCTTCTATTCCTTAGGGAATTAATAGCCACTTGTCACTATTCCGTTTACATTTTTTAACAACTATGTTCGGTACGTTTTGTACACAAAGATCGGGAGCCAAGGATAATGTTCAGTATAGCCGAATGTTCGGTATAGCAGCATTCCACTGTATGCTATAGACCTTTATCTTGTTGCCACCATTTCAGTCATGTTCCCTGTATCCAATAACAGTACTGAATGGTAATGTTTTTGTGCAAAAAGGAACCAGACTATTTTTCCTTCAAGCCTCGTTTTGGTTACGATGGTTTGAATGGGAAAAATCAAGATGGCCGCAACATGATAATGGTCCTAATGTCCTAATGCCCCACACTCATAAGTATGCACATGCAGATACCATTCAGAATGGTACATTCAACCTCGTTCCCATGGGTACGAGATCTGGCTGCGCCATGTTGTTTCCCATCATGCCTTGCACAATCTCAACCCCTGGACATGCTGGAATTGTGTAATTTAAATGTGTCAAAATATGGCACATTATAATTAGGCTGCAGTTTATTTGTTTTACGTGCCGACGCCATCTTTAAAATGTTTTAAAGTTGTGATTTTAAAGAATCAATCCTTTCAAACATAAGGTTTGGACGTTGCGTTATTTAGCAAAGATTTGTATTAAATGTACGTAGCAAAGATTTGTATTAAATGTAATGTACCTTTCATCCCTTTACAACCGAAGATACAGGTTTTTTTAGCGAAAAACGAGGCTGCCATAATCCATATCGTACAGGCACTGCGAGTTTTGAATAACAAAAATTTTTCGTATGTGACGTGACATGCAAAGCATGCAAGCGCATTATGGGCGCGCCCGGCATGCAATCTTCGAAATGCGCGCGCAGTACGCTCTGCATAGCCATTCAGCATCGTTTACATGTACATGTACATCACGGCCAGGGGTTAGTGAAGGAACGCACACGCGCCCATGGAGTCGAGGCTGTACACATTGCATTTGATTAAATTGCATTTGATTAAACTGGTCTGGTACCTCTTCTCCATCCGGGCCTGGGCACAGGAATACTTTACTCCATATCCATATACCGGTGGTCTCTCTCTCTGATCCACCCCGCCAGGAGAACCCGACTAAGGGTTGGTCCTCCTGACCCATCCAGTCAGGAACGCCCTGCATGGTAAACAAGATTACACACAATGGGGAATGCATCAATACCATGGGAATACTTGAATGGATAATCTGTTTGTCTTTCTGCTGTGTCATACTCATACACAATATAATTATGGGTTTTTTTTAAGTCAACTTTCTGCAAATGTACTGTGTGCAACTAATCATCAGTGTTTCATTAGTGACTTTGAAAAGCTCATAAATAAAAATAACCATTCACAGAAAAACAAAGTGTATACCCCGGTACATCCCCACTAGCTACATCAACAAATGCCAATGAGTGTCCTTTTATAAAGTAAGATTTATGCCACCAATGCATGCCAGCCTTTCTGCCTGCATATAACACTAATGTGTATACAAATGAAATCAGAACTAGTCTTGTGTCATTGACCTTTTATTCGGGGTCAATCAAATTTAATATTTTATATTCCCACATTATGTCATGTAGGCATGGCGTTCCGCATGCAAGCATACTTAAAAACTCGGCGAATCAGACTACCGGTACATGTGTACATTTTGTGCATGTACATGTCGGGTCATAGCATAGATCATCAAATACGATTTTAGAATCTTTGAGAGAGTTATCCTCAAAATACATTGTACGTACCGGTACATGCACAGGGCTGCCAACTTTGAGTAAGAGCTGAGAGTGAGAATTTGGCGATGGAGCTTGGGTAGAAGTAATCATGTTTGCGGGCGCAAAAGCACGTAACCCTAACGGCGTGGGTTCGGGATTCTAGACGCTCTGTGGTGTGATGAGGCAATTTCTGACCACTTTAATTATTTTTTTTGAGCAAAAGATCATCATTTAAACATCATTTTCAAGTTTTATTAATTGTTTTTTTAGCATGAGAAATCCCCAAAGCACGTGAGAGCGTGAGAAATGTGTGAGTCTCATGCTAAATGCGTGAGAGTTGGTAGCCCTGCATGCATGACGAGGTTTAATCTACAGCACACACTGCAACTTCATGAACTTCCAAAGCTGAAACAAAACGCTTTCATACATGTACATGTACAAGTCATGTCTTCATTCTACATACACATGTGGAAATAATGCATTAAGGGCACGGAGTTGATTTCCCCTTCGGCAGAGATTCCTTGAGAATTCCAGGCCATGGGGACACTCATCAAAGCTAATGCTGATGTTGAGGATTTACTCTTGCTCCGAGTCTTACAAACTTGTACACTGTGCATGACATGTACATGTACATGTACATTCATAACATTTATTCTCCCAACAGGAAAGAGCAACGGTAATGAAAGCACACAAGATTTACCAAATGTAATTCATCTCTTTCCTTGAGTTATCTAGAAATGGGATATGTGTGTGTGAGTTAATAGTTATGATAGGAAGACAGTCTGTGTATCATGTGGAAGAACATACACACATGTTTTGTAGTCGTGGGGACTATGTATGTCACACGAGTTGTCCCAGGGTACTATCATAGTCTATGGGGACCGAAGACCAGGCATGCAACTTGGAATTAAGAAAAAACGCGGAAATTCCAAACCACACAAGACTCTGTACAGTGTTTTTCAATTTGTAATGGCATTCATGAGAAATAAAAAAACGAGGAAATCAGCGGATCAGAGGAAAAGTTGCATGCCTGGAAGACGCTGTGGGGACAGCAGAAAGTCCCCACAACATGGTTCTAATTTACCTAACAATAAGAAACCTCCCCAAAACGCGGTGACGGCCCACCCATGTATGACTTTGTGTGTTGTTCACTAAAATTGAAAGAGTAAAATTGGACGAATACATGCAGCATGGAGGTTCTACCTCCATGATACATGCTTGTGAGGCCTTGACTTCATCTTTACTTCATGGGATGAGAGTGTTTGTTGCTACCGAATGCAAGCTTTTGTCCACCAAAAGGCTACGTAACTATTCTACCACTGTCAGGCAAGCAAGTAGGAAGTAGCAATAAAATAGGAAATTCAAATCCTTACAAGATTGTTTACACTGTTTTCAATTTTTATTGACACTGAAGTGTACAGCGAAACACGAGGGCATTGGCTGATCTGAGAACAAGTTGCATGCCTGCACTATCCAGAGATGAAACTGGCATATGGCCAAAAAATCGGAAAATAGGCCGAACAAATACGTGTCCAAAATCTGGGCCGCGCTGCAGTTACACACATGTACATGCATGTACAATACACTAAATGCCCAATTTCCGGACACCAACTCCTGCTTTATTTTCAATTCAAACAAAATTTTACGATGAAAAAAAAAAATAGTCAGTGTTTTCATTGCATAAAATGCCTGAATTCCGGTTAGAGTAATGGAGTCATCAATAAAGAAGTTCACCTCTTACTTGAGAAAGTCGAGGGAAAAGTCCGAAAGACAAAGGCACCTTTCATAGTGCTTCAATCATGTCCACGATTCAACCACACAACTCCACTACTCCACTTGCATTCATACATGGGATAAAAAAATCAGGCATTATCGTCTTTCTCTTCCAACAAATGCCAGTGAAATGTTTCGATAATGCTCTCTTCGCTATCCTTGAGATAATCATCATGATTTTTAAAGCATTGCATTTTGTGCAACTAAATCTGAAACCTCCAAAAATCGCACAACATAATGATTTTATCCACTGGCACTGGATCGTTCACAAGGCTACCTGTTCCCGACTGGCCATGTGCTAGCGGACGGTACGGTGCGGTACGTACGCTGGTACCAAATTGCATATTCGCACGCACGTGCGACACAGTGATTTTTCCATGTCGCCTGTCAATGTTTAACCTTTTGTCCAGCCGGAGAAGGCTCCGATCAATGTTATGCCCTGTGTTTCTACCGTTGAAACACTCCAATAATGACTGGTGAAAGAGATTAAAACTACGTTCGCGATGATTTTAACGTGCCATTTCGATTGACTTTTCTTCGAAATTATGGTTGAGATAAAATAACATTTTGTGAAAAAATCGTTAGAAAATCAAATTTTTTGGGACGCACTGTAAAAAAATCGGAAATTTCGTTGGAAAATTCAAAAAGTCGGATTTCCGATTAAAATCGGAAAAGTTTCATCTCTGACTATCTACCCGTGCTAAAACAATGGCACCTCACAACAAAAGATGGCATCTCAGAGACACAAACCTGTTTGGTCAAATATCTCAGCAGAAAGTCCAGCAGGAAAGACTTGCCCTTGCGGAAGGCACCGGCCACGGACAGCACGCATACTTTCTTGTCTCGTATTCTCTGGTCCAGGAGGATTTGGGCCAAGAGGTCTTCGTTCAGCTCAAAGCCGTGCCCGTCTGACGTGTTGACTATCTGCAGCGGCTCACCGAACGTGTCTGGGATTGGAGGCATGGTGAACGCATGTACATGTACCTGAAATCAAAAACAAAACGTGTAACAGAGATCAATTCTGAACTCTAGCAGGAACCATAAACATGATAGACAGCTTTCTGTGTTTAGAAACACTCAAGGGCAGATCCAGAACACAATTTTTTGGGGGGCCAAAAAATTTTTTGTTCCCCCAAAAAAGTGGGTCAAAAAAATTACGGCGTGGGGTTCGAGGCCCGCTTAAGGGCCCCGAAATTTTTTTGGATTCTAGATGCTCTGTGGTGCGATCTGAGGCAATTTCTGACCACTTTAACCAATATTTTTTTGAGGAAAAGATGGTGGTGTACTCACTGCCTGCCTTTATTGCGATGTCACATAAAAAAAAAAATTGGTTTCGTTTTGGGGGGAGGGGACCATGGCCCCCTTTGGCCCCCCCTGGATCCGCCCTTGGAAACACTAATATCAGCGAAGAACATAATATATGAAACATTTAGCTGGCGGTCCGACCAATTTTCATAAACCCATAGGGCATGCGTGTAAAACGACTGTTCCTGAATTGGGTGCACCAGCTGTGGCACTGACAATCAAAAATCTAACAACATCAGGATTTTTTTTATTGTTGTGGGGTCGGGGGTTACAGTTGCATTCCAGAGCTCTTCAGCAAATTTAATTTTTTTCCCCCTCATATTAATACATTTTCAACGTGTAGGCCTATGTTTTATTCCAACATGTCCAACCAAAAAAACCCTTCTTTTTCCTTTTTTTGATGTCTGCAACCCTCTAAAAGTTTTTGTTTTGGGCACATTCAAAAGTGAACAATTTTGGTATTATTAGAAAATTTGCAAAAAAGGAAGATCTATTTTACAGGATGAAACTAGAAAATAGCACAGGGAATGCATCTTTCTAGGATAGTGTACAGTGTCCGTACATGTTTGTATGTGAACTTACAAATGTACCAATTTTCTGAGGTTACATTGTACACAGAAAAAATTCAGAGAGTAAAGCTTTGATCCAAAATGCTACAGACAGAATAATATTGAATAAATTGAGCACTATGATTTGTAAAATTATGGGTTTTTTTCCCCACAAAATTTCAGCATGTACATTGCTGCTTACAGGTGTAGTGAGTTATCCATCGCGCTTGAACATATGTTCCTTTAAAATTTCAAACGTGAAGCAAAAATCGAACTGAAAATTAATTAATCATTGTTCAAGTGCACTTATCGTAAACTCTACAGTACAAGTCTTTGTAAAATTAACAAGTGTGGGGCAGACATGCACATGTACGGTATGTGTTGAACATTTGCTACTGACATACCGTTGTTGACTTATTCTAAGTAATATCAACCAAATAACAACCAATTAATTTAGCCAATATGAGAACTGCCTGCCATTACTGCTGAACTACAGCAATTTAATTACATTGTATGTAGTTTATAATGCACCATCTGGTTTCGTTCATAATGCATTCAATAACAATGACAAAAAAAAGAGTGGAAGAAAAACATACAGAAAACAAACACTAAATTATCAGTAATTTATTGCATGAGCTGGTCCTGAAAAATGTACATGTTCAGTGGTCCACAAATCCTGATGCGGTACCTAATGCAGATAGTGTATTTGTTTTCATGTCTTATTTTTGTTTCTTTGCAAAGCCAAAACATGTCAGACTTATTTATCAATCTTCTTCTCAGTATTTCACCAGCAACTGATAAAAATGTTTATTCCTCAGGGCAGATGCTTGGCTGACAGATGAAAAATGATTTATGCAATACGCTAGCTGAAAGGGGGGGGGGTGTATTAAGCCGGATTCCAGTTGGTTAAATATAAGTAAATATGACCCCTGAAACCTATGCCATAGCTATTCTGTCTATCAATCCGTTACTCCATCGTCCATTATATAATTAGATCCCTGGTGAGTTAGCCTATTCGTCTATCATGTACATATATATCTAATTTGAGATGGAACAAGCTACAGGGCACCAAATGTATGTGTGTGGTACAGCAACACTGTTTGCACCTACATACATGTACATGTACAGAGTCACGGCCAGTTCGTACTTCATATGGAATTTCAAGTAATTGGGACTTCTGAATTGTAGGATAATAGTGAACTCTGAAAATGAAACCAGAACAGTCAATGTTAGGAATATAAATTTGCTGTCACTTTCATGCAAAGTGTGAACATGTCAAGGCTTGGGTAAGAATTGAATTGATCCCAACTTCTGAATCAGAATTGTGGCCTATCAACTGCTAATAGTAATAATGACACGGCACATGACCAACCAGTTTTTAACCTCTGCACGACCTACATGTACATATGTATACCCACAAACCCATATTGCATTTCAGCAGTAATTACACAATGTACATGTAATATATTCTGCATTTCTTTGTACAGATGGAGATGGGGCAATCATAACAAACCAACATCCCTTTTGAATTTTGAAATGTTACCCTGTAACATACGTGAATGTTGCGGTATCTTTGGCAGGTTTTTCACTCTAACTTACAGTGTACATGTACAACAAACTGCAAACCACTGTCCAGAGATCCCAGAACAATTACAAATCAGCTACAGTTACATGTAGCCTTGACACATCCTAATCAGGTCCTGTTGTGAGATATACAAACAGATAACTACATGTACATACATACATTTGTACAACATCCCCCCAAAAAAGAAGTGATTTTGCATGAAATTGAATACTTCCACACACACAATAAACACTTTTTGAGAATGTTACTTAAGCTCTACAAGAAGCAATGTACAATGCATGATGTACCGTGCATTAACATTACCAGAGGTAGGAGACTACTTAATTAAATGATTCAAAACACCATTTCCTGTTGCCACTGGACTTCACTATACACCTAAATGTGAACACAGTACCAGCAGTTTTACAGTCAGCAGTGAATCAAAAATAAGACTGTGCATTAAACACATATACAGGCATATTCACATTTCAATGCCTCCTTCATAAAGTAGTATTAAATTAATATACATACATACATTGTACGTGTTATACTTATGGGCACATCCATGTATAGGCACATCCATGTACCGGTACTAGTGCTTGTTCCAAGTGAGACTTGGTGTTCCAACAACTGTTCATCATGACTTGACAACTGCACCTCTTGCTCTTGGCAGAAAATAACAGCTGCTGAATTCTCAAGTCACATACTTGTACATGTACATGTATGTACATGTATGCTGTACAAAAGTACATTGTATACAGGTATCGTTTGTACGCTGTACATGTACATGCATATGTGCTTGTAAAGCTCAACGATGCCACAGTACTACCAGCCTTGGTCAAGGCGCTAGTTGTTATTCATCCCGGCCGTAGCGCGGTAAACGATATCCTCGCTAGCGCTATGCATGCGGTGCATTAAAAATACAGCGCGAACAGCGACCTCACGCGGCCACCATTTCTATGCAAATCAGTTGGACCCAATCTAGCGCCTTGGTTCAATCGTCGGCAAAAGCTTATGTTTTTCTTTATTTGCGCTGGATTTCTAGCGCACGACCTCGTATGCGAATACAGATACATGTAAGTGTAGGCCGGGCTAATATGTGGAGTGTCCAATCACACCTTGGTAAATCCGGACGTCATCAAATTATTTGCAGCTATTCGCCTTTTGCGGACGTGACAGGAACCACAGTTTTTGTGCATTGGTGCCGTGTGCAGAGACACATAACGTGCACGTGTATGGATTATGTACGGTGCCACGTTTCACTATGCAAGTTTCCACGCAACTATCGACCAATAAGAAAACAACATTTAAGGTCAGCTAAGGCTATTAACATAATGAGCACCACCCCCAAAACCTCACATGGACCAAGGCGCTAGATTGGGTCCAAGTGATTTGCATAAAAATAGTGGCCACGTGAGGTCGCTGTTCGCGCTGTATTTTTAATGCACTGCATGCATAGACATGACTGCATGCATAGCACTAGCCGAAGATATCGTTTACCGCGCTACGGCCGGATGAATAACAACTAGCGCCTTGACCAAGGCTACAGTACTACATGTATCTGCAGATGAAGTTGTGACCATGCACAAATTCCAGGGAATATGCTTTCATTTGCTATACGCTGTAAACCTTATAAAGTTTTGTATCAAATATATATATGCACCGGTACAATGCACATTGTACATGTACCAGAATGTACCAGAATGTACAAATGTATTCACATCGAGACGAAAAACTTCAAAGCATCTCAACCCATGAGTTGCTATTTACGTAGCAAAACACTGCACAAAATAAAAATGGATGTACCGGTACATGTACCTGTTTACATATGGTATGTACAAACTACACAAGTACCACCATGTAGCACGCACCACAACACAAAGAGGTTTCTATTTAATTTGTTTCCCTCTTTCAGTCTTTGTTTATAATGATAATTAAAACACTGCACTTACAAATGTATAGATGATGAAGCACATTGCTTTCAGAACCAAAAACATGTCAGTTTTCAGTGGTTTGTGTTCATTTCTAACACAATGGCATTGGACGGACAAGTATCATCGATCACACTTGCAGTACATAACAAAATTGCGCTCGATCTCAAAAGACTCATACATTTTCAAAATAACTGTACACATATAAATAACATACACATTGTCTTTTTTATTTCTCCAACAAAATTGTAACTATAATAAAGAAAAAGTAATGGCTCCTTTGGTCGCATGCTTTTCTTTCAGCAAATGAGTTAAGAGAATGGACAATGCATCCAAAATCTTGGAAAATCCGCCGTCTTGGGGGAAAGAAAACACCCGCCTCCTTCTTTTTATCAAGAAGTCTGGACAAGAAACTATTTTTTTAAACTCAGACTTATTACATGCTGGGATCACATCAGGGTGCCATTCAAATGAATTGTGAATTAAACATATCCACAAATGAGAGGGGAGCTCTCGGAAAACAATGGTAACATTTCACTTTCCTTCCGATTTGTAAACAGAGATGGTGCCAAAATTTTATGGGCAAGTAAAATTATAATTTGTTGATATCCAAAATGTAAGGGGCAAGTAAGGAAGAGGGCTCCCAATAACTAAATGACAACTAAAACCAACGGCGTAGCCAGGGTTCTCATTCTAGGGGAGGGGAGTGGCTTGTGGGGGGGGGGCTTGAGGTTACAATGGAGGGGTGCCCAAAATTGTATCTGTGCTGAAGGTAACCAGGTTGTTTTTCCAGCACTTGCGTGATCTTTTCGATGTTGGAATTAACAAATGCAACAAATCCTGCAAATTACACGAAAAATAGACATTTGAGAAAGGCGGGACTTCTTTTCCATCACTACATGTATTAAGTGGGCGAGTGTGCTTCTAAGGCCAAATAAAAAAAAAATGTGTTAAGTGTCCCAGTCTGCTTCCTTTTTGGATGCCACCTTCTTCTTTTTTCTTCTTTTTTTAAACCAAAAAATGATAAATTTTAGACAGTGACATCATTTTGGCCTCTTTGTCTGACATTGCATCTTGCCCATATAAAGCTGGCATGTCATTTCCTGAGTCCAAGTGGCGGCCATTTAAAAAAAAAAGGTTGGTGGTCAAAAATTGCCCGGTTGGGTGGCTATTTTGGAGGGGGAAAAAAGGGCCTCCTCCTTTCTTTTCTTCAAAAGGCAGGACACTAGAAATATATTTTTTTTACTTGGCCTAAAGTGTAAATAAACTACAAACAGTCTTTAAATATAAAAATCAAAATTTTACAAAGTTCTTCATTTTCTGGTTCATGTTCCAAGTGTGGCCCTTAGTCATGTTAGTTACGGAAGTAGTCCAGTGAATTGGCCTCATTTATGGGGCTACCGGGTGGGCCTTGTTTGGGAAACCCCGACGCTAATACTCATTGTTAAATTTCCAATGAACAGTAGAAGCTGGGGCTTCCTGAGGTCGGCTTTCAGTGAATCAAAAGATACGCAATACAAACAATGTGACAATGAATGAATGATATTCATTCATTCATTGTCACAATGTTTGTATGGCGTATCGTTTTGCACAAATTATCGGATCGTGTTTGTGTGGTTGAGGACACCTCCTTTTCATGTTATTCTTAAAAAAGTTTTGTCACAAAGTCTGCAACCTTAGGAAACGTTCTCTTAGGGGCCATTCAAATTTTTTGATTTGTTTTTTAAATTTGATTTTTTTTTTGAAATTGTTTTGACCCAACCACCCACCCCGATTTTCGATCTTAAAATTTTGATTTTCTGTTCAATGAAAAATATTGTCCTGGTGTCTTGTCATGGAAAGCATTCTCGTTGTCTTGCTCTCCGCGACAACGCACCAGACGAAAACTGAACCCACTTGCGTGGGTTCAGTTTTCCTGAAATTTCATGTTGAAATTTTGATACGCAAACGTGTGCAAATGAATCTGGAAATTTCACGAAAAATAGACATCTGAAAAAGGCAGCACTTTCTGATTAGCCTATAAAGAGGGTGAGTATGCTTCTAAAGCAAAAATAAACTACAGTACAAACTAAGCCTGAATTCATGTGAAAATCAAAATTTGACAAAGTTCGACATGTGTTTGTACATGGTGGAAGTGTAACCTTTATTTACGGAGGTAGTCCAGTAAATTGGCCACATTTATGGGGCTAATGGAATTCCTGAACCCCCCCGGATCAATAGATAACGACACATAGAGTATGTAGGCGTGAAATAAGCTTCTATAACGAGGTAAAGGTAATCCTTTCTTAGGACCCCGTTCCTATATAGGATGGGAAAGACTCACCAAAACAGTGACGAAATGACACTCAAACTAGACAGTCTGACATTCCTTGACACATCTGAACAATTAGCAATGACATCTTCTTGAATATCAGCAGATTTAATTTTGTGGAAAGAGGGCAGGGCTTTGATTTATGAGGGAAATTGAGGGGTAAAAGACGACGATGACAACCAGAAAACAGACTCAAAAACCAAGTTGGCAAATGTGAAAGCTTGATGCAATGAAAGCTCAATGCTGATTGGCTGATAAAAAATAATCATCTTATTTATTATTTTTAGCAGCCAATCAGCATCAGGCTTTCATTATTGTATGTAGGGCTTTCACTCATGTTGTGAGAACTACAACATGTACTTCTGAAATCAGAAGGCTTCTCGGCTGATGGAGAGAAGCCTTCTGATTTCAGAAGTATACAACATGCACTTCTGACTGCAAAAAAAGGTAGGAAAGTCGCATTTTCTTTGAAAGTGCTTTCAAAATTACAAATAGTAACATGAGTTTATACGGTATAAAATTAGGCAGTGGATATTTTGCCGGAGACGGCAAACGTTTAGTAAACGTTAGTTTGCCGGATATGCACTGAACATGCGCAGTTACTGTTTTTTTGTACTCAAAACATTTTCCGGTGACAAATTTTAGTCTGGCTCCATGCCAATATTATCGTTGTAACCTCGTATTCACAAGATGGGATTCAGACCATTTTATAATTTCGGACTTTATTTCCCTTTTAAAAAAAATCCTCCAGAGCCACAAATCTGAAAAAGAAATGTAATACTCTGCAATCTGCAATAAAATGTTTGAGACATGTTAAAATTATAAAAGAAGAGTATTCTTATTTATTTGGGGATGGGAAAAAAAACATTTAAATATGGCGGCGATCGGGATCAAACCCGAGTCATCCCGCTCACTAGAGCTTTTGCTTAACCACTACACCAAACGTGCTACACAAAATTTGGTGGGAATTTAATACATCTTATAATTCAGCCCTATCTTAAAGAGTACAGCGCCCTCTGTTGATATGGATTGCCGCCGGCAAACCTTTAGTAAGCGTTAGTTTGCCGTCATTACCTCCGGCAAAATATCCATAGTATCATAAAATTATATGAAGAAAAAAGACTGCTTTAGCCTGCAAAAGTCACTTTGGTACTGGACAGTCATCTGCAAAAGTCAGTTTTGAACAGAACTCGTAAAAAATAGAGGTGTCCTAAAGTCAGATGGATTACCGAGGTAAAACGTAACAAAAATCTGGTCACAATTTTGGGTGGTGTTACGTAGAGAATTCTCATCCTGACCTCAGTCGTAATCAGTAATGCAATGAAGACTTCGTCCAACCTGGGCTAGCTACGTATGTCTAGCTCTACTAAGTGGAGCGTTGAACTACGGTACCGTTTGTACGGAGAGTACCGTAGTTCAACGCTCCACTCAGTAGAGCTACGTATATCGTACGTATAGGCCTACATGTACGTGCTGCGCCACGTTCGTGTAACATCTCATTCTCACGATTAAAAAAACAACGTTTCAGTTTCGCATCCAAGTTGTGGTAATCTACCCCAAAATTAAGCTTGTGCAAATAATGCCTTACAATACTAAGTTTTTAGAAAACAGAAGACAAAGAGAGGCTTGGACTTGGAGACAAAGCGATAAAATCTTCTTAGTTCTTACCTGATTTTCAACGCGCAACCTTGTGATCGTGCACCATTTTATTTCAAAACACCTTTCGTCAAAACCATAGAGGGCGCTAGCTATCGATACCGTACCGTGGCCAGACGACTCGATCGACGGCGCATGCGAAGTTAATACTTTCTTACCACAGTTCCGTAGGCGGGATGCTCCATCCAAAGTTCACGAAACAGAACAATGATACCAAGAGCATTGTTGTTATTTAGTCAACCAATTACTTTAAGGTGCATCCCTGCATTTCAATTCCAATAGACACATTTACATTTATTTCATTTTTCGGGATACATTTTGTTACAACAAACAATAACATTAAATACTCAGAAATACACATGAACATATTGTGACAAAAATCAGCTTTTCCTTTAAATAATCTTTCCGTACTAGAGAATATTCTGGTTTCCTTAACATGAATCTCGGACTACAGAATGGAGATGAAACTTGTTGATTTTAGGCCATTTTCAGCCCTCAAATCCAACTTTATTCACCTACTAGACTTACCAAATACTCGTAGTATTTATAGAATAATTCCACAATGATATGAAGAAGCCATTAACTTTGCGTTACACTGTTGTTTCTTCCAGGTACTTATGCAAGTTTTATAACGTTCAAGGCATTTGACGTATGTGCACAGTGTTATTGAATGCACCCATTGTTTGTGTGTTATTGACTTTTGTACACAGGTTAATGATGTACTTAACTAATGCAGGGATTTCATCATCAGGGTTGGTGACTCGTTTTGCATACGCGATACGCGCTACGCGCACTTTTAGCCTATTGGAACGCGCGCGCTCACTGCGCCCCAGATTCAGCCCTGCCAAAAGTGCATAAAAGGCGAGCTGGAACAGCAATCGAGCGCTCTGTTCGCTCCAGAACAAGCCCTGTGGGAAGAACCAAGCGGATGTCAGGATTCGGAAGAAGAAGAAGAAGGAACAAGCAAGAGGGAACAAGCAAGAAGATGAAGAAACAAGAGGAATTGAAGAAGTAGCCTGAGGAAGAAGATAAGAAGAGACGAAGCACGAAGAAGAATAATACCGATGTCCACCCGGAAAAGGAAGCAACGTACAACGGCCAACGACAGCCCATGCATATACGCCATGTACTGTGTGTACATATCCGCGCACAAAACATGCTTAATTAGACTTGCTATCAGTCCAATTGCGCACTGTGTTTAAGCGGCAGCAATTAGAATGTGCGTATGCAAACTAAAGTGACCCAATCTGATGAAGTGTTTAATTATTATTATTTGATGGTGATTGATTAAAACAAACAAGAAGTTTGATTGTGAATTATAGCCACTTGTCTCTGCTGCCTGACTGATTTATGTCAGTTATTGTCTTTTTAAGTAATCTGCCTCAGAATAAAGGTTTAGGGCAAGACTTTAGGCCAGACTTTTAGGCAAGACTTTAGGGTCAGACTTTATAGGGAAAGACTTAAGAGCCAGACTTTAGGCCTATAGGACAGACTCAAATTATATTGCCTCCTCCACCCCAGCCTTCCCTTTTCTATTGCGTTTGCGCGCCAAGTTATAGTCCAACCCCTCCCCTTACCCTTCCCCTATCCATAAAGTCATCGAGGCCTTGAAGAAAGCTACGCTACCAGACGAACTCCACTTGGGTCAGGTTGACGTCCTGAGATTGTGACGGCGCCCTCAACGCTGGTCCCGGTCAAGCACTAGCTCAGCCATACATCACCGATTTCTCCTGGTTATTAATCCCGGCGGGTTTTTAGGGATTCGTTGTACCCCTGGGTATATCGAGCCCCGGATTCCCGTTACAATATTTTCAATGGGGAGCGCTGATGAAATACTACAATCAGGCACACTACATTAACTAAAAGCGTACAAATGCACCCTTATTATTTAGGGGGAGACCGTTCCTATGTACGTCAAATTGTTACATTTTGCTAGTGCATTTTTTTTATGGATTTTTTTTCGGGGGGGGGGGGGGAGCTACACAAAAGCCACCCCCAAGCCCCCCGTAGAACCGCCACTGCAACATACTAATCCTCCAAATCCATTTCTGAAAATTGCTGCAAAAGCAAATGTTGTACATTCCCTTTAAGCTGCACAGACAAATGATGATCCTTGATCAACATGTCATCTTTCACTGTTTCAGTTTTCTTTTCATTTTTGGGTAGGTTGACCATTGTTTTCGAGATATTTTCACCCAAAGAAGACGACCTTCCCCACAAGCGGAAAAGTAGCCATCTTGAAAAACGATCCCTCCGCGACGCATGGCAAAATAGCGCCACTTTCGAACCCAATTAATTGCATCCAAAATGCTCAGAATTGGAAGCCCCATGTCCGGGCCACAGGTTCATCGCCATATCTCTTCAATTTCCCAATTTTATGGCCCTGAGAACTCTTTTATATAGAACAAGCTGGTTTACCCGATCATAGATCGGGTAGGGCGTAGTGTTGGGGATGAAAATGTGGGGAGTTAAATGTAATGTAAATGTGGGGGATATAGTTGGTGAGACATGCAGTTAAAGAATAGCAATTTCTGTGGTGTGATCTGAGGCAATTTCTGATCACTAAAACCAATTTGAGCAAAAGATCATCTGTGAAAGTTTTGAGTTTTGAGTAATTGAATCAGCTACATGTATTCTGAGCAATAGAATCATTATTGTAGGCTACAATATTTTTATTCGGGGAAGAAAAAGTGTGTGTGGGGGGGGGGGGGGGAGACCAAACAATGTCCCCCCTCAAAATGTGTGTGTGTGTGGGGGGGGGGGGGGGGTTCCCTGTCTCCCGTAGATTTACGCATATGATAATTATGTACCATGGCAACTGTCTGTAAATGTTGCCGTTGGTCTGTTAAATTGGCTTTTTGTGAGGCAGTCGCATTTGGAAAACGTAGTGAAAAGGCTACTGTAGTACACAGGCGAAGCTGGTTGTACAGTTTGACAATAAATCATAATGCAATAAAACGTGAAGGTGTCATTTAAAATGAAAATGTTGAGTGTTACCAAAAAATTACAAGCGGTCTGAATCATGGAGGAAGGTCATAATTAAGTTTCAGTATTGGACTCTTCAACAAACGTAAACTTGAACTTCTTACAATTTGCGAGACCGTCTGCGATTCAACTTTTATTCAAGTTGGTTCAACCATCTATATATAAGAGCAAGTGTTACTCGGCCTCCGAGAAATGTTTGCTTCTGAAAGGATCCGAGACCGCGGCGATCCTTCGTTGACCCAAAACAGGCCCCTGAAATTATAACACGACACTGAATTATACCATGGAGGAATTCTTATTCTTCCATGATTATACGTGGCGGGCAGCGAACTCACAACGCTCAGCCTTGGTGGTGGAAGCATGGAGCTGTAAACACATTAGGCCGGTTTTTTTTAATTACTTGGATTACGGAATCGCCGCCGGAAAAAATCGGAATTTTGAAAAAAATTAAAAAAATCGCCGCCGGAAATTGTCGATTCTGACTACCCCAAAAAAAAAAAAAAAAAAAAAAAAATGTGCCTATCGTACAAAAAACTCTATATTGCGCGCTGTCCAGGCCTGTAAACCATAGTATTAGTACTGGTTTGATCGAACGACATCAGTGTTCTCCAACTTTGTAGAACAAACCTGGCGCCCCGCCATGCTTTCTGCGGCGCCCGCCATGTTTAAGAAGTCCCCGCCAAGCTTTAAAATCCTGCCGCCAGGTTTAATTTTTTTGACTCTACAGTGTACATTTACAACTAAAATAATTGATTTCAGTTGTTTTTCCACACATTAACAATGTGTTTCGATGTCATCCCAGCCCGATCGGGGTTGTCTTAAAATCTCGCTGAATCAATCACACGCACGGTACGGCCGGCCGTGCGAAACACCAGCGATTCCCCATGCACTGTACGTACTATACTATTAGGTACGCGCGATGTACAAGTACACACTGACAACTGAATCCCCAGTTCCGGAGTGTGCCGATACTTCAAGTAGCGACAACCCCGCCGCAAAAATATATATCTGTATTAGTACACACACACACCAGCAGGAGTACGTACGGCAGATCTTACGTGCAGCCAACCGACTTTCTTTTTCTCAGTGCTTCCACGCGCGGTACACTATATAATACGCATTGATGTTTTTGTACGAGGAAAACGAGCTCGAGGCCAAAACACGCGTGCACATGGTGTCCGGACGATCATGCCGATTGTCAAAAGTTATAAATGGGGATCGTGTATGGGCCCGGTTCTCAAAGAGAACAAAATCCACTTTTAATTTATTTGACTTACCAAACTAGTTGTCGACATTTAAGAACATACAGGTAGGTCATAAATAGAGGGAAATTTGGGGGAAAAATGACGATGACAACGTCAAAACGCAACATGAAAATAAAGATGACGATCGCACGGCACCGGCACCACCCATAAAATCGCGTTAAAAAAAACGTAATTTGTATCCCATTTTGTTTTTCACAATTACAAAAAGGTGTCATTTGATCTGAGAGAAGTCTGCTTTAGGTTGAAAAGGAGATTTTTGAATGCTAAAAAAATCGGGGGAACTGGCCTGGTCACTCCATGGTCACTATTTCTTTGAAACCGTGGTTTTGAAAATGCAGTGACTGTTCATTCTCGTGCCCGTTTTTGTTTCTTCATGTCTCTATGGGCGCCGCCATGTTGGATGATAGGGCGCCCCCATTTTTTTTTTTTTTTTTTTCATTTCCCGCTCGCCGCCGGAAATGGGGACCCAAAAATTCCGTAATCCAAGTAATTAAAAAAAAAACGGCCTTATGGAAGCAACAGCACTCTATCACGTCACATGCTTGCGCTTCAAATAGCGAGCACCGTAGACCCAACCTCGTTTCCAGGGTGTGGAGCAGGCTGCAGTACGCGTTGCCATCGACAGTTTTGCATAGCCCGGAAATACTACGCAGTGTAGACTTTCGATTGGTCAGACCGCGCAAGGCATACTTAATGTGTAGTCCTTCTGAGTATTCGTTGCACTCGGCGCAGGGGCGGCAAGCGAAGCATATGAAAGAATAGGGGCACTTGGTGGCCACGCACCATGGAGAAAAAAATATTTTACCAAGGTCACCCCATCCACAATTTGGTGAACGCTTTTGCAGAACGGCCGAGTAGAACACGTAAACGGAACCCCTACGTCGAAGCCGCTGACCTTGCACAGTCTAGACACGCAGAAAAGCCAGGACAGGGGGCGGCCAGGCAGTCAACGTGAAAGCACACACGACGGCAAATTCCTGCGCAAAATGCAGTCACGAAAAATAGACGAAAAGGATCGCCGGTCCGTACGGGAAAATCAGGACGACCCGAAGTGTCCGACCCGCCGGAAGACACCCTCCGCATTTTTCCACGGACGTGGAGCGATTTTGGGGCCGCGGGAGCCCGCGGTCTCGGATCCTTTCAGGAGCAAACATCGTCTCGGGGGCGAGACTTCTCTCTTATATATATAGATATTTTGATGGAATAACTTAATTCATTTACCGGTGTGTGCACCTTTAAGTGGCATTCTAAAGTACGGATGTCGTTGAGCTACCACACAGTAGCCCAGGGGGTGATGAGCTGGTTCGAATGTCGTCGTTGATCATTTTCATCGACTGTTTTTCTTCTCTGAATTTATTGTTGAGACTTGAGATAACCTTGGAAAACCTGAAGCACCAACCGGGGAGGGGGGAGGGGGGCTCTTCACTAAAATGCTTGCTTGGCTGCCGCGTCTGCGCCCTGCGCTGGATACCCACTATGGAGTTTGCACTGTAGCTAATGCTAGCAGATGGAGATGCAGATGCGGCGCTCGCGGCATTCCTCCAAAACTTACGGCGAATGGTCTCCGATTACTTTTGTCCTTGTATTATAGTACGCCACTTCCAAACCGCAAGCTTTATTGTTATGTTCGGCACGAGCGCGTCTACGCAAATTACCGCCGTGGGTAGTATGGCACAGCATATATTTAGTGGTTATCTGGGGGTTGAAACCCCTTACCCCCCCCCCCCCCCCAGTTCAGCCGCTGACTAATATAATTAGATGTATACAATGTTATGGTACAATGTACTAGTAAGATTGGTAAAATAAAATAAATGGCAAGAATTACCAAATTCCTTAGAATGCACTGGAGAAACTTGCATCGGAGATTTCAAATATTTTTGGGGCATGCCTCCAAACCCCCATAGGGCACGTCTTCACTCACCCCCCCCCCCCATTTCTTGCTTGTCATATCCGCCCTTGTCCTTTCCCGTGCATGTTTTTTTTTTGGGGGGGGGGCGGGGGAGGGGGGTTGGGGGGGGGGGGACACACGGTTTTGGTTTCAGTCGGACACACGTAATTATATACATAGGGCGGATCCAGGGAGGTTACTGCCTGGGCTAGGGTGTGCCGGGAGATCGAGGGGCACAATGGCCGTCTCAGGTGAAAAATAGCATTATTGAGAAAATTTTCCCCGGTGCATGCTGGAACTGGGACATTGATAGGTTTCAAACGAATTCTAACTTGGCCAGGGTGAAATCGAAGAACCCGAAACGTTCGCTCGTACCCCCTGCCCTGCAAAGGGTGGGGGGTACGAGCGAACCCGAAACGAAGCCAAGTTCGGAAACCCAGTAAGATAATTCTAGAGGGCGCTGTTCAAAATTACGGAGATCACATGTGGTTGTTTTTTTATGTTGGGAGCAAAATATTATGCAAACATGTTTGTTTTATTCACCTGGTCATGTTATTAGCGCTGTTCACGCCTTCATAGATCATCCGGAAAATGACTCAGTGTGTCGCGTTGGTAAGATAAGTTATGTTATTTTCATGTATGTTGCAACTTGCATCCTGACCTGACGTTGGCTAGCCCCACTTACTTGTGCGGCCTCGGTCATGTCGGTATTGTAGCCCGACTGCGTCTGGCCGTACAGTACTATCGCAAGCTCTGTAGTACGGCCAGACGCCCGATGCTTCCACAGAGACTGAATTTTGTTGGCCGCCGATGTAGCGATTTTGCTACATCTTTCGATCGCGATTATCTTTTCATCCAGGACACAAATTTCCAAAGTTGAGGTTCGTAGTCGTAGAGCAACTCATACCTTTTCGAAAAAACGTTGTTTGGTCTCAATATTTTCATCCATCTGGCCACAAGACGAATTTCAGTCATCAGATTCCACAAATATCGTCCCCCATGCGATCCCCCATGCGATTTCAAAATGGCGGCCGCGCTGTAATGTATGCAATATGCAGGCGCGCCCGCACAAACTCATGAATATGCATAAACAGTCTGTGACGTATGACCTCGTGTTTTTGGACGTACGGCCCCGCCGCACGCACGTCCAAAAACACGAGGTCATACGTCACAGACTGTTTATGCATATTCATGATTTGTGCGGGCGCGCCTGCATATTGCATACATTACAGCGCGGCCGCCATTTTGAAATCGCATGGGGGATCGCATGGGGGACGATATTTGTGGAATCTGATGACTGAAATTCGTCTTGTGGCCAGATGGATGAAAATATTGAGACCAAACAACGTTTTTTCGAAAAGGTATGAGTTGCTCTACGACTACGAACCTTAACTTTGGAAATTTGTGTCCTGGATGAAAAGATAATCGCGATCGAAAGGTGTAGCAAAATCGCTACATCGGCGGCCAACAAAATTCAGTCTCTGTGGAAGCATCGGGCGTCTGGCCGTACTACAGAGCTTGCGATAGTACTGTACGGCCAGACGCAGTCGGGCTAGTCGGTATTGCTGCTCTGAGTCTCTGGCACCGGCAGTGTCGTGTCTGTACAGCATGCAGGGTGACCGTTTTAGCCAATAACTTTGACCGATTTTTTGTTAAAAAACGAATTTGACAGAAAATTTGACAGAATGTATTTTTTTGGCAGATTTCCGGCAGAATTCTGCAAAAATGGTTATTTGACAGAAAAACATCGCAAAGTTGAAAAAAATGGAACATGATTTGTGTAAAAAAACCTTCAATCTGTTCAAACACACCCTTGCAAGTTGCATAATGGGTCAGGTTAATTGGCTGGTCTACCGTGTAGAGGTTCCGTCACTGGGAACCGGAAGTTCGTTGTGACGCAACCGCGTTTTGCCTGAAATTTTCGCAATAATTTCTTAACATTTTATGTGACTATAGATTATTTAATAAGTAATTTGAACCTTAAATAAGGCAATACTACAAATCTGCATGTGATTTTAAGTGTTTATATAATGACTGTATTTCGAGTAATTCTTGGGAATTTGGCAGATTTTTGATGAATCTGACAGATTTTTGAAGTGTATTTAGCAGAATTTGGCCGTGACCTTACAGTCACCCTGCAGCTCAGCAATACAGCATGTACAGAGACCAGTTGGGCTAGACGCTGGGTAGCCCCTAAACCCGCCTAGCCCCATAAATGTGGCCAATTTACTGGACTACCTCCATAAATAAAGGCCACACATGGAACATGTACCCGAACATGTACATCATGTACATGTGTAGAACTTTGTCAAGTTTTCATTTTCACATTTAGACTTTATTTGTAGTTTATTTACGCTTTAGAAACACACTCACCCTCTTAATCATTTTTACAAACCTTACAGTTCTGGAAGTACTCTAAAACACATTTTTCTAAGATGTTTTGATTTTTCCGGCCAAACCTAATGGATTTGTCTTAAAGGGAATGTACAACTTTTGCTTTTGCTGCGATTTTCAGAAATAAATGGATTTGGAGGATTAATACTTATATAAAATATTGTTAAACTGACTTTTTTCATGTTTTGGGCTTGTAGATGCTAGAAAAACCAAGAAAACCTATCATGTTCTTGTAGTCTGGTTCCCTGACCCCACTTAAGATGAAACGAAGCAATTTATACACTTTGGGGAATTGTAAGGTCAGAGAATCAGTCTAGCAAGCTTGTACCCCTTCACAGGTGTGTGATCAATTGCAAAGAAAAGTCAGAATAACTAAATATGAAAAATTAAGAACAGTTTTTGAAAAAAGGACAGTTTTCTCCAACGCTGGTCGGCTGACCAGCGTTGGAAAAAAACAGTTTTTCTTGAAAATGTCAGCCCACCAGGAGCCACAATTTTAAAGGATGCTTTAGACTATCAGTCCCTAACAATTCAGTGGGGTATTTCGTGATAATTTGATCTATTTCGTTTTTTGATGTTTGCAAATGTTGTATTTTCCCTTTTAATAATAACACAAGGTGAAGTGAAATTTGATCGGTTTGGCAGCAATTGTGTGATGTCCGTATATCGTTCGGATAGCCAATCATGTAGGCAGCTATATTGAAGAGTCTGGAAGTTTGCCGTGCGTATGACAGCACACTAGCCAATAACGTTGCGATACCTCATAATGAATATTTAATTTCTCATGAATAGGCCTATATCATGAATATTTAATTGGGGGAAACAGTTGATACATGTAGGGGCATCACGATATAGGATGTAACTTTTTGGTGCATCAGAATTAGATTGAAGAAAAAGTTATGCCTTTATATGGATACATATTGGAAAGATTTCCATATACAAAGTTCACTAAATTTCCTCTTTATTGACTAACAAGCCCCCAGATAGCAATTTCATGTCATCATTTCAGCAGTGAGAAAATACAAGCATTTATTTATAAAACACTTAGAATTTTTCAGTCCAATCTCATAGGGTTTGTACACAGGGTGTTGAGTGAATTTCGTATATGGAAATCTTTCCCCCGGATGCTGGAATTTGGAAGTTTGCTTGGGTCTTCAACACTGTTCAACTTACTTCGCAATACTTGTTCTGGTTAATTTTCAGGTGACAGGATCCAACAAGGGCATTGGTTTTGCTATTGTGCGTGCTCTGTGCAAACAGCTGGACAATGGAATAGTCTACCTGACTGCCAGGAATGAGGAGAGAGGACGAGAGGCTGTGGCCAGACTCAGTCAGGAGGGACTCCAGCCTAAGTTTCACCAGTTGGACGTGACTGATGGAGCCAGCGTGAGGAAGCTGCAGGGTTACCTTAAGGAGACACACGGGGGATTGGACATACTGGTCAACAATGCAGGAATTGCCTTCAAGGTAATCTCTTCTTTTCTTCAGTTTTTTTAAAATTTCGCTTGAGTTGAGTGAGGTCGACGGAGCGATGTGTAATATTAATTTACTCGCTGACCACCTCTAGGCCTATCACGCCGTCTACGATCTCTACATTGGACAAAGTTTCTGACAGAAAAAACTTATGTGGTATTGTTGATGTACCCTAACATGGCGCGGCCCCTAACGTGGTACACATTGATTTTTGGCCTGTAGCGCCTTGCTAGAACAAATTTAACTGAAAGTTCACAGAAAGTGAAATTTTTTTACGTTCTGAACACTCTTGTTCATAAATCACGAGTCTATCTACCCGTTACAAATTTAGAAGAAAAATGTATTTCGGCGCGATTTTCCAATTATATTTGAAAGTGCACAGTGAGTGAACCCTTTGAAAATGTCCCCAAAAAATTAGAAAGTAATTTTCTGACAAACTTCTAGTTGGGTATGTAAGTAGAGATAATAACGGTTTATCAGAATTTGTCAACTTTACAGAAATTCTTAAATGTTAATTTGGAAATTTCTGAGATTCATTCAAGTGCGCCACGTTGGGAACACTCGAGTTGTGCCCAATTTCCGGACGCCATCGGTTTCGAATTTCGGATTAAATTTCATGACACTGAAATTGTTCTCAGAGGTTAAATAGCAAGCATTAAAGGGAATGTACATCATTGGCTTTTGCTGTAATTTTCAGAAATTAACTATTTGGGGGGTTAGTATAATAGATCAAATATTGTTGCACTGACATGTTTGACGTTTTGTGTTCGAAAATGCTGGAAAAACCAAGAAAAACAAAAATATTCAAGTAGTCTGGTTCCCTGACTCCACTAAAGATGAAATGGATCAAAAATACCGGAAAATTGTAAGGTAAGGGAACCAGTCTAGCTGGCCTGCACCCGTTCATGAACATAGAACCAATAGCTGGCGAAACAAAATTTAGACTAAAAAAATGGTAAATTTGGAGCAGTAATTTAAAAATAGTTAGGTTTTTCCAATGGTGGCCGGCCGACCAGCGTTGGAAATGTATACAAATATACCATTTTCTTGAAAATGGCTTCACACCAGGTGCCATTATTTTACAGGATGCTTTAGCATGTCATTTACCAACATCCTAATGAGGTATTTCGTAACAACTTGGTAGTATTATTTTTCGATGTTTGCAAATGTTGTATTTTCCCTTTAACAGGGTAAAAGTACCAGTATTTCAGTGAATGAACTTGAAGTTTGTCAACAAAGAAGTTTGGCAACACTGATGTGGAAACTGGAAAGTCGGGTTATACGTCGAAGTGTGCCACAGTAGGAACGCCACTGGAATGCTGTTGTCCACTGGTTTTGGTTTTCGACTCATGGGGAACATGGTGCTTGTGTTCTTAGGCAAGACACTTTATTGCAGTTGCCTCTCTCCACCCACGAGTATAAATGGGTACCTGTGAGGGTAGAGACCAGATTGCATTGGTCTCAAGCTGCTGCAGAATAATGGTCACATGGCCTGATAAACGGGGGTGATAACTGTGAAGCCGTTTGAGACCTTTGGGATAAAGCGTTTTACAAACACTACATTAATTTTAGTAGTAGTATTATTAATTGAATTGAACCGACCTTTATTTTGTTGGGTTTTTAAATGTAAATTTTAACTTTCTTTTGCCCCTCCCAGACAGATACAACTGAGCCATTTGCTGTTCAGGCATCAGTTACCGTAGCAACCAATTTTACCGCACTATTGGATGTCAGCAGGGCACTTATTCCACTTGTTCGTTCCCATGGCAGGTATCTAGCATGATTCAATTGTGTATCTGGAGGGGGTGGGGCATGTCCCCCCCCCCCCCCCCCGAAATTTTTTTAAAAAAATTGTTGATATCGGGACAGGCAGCTTATCAGAAAAAAAAATATATCCTGGCAACCTACCTGCAGAGCGAGTCTGCTTGGCCCCCTGTCAGAAATATCCTGCATATGTAGTGTATATACCACTGTCATTACTCACATTGCCTAGCTATCCATGGGCACTGGTAACCAATGATTTCTTTGAGCTCTCATTGGATGAACTTTCTTAAATCGTGACCCGGAGTCGTTATTTCCGTCAGCACACAACACTTGCAAATGGACACACTAATGTATGGAAATTGACTGTTGGGGGTAAGCTACACTCAATGCTCTGTGAAGTTCATTTGCTTCAGAAGATTTAGTGAAAAAGTTAAGGCCTGTCTCAAGTTACGGACATTGTATCAGGTGTAAGTTGCAGGATTCTGAACAACTTCCCCGCAATCTTCCTGCTATGAAGTTATCAGTATTGATGAGTCAAGCAGTAGCTAATGAAAGCAGAGCTTCACCTGAACAAAGTGAAGGAATCTACCAACAACTTGTCCAGAACTCGTCCCAGATATGAATTAAGACAAGCCATGTAGCAGTCACCAGTGTCCTTCGGAAATGGCGCTCTATTGGTGCATGCCGAATTCTTAAGTAGCCTCAGTTTCATAAAATATTTCTGGCCATTGAGTGACTCCCCAAAAATGTTCCTTTTGTTAGAGAAGGTAATTACTTTTATTAATCTCTTATGTTCTTTTCTGAATTTGCATTTTCAGAATTGTCAATATGGTCAGCAGGGCAGCGGAGTGGGCATACAACAAACTAAGCCCGGAGATCCAAGGTCGTTTCAAAGCAGTCAAGTCAGAGCAAGATGTCGAGCAGCTCATGAGAGAATTTGTGGAGTAAGTATGATGACACCTGTCCGTAAAGACAAAAAGTTGACCGAGCTGCTCTGTATGGAGACACAGACTAGGAGACAGCTTGAACTAGTCAAGTGAAATCAATTTGATTCAAGTCTGACCCAAGTAAAGAGCTATATTAAATTACTAGAGCGTTAACTCGCCATTCTGCGCGCGGAGATGCTTTGAAGCCGTCCTGGGCGCAGACATTTTGAATTCATGTGCGTGTTTGTAGAACATAATGAAATTAGATGGATTGAATTTTGAAAGTGTACTCTAAATTCAACGCGCAAGTAGAACACACGCAAACAACTTAAGCGCGTCATTGACGGTTCAAAAAACGTGACGGCAAAAAGCATCTGCAGCGAATACGCGCACGTGTTGCGCTGTTTGCGTAGAGCAAAAGAAAACACTCATTTGCTGATCGTGAGTTTCGGTTTTGGGCGTATTGGCTTCGATAACGCACCGGTGTGGAATACAAATGCAGATATGCAAATAGCCTTACAAAAGCCGTACAAAATTTCTAGGTCTCCATAGGTTTGTGCACAAACATGGATGCGCCCAGCAGGCATTACTTTGTACATGAAGTTAGCGCTCTAGTAATTTAATATAGCTCTATGGACCCAAGTCACAATTCACATCTCACATAGTCAATTCACTGGCGAAAACGTGACATACATCACTCACAGAGGGTCAACTCTGTGCAACCATGGGTTCTGGTCCACACGTACTGCAAAGGCCCAGTGAACAACACCATGCACGTTCCGTCCTTCACAAACTCCTGGCCGTGTGAATTTGCAAACAATGCTAATGGGGTATTAAAGATATAGTCCATCATTTGTAATTTGTGCATTTTGTGCGTTTGAAGCAACAAAAGTGCTCAAAATCTAAAGAAGGGTACTGAACAACTAACCTGATGAAGTTTCAACTCGGCTTCAACTGTATATTCCGAGAAAAACAGCATTCTAGGATCTCAATTTCAAATCAAAAGTTGCTGAATCATGTTTTGAATTGGGCCTGAATTCAGCATCCGAGACACGTTCTCACTGAGCCGATTGCAGCTACGCGATGTCGCACACTGATCCGACGAATTATAGCAACCGCGCGTACGTGTGCATTGTGCCAATGCTTGCGCGGGCTTCGCCGAATAACAAAATGAACTACTAATTTAAATTTCCTACGGTGCGTCTTAAGAAGCACCGTTGGAAAGGCCTTCTTAACTTCCAAATGACAGCTTGCCAGAAAGAATAATTTCACAGGGAGTTTAGTCCACTTACTATCTTTCAACCAAGTATGTTTTTCAGCAATAATTACGCCAGTTACTTTTCGGATAGCTGCAAATGATGGACTATAGCTTTAAGGATGAAAAAAAAATGCTTCAAAGCAATCTACGTACATGTGAACATCATTATTCCCTCAACGACTGCTATGTGATTAACCACCACCCAAATGGATAGATATAAGCACATTATATTGCACGTGTACAAACCGCTTGGCAAATGACCAAGTCAGAATGCTTTGTTATGACCAAATTAGTCCAAGAAGTCAGTAGTTTCCACAACGCTTACTCACATAAACGATGTCAAATGCTTCATTTAAAATCCCATTTGACCCAGTCAAATTTTCGTTTTCATAAAAAAAAAGTTAAGTTACTTGCTAATATATGTCTCCCTGTTAAATAATATAAATAAACCATAATATCCTTGTGGAGTGTCTTGGCCTGATGGTCTGGAGCATTGAATGCATGGTACCAGTTTGTGGGTAATTCTGCAGGTTGTGGGTTCGAGTCCAGCCTGGGGTTTTGGTGCATGTGCCCTTGGGCAAGGTACTTTGTCACTTATTGTTTCTGCCCACCCAGGAGTAAATGGGTACCTGTGAGTGCAGAGATGGTTACTGTGATTGAGTTTAGCTGCTTTGCACCGAAATGGCAGCATCAAGCTGTATATTCCCGCAGAAAGATGAGATTGTCTTTGGAATGTTTCGTTGGCCCAATGAGCAGGGTAATAATGGTGTAGCGCCTTGAGCACCAATCTGATGGATACATGCGCTTTATAAATTCACATTATTTTTACTATTCATATCCTCAGGTGTGCCAATGCGGGTGATCCTTTAACTAAAGGTTGGCCCGACTCTGCCTATGGAACATCCAAGTTTGGGGTCATCGCACTAACCAGGGTCCAAGCTGCTGACATAGCTAAAGAAAAGACAAAAGAAGATGTTCTCCTGACTTGTGTGAGTTTGATTTCTTTGCTCAACATTGGTCTGCAAGAATGCCTCTGACAGTCATCTAAGTGCTGAACTTAGTAGCAGTGCTCGACGTGAGAGGATTTTAGAGGGCAGCTGCTAAAAATTGGCCCCCTTGCAACGATTTCTACTTGGCCTTGCTGTTTTTACATCACCCATTTCAGATTTTAGCAAATAAAGAAGAAAATGCAAAAAAAAATTATTACAGATCTTTAAAAATTGTAAAATAATGAAGATTTCTGTATCATATCTCTGTCGATGCCACAGATTACCTGACAAGCCCCAAAAGATGTCTTTCAAGTACATTTTATTTGAGCCGGACTTAAAAAATTGAGAATATTTTTTTTAAAGAATGTTTGTCCAAACCATGCCCTTGCTTCACTAACATTTTTTATTATTACTTTTTTTTTGAAAATTTATCTTTGTGTAAACAGTGCACCCCAGGCTATGTTGGTACAGATATGACAAGTTACAAGGGACCTTTGACGATAGACGAAGGAGCAGTCACACCCGTCTACTTGGCCTTGTTGCCACCAAGCTCTGAGGAACTCAACGGCAAGATGTTCGGCGATGAGAAGTTGTATGATGAGTTCTGGTAAAGTGTGGGAGCCAGACAGACTGTTGTAGTTGAGGAAATCTAAATGGATGTCAAAAACGATTTCTCAAAAATGGCAACCCCCCTAACCCCTCCTGGGTATTTTGGCTAGAAACCCTGCTAAACGCAACATGTAACACTTCTGAAAATGACAAGCCAGCCCAGTTTAGCAAGATCCAGCAGGTGAAAAGTCTCAAGGCCAAAATGTCTCATCAGAGTCTGTGGTCACCGAATGCAGCAGGATACAACTTTAGCATTGTTCAATGGGATTAGCTCTCATTGTTTCAGAAGTGGCCGTTTAGGCACTTGTGTTGATAGCTGAATGCATCAAAGTGCACCAGACTTTACACCTTATGCACTGTGTTGCTAATGGCAGGGTTAAAAAACTGTTGCGAAGTATCTTTAGGGACACGAAAAAAACACCTAATCAATAAATTTTTGCAAAGTGTCTGCCTTAGGGACACAAAGGTAAACATTCTCTTTATTCCTGTTAGTTTTCTTGACAAAGCAGTGTCTAAGGTTTGGGTATTAACTTTTCAAGGATATGGAAATATATAATTGGTATGAACCGTCTATAAATATTTTTTTAGCAGAAAATATTTTTTTTTATCAGAATGATGTAACAACAGATTATAATCTGAAACAGTGTTTTTACATTGTTTAAGTGTGCATCTTTAGTGGTGTGTTGGATGACCCAAAAATTGGGAAAATTAAGGAATTGTGTGAAAGGAAAAAGCTGTGATCAAATTTTTAGCGATTTTTTTCAACTGTGATCACGCCCAGGTAAAGATCAGGAAAGAGTGTTTCATAAGGAGAATTCTTGTACAATGACCCGGGAATTTACAATCATGCTCAGGAACTATATAGAAAATATTCTTCTGTCGTTAGAATGTATGAGATCGAAGAACTCATTATGCTATCTAACCAGTTTTAATTATAAATTTACTGTCTTATTACGATAGATACATGAACAAAGTATAAAAAGCAGCATTTGCTTTTAAAGCAAAATGGAACTAAAAACTTTTGTGCTGTGTGATAATTTTTTGTTTACATGTACGTTACCCCTGACTTTTTAGGAAATATTTTCTTGCATGGGGGCAAAATTTTAATCCGTCCATCCGTTGATGTGGCTTGTCAGAATCTGACGTTGCGTATCAGAATGTGCTCTTTTGTTTGCTGGCACCGGCGTATGATGTCAAGGGGCCTTGTGCCAGTGGCATCTCTGAGCCAAGAGAGGTAAGTCATTCGTTGTCGTCCTCCTGCCCTGCGTCCTGCAACAGAGCCAGTCAGGGCAACTGCTTCAAGTGCATTCTTCCGAAGGATGTGGCCAAGGAAGCGGATCTGCCCGGTTGTAATTCGTCACCGATACCACGAAGTAACACCCATCTACATACCAGTAAAAACTAGCAATCGGAGAAAACGGCAACTAAAGTTGAACGCCTTCTAAAACAACACTTTGCGTCAAAACGACAGAGTTTTTTCAGTTGGGTTTCTCGTTGTGGACACTTGATGAATTGAATTTATTAAATCTGCTGTTTTTCACTCGTTTGTGTATTAAATAAACAAGAAATAAGAGAAAAAAGATGAGTGTTAGTTCGTGAAACCGAAAAAGCTGTGAAACTAAATTTTCGTTTTCACGAAGTAACGCTCTTCAATGTATTTAACACGAGGAAAGTGCAACTTCAGGTCAGCGCGCACGCGCTCATACAACTTGTTACAAGAAGAGTGTTACTTCGTGAAAACGTTTTTGCTCACTTATGAGCAGAGTGCGCGCCATGCATTGCAATGGAAAATGGAACTTGAGTGTTACTTCGTGAAAACGAAAATTGTCACTTTTGCGCAAAAGTTGCCATGGATACTTAGCGTAATTATTAAAGTAAAGCTCTTGAAGCTTTGAAACTTCGTGCAATGGTAGGCCTTGATGAATAATGTTTAAAAATAAAAAAAAACTGAAAATCGAAAAAAATATGCTTTAACACGGTAGAGTGTTACTTCGTGGTGTCGGTGACGAATTGTTTGCAATAAAGCACGCGATGTGTTGGCTCTTTCAAAGATGTGTACATTGCTAACGAGGAATAGTCTGGTGCCTGCTTGTGCGTTACATTTGCGTTTGTTGTTGTATGCGGTGTCTGGGGTAAAAGCAGAGTCAATTCGTCGTGGCGCGAGTTACGAAAAACACGATTTATTTAATTAAATTGTTACGATCTTACCTAGACAACATGTAGTATCACATTTTATATTAATATGAACAAATTGGGAAGGAAATGAGTATTTTCGAGAAGGCGTGGACGAATAATCGCGAAAACACGTATCGAATCAGATGCAGAAGAAAGTTTCCTATCCAGGGTTTACTATTGGAAACTAGGTTGGAAATAAAGTAAGCACTGGGGACGAGGTTGATGGAAGTTCTATTCACAGTGCAATAGAACTTCCATTGCACTGTGCGCTGCGCGCGCACAGTGCAATGGTATACAAATATTAAGTGGCTCAGCGTGGAATGGGAGGAATATTATCGCAAGGTAAAATCTGGACTTTTCCATTTCACGAGGCGAAGCCGAGTGAAATGGAAAAGTCCAGATTTTACCGAGCGATAATATTCCTCCCATTTCACAATTTAAAGCCACTCAATATTTGTTTTATATAACTGACATATAGATCCTAATTGTCATTTGATATATTTGAACTTTTTTTCAATACAAAACTGGTGGAAAATGTATTTCTCTCTTCCAAACCACCCCTTCACGAAAATGTTTGAACCCAACGCTGTAGCGCTGGCTCTTTGGAACGATACGCGCAACGCTGAACGCGCACACCAGCATGCATTTGCACACAAATACCGCGTCATGATCCTAACTGTTGAATAATATACAAATATTGAATGCTTCGATTGGTGTAGTAAAACTAGCCTCCCGAGGTGATCCATGGACATTCTATTTTCCCGAAGCGAAGCCGAGGGAAAATAGAATGCTCCATGGATCACCGAGGGAGGCTAGTTTTACTTCACCACGAGATAAAGCATTCAATATTTGTTTTATAACACTTCACCCACAGATTCTGCTTGGTTATAATATTTTAAATTATTAAAATCTGAACACAGTTGAAATAAACTTCAATTTCAATACCAAATTGGTGGAAAATGTATTTCTCTCTTCCAAACTACCCCTTCGCGAAATGTTTGAACCCAACTCTGTGGCGCGCTCTGTTTGGAACAAAACGCGCTGCGTTCAACGCGCAACGCGCACACCAGCATGCATTTGCACACAAATGCCGCGCCGTGGAAATAGTACTTTGGTTGCTAATGGTATAGTACTTTGGTTGCTACGGGTATAGTACTTTTGGCCGTGCACAGAAAGATAGCAACAATAGAAAGTATCATGTGACTCGCTCTCGGCCAATCAAGACACAGAATCTGCGGGTGAGGTGTTATAATATTTCCCATTCCCCATGGGCGGATAGTACTTTTTGAGCCGTGGCATGAATGGGAGCAATAACGAATGCCACGTGATGTGAGTTCCACCAATCAAATGACAAGGATCTGTATGTCAGTTATATAATACGAATAATTCAATGACATGTGATCAACGATCCACCAATCAGATGACTGGGATTTATTCAGGTGTTGTATAATATACAAATATTGAGTGGATCAGCGTGGAATGGGAGGAATATTATCGCAATGTAAAATCTGGACGTTTCCATTTCACGAGGCGAAGCCGAGTGAACTGGAAAAGTCCAGATTTTACCGAGCTATAATATTCCTCCCATTTCACAATTTAAAGCCACTTAATATTTGTTTTATATAACTGACATATAGATCCTTGTCATTTGATATATTTGAACTTTTATTTCAATAGGAAATTGGTGAAAAATGTATTTTTCTCTTCCAAACCACCCCTTCACGAAAATGTTTGAACCCAACCCTGAAGCGCTGGCTCTTTTGAACAATATGCGCCACGCGCTACGCGCAACGCTGAACGCGCACACCAGCATGCATTTGCACACAAATACCGCTCATGGAACAAGAATGATCCTAACTGTTGAATAGTATTTCCCATTCCCCATGGGCGGATAGTATACAAATATAACATGGTTTGAGGGTGGACAGTCGATATTCGCTCCCCGAGGTATTGGAAGTTGACAAACTAGTTCCCGAGGCGAAGCCGAGGGAACTAGTTTGTGAGCTAATATCGACTGTCCACCCGAAATACACCATGTTATTATTTGTTTTACTATACCTCATACATATTCAGTTGCCGATTTTTTTATATATGCACCGTAAACAAAATTCGGGGAAACTTGTACAGCTCACCAAAAGAATATTTTGGTTGCTCAACTTCAATTACTAGTTCGGTTCGTTTGCAATATAATACAGTTACTACAGTTGTAAATACAGTTGTTTGTGTACAACTTTCTTTTGTAAATTTTCTCCAGTACGTACGGCATCATTGAGCTCTGGAAATTAACATTTACGCGAACCGTGCAACTATGCATCTTTCGCTCGTACCCCCCGCCCTGCAAACAGGACGCTGGGATACTTTGATGAGCTTCACAGAATCATGTGAAGGAAATGGCCTATGACCTATGTATAAAGCATCTGGCTGCAGCTGTTCAAGACCGCAGTTAGACAATGTGCGCAAATGCTATCCGAAAACTTCCCTTAGAATTGCTCACATTCCATACCGGATGTGATTCTGTTTCATTGCGGACCATTTGGACAAAATTTTTAGCGTCGCATAATGCAATCCGACCGTTCGTGATTCGAAACGGAGCCTGAGCGAGTGACGGGAATTGTAAATTTACAACACATAAGTTTTACAGAATTTCCTACATTATTACGCTTTTCAACGAGAAAAAAAAAAACATCTCTAAAAAACTGGAATAAAAGAGTAATGAATCAGTCTTAACGGCCGTTTCAAACCTTGCAGAGTCATGACCTCGATGACGCGCAGGTCACTGGTCACGCAAAATCCAACCAATCAGAGCGTGAATTCATCAGAGTATCCCAGCGTCCTGTTTGCAGGGCGGGGGGTACGAGCGAAGGGTAACCCATGCGACAGTCTACTACGCATGCGTATTTACCCTGTGCGTGAATCCTCGCGCGCGCGTTTGGTAAACAGCAAGAATAACATCTGGCACGTGATGGTGAATTGACCAGTGAGAGTTCGGCTCTCGATCATGAATATGTATGAGGTATAGTAATACTTTTTGAGCCCCGGCGTGAATGGTAGTAATAACTAATGACACGTGATGTGAGTTCCACCAAACAAATGACAAGGATCTGTATGTCGGTTGGTTATCATGGAGGAAATAAGAACACATTCCTCCATGGTTATATAAAGCTCTATATGGCCCCTACCTCGTTCTCTTCTCAAAGTACTCGGATGCGAGTGGTACTATACTAGATGGTACTCGCGGCAGTAATACTTTGTACTCGGATGAAAGTACTCGACTTCTCTGCTTGAACAAGACTATACGGGAAGATCGAAGCGACTCGGGGTCCAGGACTGAATTTGTTTCAGTTTTATTCCCCTCTTACAGCCGGTCCGTGATAAGCGAGATCACTATCAACATAGCCTTGGTCAATGCTCTCGTCGTTATTCGTCCCGTACGCGGTCAATCGTCGGCATATATCCTCACGCGCTATGCACATGCATGTAAAAATACAGCGCAAACAGCGACCTCACGCGGCCACTATTTTTATATTCAAATCAGTTGGGGACGATTGAGAGCCTTGGTTCAATCGTCCATGTGAGGTTTTGGTGGTGGTGCTCATTATGTTAATAGCCTTAGCTGACCTTAAATGTCGTTTTCTTAGTGGTCGATCGTTGCGTGGAAACTTGCATCATAGTGAAACGTGGCACCGTACATAATCCATACACGTACACGTTGTGTGTCTCTGCACACGGCACCAATGCACAAAAACTGTGGTTCCTGTCACGTCCGCAAAAGGCGAATAGCTGCAAATAATTTGATGACGTCCGGATTTATCAAGGTGTGATTGGACACTCCACATATTAGCC